GTAGGAAGAAACTTTGTATCAAGCTAGTGGGCACTACAGCATTCTCTGAGGTGTCCGCTTAAATTATACAAGTTTCACTGTACATGTTTGACTCCATTTGCACTAACTATTGATGTGGAAGATGAAATTGCTTCATGCATAACAGATGTACATGTTTGGAGCTGTATGTAAATCTTATTAATTTTTTTTGCTATTTATGAAAACTTACTGTAAGCTTAAAGGTATTACAGAGAAATATCCTTTGCTTCAACAAGACGGTACAACCTTCAAGTGTTAAAAAAATATATATTCCTGGTGTAATTATTATAGATACATAGTGTTGAGGGAAGTCTTTGGTTTCCTTTTTCTTAAAACCGAAAAATAATTGACTTACATTGTGCCGGGGTAACCGAGTCGAGGTCATCTGTTTATATCAATATTAAGCAGTCCGGAATATCCCTAAATTTAAGGACAGGGCCAGCTGGTCACGCGACACTTTTCAACCAATGAGAAGGCGCGCTTGTGTTTATCAACAAACAAATCAAAACATCGCCCCAGTGCTCAAAAATTTTCAAAACAACGGACGGAGTCGACGGACAGAATTAAAGATAAGCTTACAGTACTCGTCTAGGTTTCACATTTAATATTTCAAAGAAAACATTTCATGTAAGAGAATAAGAGCATTATTCATTGCAAGGAATCATTGGGGCGTTCGAACTGATTCCGGACCGATCGCAGTGGTCGTGCCTTCACTGGCATGGCTTGCAAGATTTTTGATAGAAACAAACTGGTCCCGTGTAAAAATAGCCTTAAAGAGAGTGTGAAAATTTGTTAAGATCATACAAAACAGGATTGGTACTACCTATTAGCTTCTACAGGACAAGAATCAAAGAACCAGTCATCATAACAAGAATAAAATAATAAGTAGTTCAAATTTATTAATTTTTCTTGTTTGTTTTTTGGTGTTGTTTCGTGTTGACTTCACGCATCTGGTGCTTTCCTTGCTTGCTGTAGTACCTGAAATGTTTTAATTTGATCCCAGATTCAGTGCATGTTCAATGAGTAGCGAAATACATCATTTACACTTGAAATTTGCCTTCTTTCTTTGATTGTTTTTTAACGGTGGATGAACATTTGGAGAATCCAGCAACATTAAATCTTTCCAGATTTGGTGAATTTCAGAAACAAAACGGTTAGTATCTACCTTGCGCTTATGATCTTCAATTTCATCCCCAAAAATTCGGCAAAGTGAGGCGAGATGTTGGACGTGAATATCCATAAGACTAATAAAGTTGTTTTGGCCTTGAAAAGAAAAAAGGCAAAGGCTCGTTCTAATGCGAAAAAAAGTAATAACACGGCTCTTTGAGAAACCCGGGAATGGAAAACGTACGTGTTTTCATGGACCTCGGAATTCAAAATTGGTCTACCAAAATTTTAGGTTGTCTACCATCCCCACATTCAACATGATAAAAGTTAATCGATATGACAATCAAGGAAAAATATCTAGAACTTTGTAAAAAAACTCTGTGAATCGAAAAAAATAATAGATACTTGATCACCTACCTTGAAAACCGACCAAAATCTCGCACATACATCGCGTTGTTTAAAAGAAGAAATAAGCCACAAAATGTGCTGAATATTTCACGAGACACTTCCAATATTATATGGCTTCCGATACGCTGTCCTCTTAAAAAAATTGTGTATGCCTCATGAAAAGTCTTATATGATTCTGTCCGACTCCGTCCGCTGTTTTGAAAATATTAGGGAGTTTAAGATCCAACGACGCGGACGACAACTAGAACGTCAAAAAAACAATAGGTTTAATTAGCAAAACAACAACTTCGCACGTGCAACACACGTTTTTGTTCATTTCTTTCTCGTTTTTGCACGACTACGACGTGAAAATGCCTAATTTCGCGTTTTATGGAGGACGTAAACAACCAACGACGAAATTTTATTTCTCTTTCTGAGCTTGAATATGGTCCCTTGAAATTCTTCTTTACGAGGGCTCGCGTACAATTGACAAAGTAAATGGGTAGGAATAATTGCTATAAAGACTGAAAAAACTCAAATTCACTTTTTAAGCGACGTTCTTGTCGCCGTCGCGCCGTTGGATCTTAAAGTCCCTATTTTATCACAGCGGCGATGTTTTGATTTGTTTGTTGATAAACACAAGCGCGCCTTCTCATTGGTTGAGAAGTGTCGCATGACCAGTCGGCCCTGTCCTTAAATTTAGGGATATTCCGGACTGTTAAGCGCACTCGAATGGACTGATCATTTTTATTGCTCATTTCTCCCATTAAACATCAAGGACAATGTTTTCAACTATTGCTGACCTACCCTTCTGCCAAGTTTCGAATTTCCACACCAAAACGATTTTCTAAAACATGCGATGTTAATATGCGATCATGCAAATTTCTGCGACAAATATTACACTTGAAAAAATTGGCTTAAACTGTTTACGAGGTAATTATCAACAGAATATAATACAATTAACTCTCCTTCTCGGAAAAAAGCTGTTGCAAATATACTTTCCCTCTAACAGAAACTACTTTAAAGTTTACTTATCGCGAAAAGACAGCTTGAATAGGTGGTACTATTGGCATTAATGGAGATAACAGCAAAGTAATGAATACAATGGCATCAGTTTTGGGACTGTACCTTTAATAGCGGCTACGCTGGCACACTCGAATGGACTGATCATTTTTTCTGCTAGTTTATCTCAATTAACTTCAGAGACAATGCTTTCCAATAGAAGTAACCTACCCTTATGCCAAGTTTCGATGTTCAACACCTCACCGATTTCGAGAAAATGCGATATTACTGTGTGAACATGCAAACTTTTGCGGCACATTATTCCTCTCGAGGAAATTGACCGAAACTGTTTACAGCTCTCATACGCGTTATTTTTCGGATTAATACACATTTCACTCACCTTTTCGGAAAGAGATGTTGGAACTGCACTATCCTACCGTGACAAAAACCATTTTGGAGCGTCAATATCCAGGAAAACCAACTTTAAAAGTAGCATTTGGAAATGACAACGGCGCCATTTTCGAAAACTCCTCGAAGTTGCGCGCTTCTCTCTTCGTGACGTCACGATGGCCAAGATCGTCCGGACAAACAAACTACCAAGTTCACCAAGAAATTTAAGAGGAAACGTTTGAATTTGTTAACCGATAGTAAGGAAAAGAGGTGAGTGTTGTTGTTGTTGTTGTCATCTCCGCGAGCTGTGCCCGTGAGCTCATTCTTTGCAAAGACCAGGGCGTAAAATAAGGATTTTACAATCATTTTAGAGTACACTTTCTCTCAGTTTCAGGATAAAAACTTCACGTAAACATTGACGCGTATTACGCCCTGGTGTTGACTGTGTTCGACAGTTTGTTTGTTTGTCACTGAGAGAGTTCTGACTAAGACTGAATGAAATGCACAAGGTGTGAACGTTTGCTCCTCGAAAAGCCTTTTTACTTTTGTGTGGTTTTTGTTTTTCGTCAATTGAAAATTACTTTAGACTCGGAACAACCAATGTTAAAGGAAAAACGGATCATTCCTTCAGTCTGAGGTGGAATAAAGAGTTTTGAACATTTCCAAAGAGGCGAGTATTTTTTTGATTGTTCATTCGATTTATATTATTTGTGAGTTGATTTCGCCTTCTTTCGCCGGGCTGAATTAAAACCCACTTTTTTTAAAATTAGTAAATACTTTTTCACATGCCCAGATTTATTCCCTTTGTAGAACCAGCTTTATCCTTCTCTTCAGTCAAAGAACCATTTTGTGCGCCGTATAAAAACTTTCTCGGAAATACCGGTAGAAGGCCAGTAAACTTACTCTAGAAGAAAAGAATCATTTTTTTGTTGCTCAAATACTATAAGTAGTCAGAGTTGTCGTCACTTTTAATTACATAGTTTTGTTTTCCACTGCACTGTGAAAGTTTCTGTTCTTTATAAGAAATAACTTTCTGTACGCAAATTTTCCATTTCACTCGCTGTGAAGTAGAGGACAACTGCCGGCAGTGACTTCAAAACAATTGACTCTGCCCGTAACACTGAATTGCTGGAGCTGGATTTGTCTGAAGCGAGCAAAACAAATACCCCTATGTGCAGTTTTCTGAATTTTGTAACGATTGGCTGAGTTTAATTTGCTTGGATGAAGACCCTCACATGGATCAGTTATTCACTGAGTTATTAAAGCGTGGAGAAGCTACATGATGAATCATGGTTTAGCTGCGAAGTTCACTGCAACTGATCTTTTGCTTTTAAGATCTTTAGGTAGGTTGTTTTCGTACGAAAAATTCATTTCTTCATTGTCAGCAAGAAGTTTTTGCAATAATGGCATTTTAACTTTGTTTGAAGGAAATCCTACTTACGTGTAGGTTTTTGACAGATGTTATGCATTTTCAACTTGACAACACAAAGCGTAATTTATATTTATCTCTTAGTACGCGAAACGTTACGATCAAGTTTAAAAATAAACTATAGTTGCTTTAAAACCGATTTTTGGGAAGATTTTACTAGAAAAAGATTGACCTTTTTTCTGCCCGCATATAAACGCAATAACTTCTACATTGAGGATTATATGAACACATTTTGTGAATGCATCTTGAAAAAAATCGGACCTACGCATGCACATTTCCAGTACAACGCAAGGAAATTGAGGTCGTTAAAGTCCGTTTTACTATGAGGTATTCTTCGAGAAAATTAAGAAACCACAAGGTTATAACCACAGCTTGCAACTATTGAAGACAAATTGCCTGTTCTTTCCAGGTTATGAGTGGAAACATCTTATTTTTAGGCAATAAAATATTTGAAATCCCGCCATTTTTTCAAACCCGGCCAGGGGATCTGGGCAAAAAAGTTCACGCATGCTCAATACGTTTTTCCGCCCTGAAATTCCGAGGGGATCAGCCATGCTCAACGTATCACCGACCACTGCACTTGTTTTCAGTATTCAGTAGGATCACTATCCAGAGTGAAGCAAACAAACGACACAACAACGATTAACGAAAATTCTTTGATGTTTTATTATTTGAGGTTTAGGCAAGGCGCTTGTGGTTGTAAAGTAATTCGTTCTCGTATTTCTCGCACTGTCATCAGTTTGGAGAACAGATAAGGTTCAAGGGTTCTCGGTGTGTTCAGTAACACCTGCTGTCCTTCCACGTTACCACAAATCTGAAAAAAAAAAAAAGAGTCATTTTCACGATATCGTCACTTCACAACATCCACCAGAATCCTGGTCATATTTAGTTTTTGTCAGTTTTCAAACTTAAACCTGTTTAGTTTTTTGATTCAGTAACATTTGAATAAGGCGCTTTCTTACCTGTAAGGCCATCAGCAGATCAAATCGATATTGAATGCCTGTAGGACGCGGTATACAGGATATCTTACCAGCTAAGCTAAACTGCTCCCCAGGGCTCTAATAGAGAGCAAACAAAAACCCAACAGTTAGAACAGAACAAAGTTATTAGTTAGTGATATAATTGATTTACTGTGCTGTGCATTCACAGTTTCCCCAACCAAACCTGGAAATTAAACATTTGAACAAAACCTGAGTATTTTTTTTTTTTTGAAGCTTCTACCCCTCAAATACCTTAGATAAGACACCGAATGCAACTTTCCTATATAGCTAAGCCACATTTTAGAAAAAACGTTTCCTAGTTTCCTAAGAATTAATTATGCAAGTTAATTCCCATATATTTTGTCTTTTACCTCGAGTTCACTAGCTACAGCATCTGTGTCGTAAAACTGATGATAAACAACTGTGTCAGTCAGCGGTTTAATGTCTTCTGGTGGCTGCAATAGAAATGACAAATTCAGCTTGAAGCGAATGTGATATGTTATATGTTGATTTTGGTTAGTTTGGGAATGGTTGTCGAAGGCTTGTCGTAGTTTGCTTCAGGTCGCGCCCTTGCCTTATAGCTTCCTACCTCCCTTAGTAGTATAGCAGGGACCAATTTACCCCTTTTTGGATATTGTATAGGATTAAGGGGACAAACTCGTTGCGCGCTAACTGGAATGCCACTCATATATCACTGAGGCGTTATTTATTGACCAAACGTGAGGTCAACATGACTGGATATCGGCCAAATTCACTTTTGCACTTTTGTTGAGGGACACGAAGTCGAAGTTAATAAAAACGAAAAAAAAACAGGCCAATATCCAGCTATCTTGACCAAACAAGCCTGGTCAATAAATAATATACTGTATGGCCAAAAAGAGAACTTTTTTCTTGCGGGACCAACGCGGGAAATCCCGAGCGGGAAACATAGGCCTTTCTTGCCCGCTCAGGTAGCCAATCAGACAGGGTGCAAAGACAATCAGTTTTACAGCTTGCCATCCGGCCAAGCTGAAGCTAGCATTTACTAGCCCAGACGTCATTTCAACTAACCCCAAAAGCTTTTTGATGAGCAGAATTTATTTCACAGTTCTTCTGTTATTCGAATTTCTCAAAAAACATCACTTGCCCGTCGGGCAAGTTAAGAACAGAATTCACTACCCCGATAGCAAAATCCACTAGCCCTGGGCTATTGGACACTACTTCCTTTGCACGCTGCAATCAGAACACAGAATTCGTTTCATCTTAGCCATCGCGGATTCAGTCATACAATTAATAAATAATACATCATGCAAGTTTCCACGTTATTGTAATACTCCTGCCCGCGTATTGATTCTCTTCTCTTCATGACACAGACTAAGACAAAAATTTTTGAAGTGGCCAAAGTTAATTTATTCCGCCAAAAAAGTTTATTCCGACGCTATATACTACTTCCCTTTCGTTTCTTTATATAGCTACGGTTCTTTCGCCCCCGACAGGGTTTCCGTTCCAACTAAAAAAGGCCAAACCCCTAGAATCAACGCAAGTGAAGAAGGCTGATAGGCGCGATGAGATTAAAGTATGAGCGAGTGAAGATTAATTTTTGATAATTACCGATGGCTCATTCTTCTGCATTGACGCCTCTTCGTCGTCTTGCGATGGTGTTTTGTCCTCCATCCTCGCCCAGCTAATTCGCCTACTCGATGAAGCTCGTCTATTTTCAGTCATTAGACCTTCATCTTCACTTCCATGTTTGCTTTTCTTTATGACTAAACTACCCCTGCTACTGTCACTACTATGACTTCTCTTGACTCCTGTCACGTTTTGTTCACTGCTGACTTGGCTGCTTGGGCGGGGTGGACTCCCATCTTTCAGGATATCCCTCTCCTTAAAAATCTCTACCTCTGGGCCTTGTATTTCGTCTTCCTCCTTGTCTCCCTCCTTGGCTTCTGTTTCCTCTTTCGATGCTGGCTTTTTTCTACAGCAGCATTTGACAATCGCCTTGCAGAGTTTAAATGACAGCAACAAAGGAAGAAAAAGGAAGAAAACCAAGTTGAAGAGAAACTCCTTGGCCTTGTTCCGTGGCTTAGTAACTTCTTTGCTACAAAGATAAAGGCGAAAAACTCCATAAAAAAGATAAAGCTGACTTTCTATAATAGTGTGACTGGCATGGTGATATAAAAAAAATTATTAAACCCCTCTTAAGGGGAACCTATACTGAGCGGACGTAAGTCTAACTTTTCTTTCCACGTTTTCTGTACAAAAAGAACCAGTATCAAGATGGTTCCTCGACCCCTGCAAGGATTCCAGGAGTGTCCACTCAATCCTACTTTCAGCATATTCAGTAACAAATTAGACCGTTCCAGAATGGAGACATGATCAAGAAAAATACAGTTAACTTTATACTCACGTCTCAGGATCAATTTCTTCTCCTTGTTCATTATACTCCACCATGATAATCTGACCAGTATTATCTCTCTTCTCATGCTTTCCCTTCTTGACCCCGCCCATTCCAAACCGTGCCACGGCGGCCCCCTTTCGCCTGAGGCCCATAAAGGCCTTGAGAGCACCTAGACCCACCAGTATTCCCACAATGCTTGCGATACCACCAGGAGAAGTGAAAAACTTGAATATTTTGCCGATTTTTTTGGCATAGTTTTTAATTTTTGTCCAGATGTCAACAGCGCCGGTCAAGTCCAGGCCACTATCAGTTGGTTTTTCCTCGTCCCAATCTCTATCGTCTCGTTCTACGCATTTGAATCCGCTCTCGTAACACTAGGAGAAAAAAAAAAACGTTAACACTGAAATAATCATAACTACTAGACTTTCCAAAAATTTGCCTCCAATTATTGCGTAGAGTTGTAATTGGCCTTGTAATCGGACAGTTGGCTGTAATCGGACAGTTATCAGCCAATCATATTTAGTGCACTCAGCTAAATCCACCAATCAAACTTTTTCACAATAACCACTTACCCGACCAAACTGGGATTTTCCAAAATGGACGAATTTGTATAATTGAGCAGTGCCTCTGCCAGTGTTATTTTCCCTAATTTTTGATAGTTGGTATTGAATGCTCTTTCACAAAGAAAGAAAGCAACTTTATTTTCTGGAAATGGTAATGGTACTTATGATTTATTGCAATGATGACTTATGACTTATTGTTAACAGGACTTCGTAATCATACTCGTGATTAAACAAATCAGACTCCCGCTACCCACTTGTCCGATTCTGTTCATCACTCGTATGATTACAGACCGATTTGGTCTAATTCCCGGCCGCAAATGATCCCCAAATAGACCGCAAATGATCCTCGACCGCAAATCAGGTCAGGTGATTGAGAGCTTTGAGACAATCGCATCATTTCGCGCTTCCATTAAATAAAACCACGTAAAAAGGCGGGACGGAGCTGTAAACAGTAAAGGGCTAACTATGCACTTTGCCGTCCAGGAGAACAGTCATTTTTAGCAAAGACAACTCAAAGTCAAATTAGAACGCGCAAGCGATCGAAAAGGACTAAACACGACTAGCGGCAATCAGTTTGCCACTCTGCCATTGCAGGGCTTGAAATAACGGCCGGTCAACGGACAATGTCCGGTCAGAATCGAGCATTGTCCGAGCAAATCCGTGGATGACCGGACATGTTGTCCGGTCATTTGGGCTTTCAAAGAAAATTCAATTTTGAGACAATCATGATGGAAATTTATTCAATCTTATCATGTTCCCAAAAAAGATATTAACTAGAGGGACTTTTGTTTGTGAAATTGATGACATTTCCTGTTGTCAGTCGCGACCGCAAATTGGCTACTGCTGTGCGTGTTGTAAAGTGCTCAAGATTGCACGCCCCGCTGCGCCGAAAATAACCCGCATAGCATCTGGTGCCAACAAGAGCGAAAAAAAGAAAGACCCAGAGCAGGGGCACCCAACGAGAATATAGTTCAAAACCACTTAAACGTAGCATTGTTAACCGTGTTTTAGTATTTAAACGGTGGATATGGGCATATTTTTATCCCCTATAAATTTTTCATCTGTTCGGATTTCCTAGCTGAAAGTCTAGTGATCCGAAAATTATAGGGATCAAAACTTACCTCTTCGAAAATTTCAGCCAGAAAAAAGGTTCTCGAAAATTCTAGGTGACCTTTTAAGGGTAAAAATCCGTTGAAAATGGGCAATTTTACCATTTTTTACATGTTCGAAAATCCTAGGAGAGGCAGGCAAGCAAGAAATTTTACAACAAATGTTCCGAAAATCCTAGATCTCAAATCGTCTTCCGAACAGATATTTTTCCGAAAATTGTCGTTGGGTGCCCCTGCCAGAGTGACAGTATAATGAATTAGGCCACCCTCTTGCTCCAATAAAACTTCACAAATGTAACATTAAAATAAAAGGCTTCGAGTGTTAATGAAGTAAACATAAAAATAGAGTTTGTCTTTATTTCGCCCTGTCCGTAAATTTGTTGCGTGTTTATCACTAAACGACTTATTCACAAGGTTAACTCAACATTCATCATCCTGTTCTCTTTGAAATACATTATGTATAAGTTTTAACGCATTCAAATGCCAATAAATGCCCACTACCACGTTTTTTTGTGCGAATGGCGATGTTACTTCGGCCAGCAGGTCGCTCCGAAGGATACGATTATTTTCATTGCGCAACGTGTAAGAGATGTAACGGAGAATTTACAAAATGTATATGACACTCAAAAGAAACGTTAACCAACAAAATTATATGAGCTGAAAGTTCATGCTCCCCATTCTAAAGACGTTCTAAAAAGCAATTCTATATGTATACAAATGAGAAATGTATTTCTGGAAATCCTGAACAAAGTGCAAACAGTAAATAAATGAGTTAAATCGGAAGCATGTGGACATAATCATCAACATCTTGAAATGCCCTTTATGATTTCGGAAAATTCCACTTGCGCAAGTTTTTGTCCTCGGATGTCTAAAAGGACTTTCCCGCTACTATATTTTAGGAGTTCGATTCACGCATCTTAACGAAAGAGCGTTTCTGTTGTATGCAACATTTAAAATGTAAATGTTGTACTATAAAGTTGAAGGTTACGTTTTGTTAGTGATTTGGTCAGGTTTCAACCAAACGTTAACGGTGAGGTTGTGTCTTGCAATCCACGTGTCTGACTTACAATGTAACAGAACAAAGAGTAATAAAACTACAACTTCTAATTTTTTGCACACTCGATTTGTTTTGAGTAACTAGAGTTCCTGTTGCTGAAAATGATACAGATCATGTAACTTGCAAAATGGAGCCTCTATTGCAACTAGTTAAGATGGATTAAATTTGTCCGGCCAAAAATGCCTATGTCCGAGCAAAATCAAGTTTGACCGGACAATGTGTCCGGCGCCTGCCCAATAGTTATTTCAAGCCCTGCATTGGTCGACCCCTTTTCTAGACCTGAGCGCGCAGTTGTCACTGTCGTCGTCGCGTTATCTTTTCTTAGTCTGCCAATTACTCACACTACAACCGCAGCTTGCAGCACAGACACACGGTGCTGAAGTAGTGAAGGTGACATTAGCGCTGTCCACCATTTTATGACGAGCATCAAACAGCTTTACTGTAAATCGAACAAACAATGTTAGCAGTAGTATAGTCATCAATTATCAGTCAAGAAGACATTTACTTCGAAATCTATTCCACAAAAAAGGCCGGTATTATGAACATAAAAACGCGAGATCTTCATTCTTCATTGTGATTCATGCCGGATGACGAGGTCACTCTCGACTTTACTTGATCCATATTCAAGTCATATCAGAACAGTGTGCTACATACGAGTAGAATGAAAAGTGGTGAAATTGGCAGAGCCTTCATGAGCAATGACGACAAAAAGACCTTAAATGATAAGCAGATACTATCATTTAGTAAAATCCAACTATTATCAATACTGCGTTCTGATTGGTTAAGCTACTACTGGGCTATATGTTATAGCCCACTAGTAGCAAAAAGCGCCGGATTTTTGGCGGCAAAAAAAGATTAAAGTCTTGCTTTAGGTTGTTTTGTCTCGATATTTTTGACCAACTAGTTGGATTTGACTAAAACAATTATTCCTCTCGCCCTCATGGCCTCTGAGTCAATAGCCCATTCGGGCTGATTTAGCAACAGATCGGGAATGTCAGTTGACGACGGAAAAGCGCGCGGAAAGGACTAAACACGACTTCCGGTGCTCGATTTGCCGCTCTGTCATTGGTCAATCCAGTTGTTTAATTTGCTTGCGCCGTCGTCAACTGACGTTCCCGCTCTGTTGCTAAATCAGCCTATTGTTAAATATAACCCGTAAAGGTAATAAAGGTGTGTTCAGCAAGTCAGGGGCAATCGTTTTCAAAGAGTGGAAATTTCTCGATAACCGTTGCTTCTACGAACAGACATTTTACGGAAAACGGTCGCTGGGTGCCGCTGTAGTTGATGTCAAATTTTCATTTTAACGATCAAGTCTTCTTGACGTTTAATCCATAGAGAGAAAGGAAAATACCGTTTTAATTCTTTCACTTTCTTACCAGCACAATAGTGACTGCCTCCTTTCATGTCATACGCATGGATATCAAACGTGAATAAGTGAGTCTTCTGGGGATTTATAGACAAAACCTTTTCGCGAAATTTTCCTATCGCGCCGGAGCATTCTGATATCACCACCTGCAAACAAGAAACAATTCATTCAGTCCATAAGTGTTCCTGACATGTGATTATGTTGAAATAATGTTTTTCTTTCTTAATCGCCTCCCCTCTGGATAAAGCCCATAAGGCTATAAATCCTGAGTGTGAATCAACTAGCCGTCTGTCTGTCCGCGGCCGGTTCTTCTTCTGAACTTGGGAGTCCTGTGGTTTCACTTACTGAGAAGTCCGCCGTGACGTAACCAGTGTTTTGAACAACGACATACAAGTGACCATCTTTCGACAGAGCCTCAAAGTCCTGTGCATAAGCTTTCAGGATTTTACCAGAAGCCCTAAGCCAGATAAAACAATCAGTTAGTAATGAGCTATCTCATGTCACGCAAGGTTTATTTGTTCCTTTTTCTCTTAGTTTCTTTTACATCGTCATCGCCCGGGGGGTGGGGCTCTACATGTGAAAGTGGTGGGGATGCTCGTTGTCTCGCTCAGGGGTGTAAATTTCGGATTTTGGTCTCACTTAGGGTGTTCTGGGCAAAACGCCATCATATTTAGCCGTGAAGGTCTCGTTTAGGGTTGCACCCGAAAAAATATATATTTGATATGTATATTTAGTGTCTTTTAGGGGTCAAAAAAAGCTTGGGCCACGCCCAGATCGGTCTCTTTTGGGGGTTTAATTCAAAATTTTTGATGAGCATCCCCACCCCTTTCATACCCGGGGAGTCCCCGCCCCGGGCGTCATCCACACAGTGCGTTTATCATATGATGTGCTTACGTAATCTGAGTCACGACATAAAAACTCTGACCGTGCGGTTGTTCAGATATTTAACCCAGGATTAAACCAAATTTTAAGCAAGGTTTTCTTACAGTCTAAGATCATGCAACTCGAGCTTAGGAAATATTGTCGTGCTTTTACTCCGAGATACAGTAATGATAACAGAAATTGCTACTCTAAGTAATACATAGGGTCACATAGGAAGGTAAATACACAATTGGAATAAATTCTTAATCCTGGCTGGATTAGCGCTAATTGACCCTTCAGGAACCGGGTCCAAGTCCCAGTTTTTTAAAAGGTGCATAGCGCAATCGACCGGATAAATTTCTTTCCAGTGGATATTCCGACTACTTATTCACTGGATAGTGAATTGTCATGTGGATAACGCTATCCACCTTTTCAACCACTGGGGCCTGGAGAGTAACCTACTAGTTCTAGTGACGCTGTGAACGCGTATTATAAGAGTCAATCAAAAAACACCGCCTTTGGTGAGTGAAATTAAGATCTGTGGGGCTACTGCCGCTATTGGCGTCAAAGTGAGGAATTTTTTTTGTAACCTGTTGTAAATGAGGATGATGTCATCAGCACTAATCTGAAGTGTCACCAGACTCGTCATAACCTCGTCTATCTCATATGTCAGCATGAACTCCTGCTCATCCCCCTTTGGACGGTTTTTAACACCAACCAACTTGCCATATCTCTCCGGAAAGTGAAGTGGGGTCTCTCCAAGGGTGCGACGAGCCTGAGGACACAGAGAGTACTTTGAAAATTCCACTTATGTCCAGAAATGCACATTCAAATTGTATGCCAAAAGTGGCCCCTTAGTAGAGAGTGGTGATTTTGGCGAAAATGGCAAATTTGGATGGCGAAAAATAGCCAGAGGGCTAGCAATTCAAATTGGATACTAAAGTGGTCCCATGTTTGGAGAGTGGCGATTTTGGCGATAATAGCAATTTTGACGAAAATGGCTGATTTGGCAAAAAAGGCGAATTGATTTGTCCTCAAATCTTTGTTAGGCTTTCCACCCCAAAATACTATTTTATTAGTTTACGCAGAAAGAAATGACATGAAATAAGGAGTCACTAGACGGATAGAGGAAATAGAATCTCCTTGAACAACACTGAACTTACTGGTTGAAATTTTCAATGTTGGCACAAGAATAGCAATTAATTGAGCACTCCCATGAAACAAGACTAGCCTCGGTGAACTGGGGGACAAAATTGTTGAGCAAGATGAATAAAAAATCTCCTCCAGGGCCACACTAATATAAAACATTGGCGGGATGGCAAGAAATTCACTTCTTGTTTCTTTACTCTACACCTCATATAACATCTTTTGAGACTTACCGTATCGTCATGAAAATATGTTCTAGGCTGATTATTTAGACATCTAAAAAAAGAAACAAAAACAAAACCATTAACATACCTAATATTCTATATCTCATCACATTTCATACGACGCGAAAATATAAGCTGTCGCACTGGCACTCGCGTCACCACGAGAAAGCGCGGGAAATGAGACCGGGTTTTTCAAAGCGTCACAAAGTCAGTTAATACACATCCGGGACAATACAGAGACGACCAGAATTTTAGTAGTTTGTTTGCGCTTTGTTATGAAGCGTTATCGGGTCATTTCATATCTTTCCATCCGCGTAAAGTAACTTACGATCCTTTTTTCTGATGGCAGCCTGCAGGTTGTTGATTCCTAAAGGCCGTGTAAGTAACGCCAATCTTGTCACACTCATGAGGGCCGGTCGGTTTGTAGTTCACTTCGTGTTTGTCGATTATCATGTAATCACTTGGTCCTCCCTGCAGGATGAATTTTTAAAACAAGAAATGGTTTTTTGGTACCCAACGAGAACATAGTTCAAAACCACTTAAACATAGCATTGTTAAACGTATTTTTGTATTTGAACGGTAGATATAGGCATATTTTTATCCCCTAAAAATTTTTCATCTGTTCGGTTTTCCTAGCTGAAAGTCTAGTGATCTGAAAATTATAGGGATCAAAACTTACCTTTTCGAAAATTTCAGCCAGAAAAAAGGCTCCCGAAAATTCTAGGTGACCTTTGTAGCGTCAAAATCTGTTAAAAATGGTCAATTGTACCATTTTTTAGATGTTCGAAAATCCTAGGAGAGACTGGTAAGCAAGAAATTTTACAACAAATGTTCCGAAAATTCTAGATCTCAAATCTTCTTCCAAACAGATATTTTCCGAAAATTGACGTTGGGTGCCCCTGACTTTGAACAGTGCTCTCTTCTTCCTCAAGGTCGTCGAGATCAAACACTCATCGTCGCTGACCGTTTTTGCAATTGGTTTTATTGGTTTCAGATGTACCTAAGGGGCAGGCGTCGGGGTTAGTAGATGATAGGGAGCTTAAGCAACAACGTTTTTGAGCGACGCACGTCAACCGGAAGTGGCCTTTTTTTCATTTTTTGACGGTGGTTTCGCGCAAATTTTCAGTCAAATCGCCTCTATAACAGTAAAGAAACTAAGGAATACAAATTTTATATCATCAAGGCATGTTAAGAGGAAAAATACCTCACTTCCGGTTGACGTGCGTCACTCAAAAACGTCGCTGCTTAAGCTCCCTAACATGGCCGGCTGTACTGCATGTAGCGCTCTTTTTCGAGGATCTTTAATACGAAAAAATAGGGGACTATGAACAGTCTAGAAATAGTTTTTTGTTCACAACTTTGCGGCGGCGTCGTTCCACTCGCGAGTTTTGGACATTTTGACGTCATTTCTATGGTCGATAAGAGTGCAGTCCATGTAAAATTATTGTTGTCGATTTGTTTTTTACAATAATATTCATTATTGTCAGTTCAGTTTTGACGTCCATTCCCGTTTAAGTTCCTCGGAAAATCACGCGACAGAAAAACAAGTTGCGCCACTCCCTTATCGAACATTAAGCTCTCGACCAATAAGCGCGGGAGAAATCGCTCAGTTATTGTAAAAATTTAGTTAAACAGATGGTAAAGCATCCACTTTTTCTTACCAACACCTGCGGGTGCGTCTTGGGATCAATTTTAGCACTGACATATGGAATAAGAAGGTACTTTTCCGTCAAGGTTGGAAATTGCCTGTGGGTCTGGAACTCGCCGATATAACTTGCAAGAAGCTGTAAAAGAAGTTGGAATTAGTTCACTATCCTTGTTACTCTCTTCTTTATTAACATCAAGACAGTAGAGAACCAAAAGACTGACAGTGAGTTGAAATAACAGCTTTTCAAGGCTAAACAAATGATTCAAACCTTCCAACAACAATTCAAGTCCTTCGAAACCCCCATTTTTAAACCTTCCAAAACCGTTTCAAACCCCAAGGACAGGTAAAAGAACTTACTTTCAGGCCCCAGTTGTTCAAAAGTTGGATACGGCTATCCAACGGATAAGTATTAGGGAAACCAATTGCATGCGCTATCCAGTGGATAGAGATTTATCCGGTGGATGGCGGTATCCACTTTTACAACAGCTGGGGCCAGAACTTGTAAATTTTCCAAAAAGACACCTTTTTAAACATTTGCAAACTTTAAAAAGGCTTTTAACCCTCCTAAAATCTTTCCAGAAGATGTTACTCGTTTTTTCCCTCACCTGAAAGCATTAAAACTCTTATTTTTTCAATTCTAAACCAAAATGGCCTGAAGTTAAATCACATCATGTATTCGCCTAGTTAACACGCAAATGCGCTTGTGCCACCGGTTGCCTATTCTTTGGTTAGCAAAGTGAATTAAGTCCACCAGGGTTGGGAGCTGGCTAATGCAAGGCAATCACTGACTTACCCTTCCGTACTTGCCTCTTCCCATCCGTACATGAGGTCCAATGACAATCTCCCCACCAGGGACCCACTTAGGTTTGGTTATATTTCCCACCTTTGTCGTCACTTGATCATACGTTTTCACATGAATCCCAAACTCCATTTCCCATCTTCCCAGCTCATTTACAGTGTACCTGAAAGTAAAATAAGATATTAACAAACTAACAAACAGAGAAAATCATCGATAGAAAAAGAAGCGTCTACCATTAGGAAGCGGCAAAAACTTTCTTAACTTGTGGTTCGGGTCGCTCATTATGCTTTCAAACGTGCGCGTGCAAATGTTGTGGTGATGCTCCGCAACCGTTGGTAAACTCATAAGCGCTACAGCTCGCTGATATTCTATACCAGGACATATGATTCGCATTGCTCTTTTCTGAACGCGTTCTAATTCTTGCAAAAGGTAGGCTGGTAGCGCGTGATGGAAAAAAGGCATAAATCTTTCTGTGGAACACGAGCTCTTTTTAGCTGAACAAGAAAATAGAGCCTCTTAGCTGCCTTCTTAGTAACTTCCGTGATGTGCGCATTGATATCCTAGTTTGCATGAGTTTAAACATTTCCGGAATTGATAGAAATTCAGGGTTTTGAAAATGCATTCCTCCTTTTCCTCTCCAGCCGGAATGCTCGGATAATCCAGCATATACCATTTGTCGAACCAAGTAAGTCCAGCGGCTCTTGCAGTCTATTTTAACGCGTTTTTTCCAATAACTACGGTATTTTTCGGTTGAAAACTCGAATTTTACGGCTGAAATTCTATCTTCAGTGGAATTTAGCAGTATCACTAGGACTCTTTGAGTTGAGTTTAACTGGTCTTCCTAGCAAATGGAAAGCGCTCCAGCAAAAATTCCTTTTTTGCACTTCGCACTCAGTTACGCTCAGTGACTTGTAGTGTTTTGACCATACTAGCCTGCAGAACAGTCGTTATCTTTTCGCATTTTTTAGGTCTCCCCAAAAAAGGGAAAAAAAGGATCGCCTGACCACCTGATCCCACGTTATTTTTAGACGAGCGAAGACAAGCGTGAAGCGAGCGAGGAGCGCCAGACACGCGTTATAAGGGAAGGCAGGCAGGTTATGACGATACCTACTCTTCCAAGAAAATACATGTCCTAGGCAGTGTGTGTAGTCACCCACGTTCAGAATGTATTCTATTAAATTCTATTCTGCTAGCTATCTATCTTAGCGGTGATAAACAACCTACATACCACAAGTCGTCATATTTCATGCAGTGAGCTGCAGCCTGGGCCTTAGTGAAAACTTTGCAGGCAAGCCCTGCTCGACTGAAAGGAGTTTCATCCCCAAACGAGCCTCGCCATTTGTCCTGTTCACTGCACCAGCAGCAAAATCCCTTCATTGACAACAAGAAAATTGGTAATGATTACTGAACGGTCAACGGGTTGAACCCCCTGGGGGAGGCAGTCCCTACTACGACGTTTCCAGGGCCGGGAGGCTATGCCAGGAAAGGTAGAGACTTAACTAGTTGAAGCACAGGCGGCGGAGTAGGGGCAGGAGGGTCTACAAGGTTGCTTGTACCAACGATCAATGCCAAGGGCATTTTGGAAAATTTGAGTGGGGGTATGCGTATGGCTGAATGGAACATGACCCCCCCCCCCCCACGTTTCACAACACTCTGCTGCCTCTGTAAAGTATATGAAAGGTCAGGGAAATCTGTCATTTCGGTCTGTAAAAAGACCCAAAAGGCAGGGGTAACAGATGCATTTTAAGGCTATGAAAAAGTCCCTTATTCAGCCAGGGTATGGTTTTCAGGGTCTTTTGGATCAGCACATGATGCGTCTCTTATTTATCATTTAGTTATTTTTATTCTGTGTATTGTTGTAACTCACAGTTGATCATCTCCTCATGGAAACTGCACAACTAATTTAAGAGTGCGAAGGCTGGTGAGGAGAGGTCTACATGGACATTATGTCTGTCTGAAAGTAAACAGGGTCAGGGTTTGAACACCTCAGTGTGGTAGAATACGAGTAGTCCCCCATTTTTAGTCAGGGATAGTAGAGTGAGCAAAACGCGAGCGCGCGTGAAAATCACCCCACGCGAGAAAAGCCGCGTGTCACCTTTTCTCGCGCGCTCGCGTTTTGCTCGCTCTACTATCCCTGAGGAAAAATGGGGGACTACTTGTATTCTACCTCAGTACTTTGGCACACCTCCAGCTAAACTTCTCTTGAGTGCCATTGCCACCCTTCCCCAACCGCCCCCTCCCCCAGACCCCCCACCCCTCCTCCCTGATCACCAAATCCTATTACAGTGGCAAAAAGTTTTGGTAACAGAGAAATGGAATACTAAAGTAAATAATGCACTACTCTAGACATATTATGTAGTGAGTGAGGTACTCCCCGTTTTACCTGACTATCCCATATTGCATTGCCATCTGCATCCTTGTCAAAGCCACATGTAGATTCGTCAGATCCCCACATGTCATCACAGAGATTACGTGACCCTGTCGCAAGGGCACCATTATTACTGATTTTCACTTTCTCTACCGGTTGGTTGTTTACAGTCTTGAATGAAACAACAATAATAATGACATAAAAATTAGGGGGAAAAAAGCTGTCCCCTCATGAAGAGGAATATGTGGCCGATCAGGGCTGTTTGATCACCAATATAACGGTATGGGTTCGAGTCAAAACACTTTAGTCTTAAGTGAATGAAGAGCAAGTTGTTAAATAGATAATTTATAAATAAATAAATAAATAAATAAATAGTCTAAGTATAATGTGGAGGTCTGCAGAACAAACTATACTTCTGAATTGATACGATTCTATGCCATAATTGAAAAGATAAAGAACCAGGCAATCTGGCTAATATTCAATTTTAACTGTAACTTGTGACAGCAAGTTCCTGAAACTAACAAATCGAAACCTGCCTCCATTGAACACCTTAACTATGGGCATATCAGTCCCCATCAGCAACATATCTTCTGGTTACAAAATTTTGGAGTATTGTGATATCTGCTGGAGCAGTGTGGGGTCTACCCTAGGAGCAAAACTTAAAAGGAATCAAAAGAGAGCAGCAAGGGTTGTGTTAAGAGAAGGATCTGTCAAAGACCCAGTGTCACAGCTTCAGGGGCACCCAATGACGGTTTCCTCCTAAATGCATTGAAAACACTTTTTAGCCTATCCAGAATACTTTTAGATCTCTAGAAAAGCATTCTAAGCGGCACTGTAAACTTTGTATCTGTTTGGTCATCCTAGGGGAACTTGATCCTTTTCGAAATTTCAAGGCCTTGAGTATTATTTTCTCGAAAATTTTAGATGAAATTTGACGTATTACGAAAGTGAGACATTTTCTAATTCCTCTCTCCATCACATTTTTGAATCCGAAAATTTTAGGTTTCCTTTTTTCTACGAAAAATAGCCTAACTTGGAAAATAATATGCTAAAATTAAACTTCAGAAAATCGTAGGGAAGATGTTAGATAAGATTTGAAATTTGTACTTGAATGTAACGGTCATCTAGAAATTTTTAGCCGTCCTCAAGTAATGGAAAATTCTAGGCAATATTTGCTTCTCCGAACAGATATTTTACAGAAAACAGTCGTTGGGTGCCCCTGCAGCTTGGCTAGACTAAATCACTTCATAGGTGAGAACAACATCTTTGCAACTTTTAAAATTGACAAGTGCCTCAAACGATCTGTACCCACAGAATCTCTTTTATTTCTTGTACAAGGAGCACACTTGAGGACTTATAATGAGCTCCTCCATGGACTCTGCAGTAAAACAGTGCAAATCATTATTTCAGTCCAGAAAGATGCTGAGGGCTGTTTAATATTTGGTTTGTTATTTTCTTGTACAGTTCACTGGCAAGGATCTGCAATTTCATATTTTGCCAAATTCTTAAATATCATTTTAATTTGTCAGGACCCATGTTTACATCAGGCCCTGTTGAAGGAGCAAATTCTGAGTAAATAATAATAATAATAATAATAATAATAATAATAATAATACATTTATGAAGGTCACTTTTTTCTACCACAGGAAGGAACTATGGCTGAAAACTACACTAATTTATGACGGTCACTTTTTCCTACCAAAGGAAGAAAGCAAATTTGAGCCCAAAATTTACAATATTAAACATCGGCTACAAACTTACCCCTCTGTAGTAATAAGGATATGTTAAATGGACAGGCGTCTTGGAGAGTGTAATAATAAATGGATTGTAGAGGCGAGCTGGCTCCCTTTCAACTTCATCATAAACTTTGCTCACATTAGACACTGTTTTCAGCATCTCTGTACCATTCTAAAGATAAATTTTACACAGGATGAAACCTTTCGAAAGATTTAAAGTTCTGAGAGGTCCTATTGGTTAAGGAATTATGGCTCAAAACTACACTAAACTACACTGTACTCTGATCATTTTCCTTCACATACTCTTTACATAAGAAATCCTTTTTACAGCGATTGCATAACACTTATACTTTTGATCTTAAAAACTTAACATTAGGCTGAGGTTATTACTTTGATTGTAGCTTTCAGTTATGTCTAAGTTCTTCAACTCTTCGTCAAATGCAGACTTACAGAACACATAGTGAGACTTAAAATATACAGCTTATCTTACCTGCCCACTGCGGACTGACATCGTCACGATAAGCTTCTTTTCACATGCTTTTTCGTACACAACACTCATCGGATCATCTGCGCCTCCTGTATTTTCACAAATAGTGATGCTACTTTTCGCGATCAAATCTCCGCTGGTAGGTCGAGAGCAGAATAAAAGTAAAAGGAATCTAAACATATGCATTCTTCGGCATAAATATTAGGTGTTGTTAACCCATTGTTTTGGTGAATAAAGCGAAAAAGATTTTTTTTTTTGCTTGTAGCGATCGTTAACGTTGATTCCCACGAATTTTGATTTGAATTCGCACCACCGCGCGCATCTTCCTTGCGCTTGTATTTTCTTTACCTCTGCTGCCATAATTTATCACGGGCGCTGCCAGGTTGCCCGAGCTAGTGCTTTGGCTTTTCTGAAAGCTCCGATCATGGCAGGTGTAGTACTCAGTTTTTTTTAAAAACTAGAAATACGTGTATCGCAGAACATCGCGAAGTTCGGGAGGGAGGCCCATAAAATTTCAGGGGGGGGAGAGAACTAGAGTAAATTGTGTAGCTTGGAAGGGCGAGTTTCAACACTGGCTCTAATATTGGAAAGTGAGATGTAATAAATATTTAATAATCGCCTTTTGGTTGGAGTAAATTTCAACCCAGTGCTCTTTTATCAAAAAGAATTTTCTGGGATGTAAACGGGGTTGGTGTTGTTAAGGAATGGTAGCCAATGTTTCACAGGTCCCGTGTTCACCCCATTTGACCCTCCTACATGTGTAATTATAGTAAAAGAAAATGGGTGTGATAGTGAATAATTGCAGGCGAATACGCAGCTAACACAAGCTACTTTAATGTGTGATAATAATAACTTGTGAAGTGTGTCATTAGTAGTGAGTATCACTGTCCGAATTTGAGACACAACTTTTTGTCGAAAATTTACTAATTACCCGGGACCCTAAATGAAAAGTTTCAGACCTCAGCTCTCTTTATATACTGTCTGGTCTCTAGTCGCGTTCGTAAGATTCGGTTAGGAAGAGCAGTTAGTATAGGCCTTGACGCGGTTTTGGAAGCCATCTTGATGGGTAAGCAAGCGCGTGATCGTGAGAAATTACAGTGAATCGAATGAGAATCTAATGTCAAATAATTTCCGTAAAACGGCTGTTCTGAAAAAAAAAAATGATTTGTAAACTAAAGCTACACAGCAAATGATTATACTAACAAATTTTCGAGGCCGTAACGGTGCTTAAATTTCTCCAGACGCTTGCTTTAGATTTTCCATATATTTGTCTCAACTCTGTAATTTTCCCGGGAAATTTTAGTCGGCAGGTGAAGAAAACGTTTTACAGACAAATGTATAGAATTTTAAAAAGCGTTTCTCGCGCCGATGGAGCTGCATGTAACGCCCTCAAAATTTTTCGACAGAATCCTTAGGAGTGAAACTCTAGTTTACTGACAGTTCATGTATTTTTTTTACAACAGCCGTTCTACCGCGAAATGATACTGAATACTGCGGCTCAATTTTTTTTTCATAATGACACAACGAATCAGTTTGTCCGTTTTTAAACAAATGGAGAAGCCTTGACAATGCTCTGTTCTGTTGCAAAACACCCAGGAAGTGTTGCTAAAGCCCAAAAGAGTTGTAGGGGGAACAAGAGACGTCGTCGTGTGCTTCTCCCTACCTTGAGTTCTAGTTTATAACAGAACTCAATATTGGTTTTGACGTAATACTAACCTTTTCCTCAAGTAAGAACAACAGTTACAACAGAACAGAACACAGTTTTCAAATTGTTACTAAATTAATGCAACGTTTTTATTGGTTTTGATAAAGAACGTTGTGCCAGGTCCACAAAAACATAAATTCGGGTTTCCCACCATTCCACTCAATTAACTATGGTTTTGATAAAGAATCCGTTAAATTCCCCACGCATTTCAGTGTCTAGTTTTCAAAACAAACTTTAGCTCCTGGGTTAGATCTGAACTTTATAATACAGTACTAAGCTTTTAGATGATGCGCTTAGAAGCTGCAGATTGTTAGCGACTCAGCAGAGATCTTTTTCCATTCTTTAATGTTTTAAAAGCCTTAAATGAATATTTTAAAACCTTACAAATGCGCGACAATCTCTTGACGTAAACAGGATGGAACAACTGTGATTTGAAAAATGATAGCTGATTTGTACCACTTAGTACGTCACTTTCCAGCCTTCTTAATAGACAAGAAAAAAAAACATTTGTTTTCATTTTTTATCTATTTTCCTTTTCATCTTCGTTTTCATTTAACACTGTTTGCTTACGTAAATTTCATTATTGTTCTAATTTTTCTTTTTCAAAGTCACTTCGCTATAAATCGACCAAAAGAGTATATTTCTATCTCTACTGCGTTTTTAAAACATAACTGTGGCCGCGCTTTAATTATGCAAATCAAATAAAAACTTCCTTAGTTAACATAAATATTTAGTTCATCTTTGCTGATTAAAGAGTTTTCAAATTACAATCTTCAGAACGTTTTTCCTTAAGCGGGTATTAGCGCTTTCTCACCTGACTGAACAATGTATCAATTTTTGTTCAGCCACTGACTCACTAACAAATCAACTCAGCAGAAAGATAGAAGGCCAAACTGCAGGTTATTTGATACGAAAACATCCCGGAGGGAAAATCGGTTTTATTGATTAAAAACGTTGGTCAAATTTTGTCAATCACTTTTCTGAACATTTTCCGTTCATATCAAGTTTCTTTTTCGATTTGATATTGATCTGTAGAGATGGGGAGGGAAATGTGGGAAAATATGTGGCTGAAAGGTCTGCAGACAGCAAATAACACGCAAAATTAAAAAAAAGGCTTAATTAAGATCTATCAGTTCCACATCTATAGACTAACTGTACAAAAAACCTATAAGTTCGACAAATAGGTGCATGCTTACACATTATAGAACATCTTATGGGATATGCTTAAACGCTAACTGACAATTATCAACATATAATATGACTTTAATATCCTTTCTGTCAGGGAAATAATAATCGCTGTCACGTGTTTATTTTTGTTTCTAGCTTCAGTTTCTCCACCTGCCAGAGGTATTAGAAGCTAAGGAAGATCACTTTATCAGGAAACGCAAAGCGGGATTCTTCCGTTGAAAAGCTTTATCGCAAATGAGAGAAAAGTAACGCCTTATTCGCGTGCGCTCGCGGTGACTCCAAGTTCAAGGGCAGTCTATTAGCAACCGGACAGGATCTTTCAGAGTCATTAATATAACGTCGATCTGCGCGACCTATGTAGTCATTTCAAATACGTGTCATTTCCAAAACCCCCAGGCTTGTCATCAAAAATATGTGCTTACAATCACACAAGTAAACCACCCGCGCGTGCTTTTTAACGCGAGACTCTTCAACTTTTCAATTCAGGCAGGATTAACAGACGTTAAACTTAGCTTAATGGTGAACCAAGAAGGCAACGAAAGGACAATTTTGATTGTAGGGGTGTTTTTCGGAGTTCTAGCTTTGTGTATTGTGGCTCTTATCATATGTTGTCTATATTGGCGTCGTCAACTCCAGAAAGAACGAGCGAGCGGTCGTGGAGGGTTTGGGTATAACGACGACCTGGATCGAAATCCTTCGACCACGGGAGCAACATCTCAAATTGAAATGTAGACTGGATGCCGCGACACTCGATTTTCTTGGCCTAGAGGAATTCGTCCCCGTAAATTTAATGGAACTGCTGTTTTCCTTCTTCGGAAGAAAACCCCATTATAGTGAAATGAAATTATGCATGAAGACAGTCATTATGCCGGTCTATGAATCGCCGTCCGGCAGGGCCAAAAACAGTGGTCGATTTTCACTGCTGGTCACCTTAGAAAATGGTTAAAGAGAATCGAGGACATCGACGAGGAGAAAAAGGAAAAAAAATTAAATCCTTGATTGTTAGAAAAAAAAATAGGACAGAATTGTCGGTTATCCATTAATAAGCGGGAGAGCTTTCTAAATGCAGACAAAAATACTTTAAACGCGAAGTCATTGTTTTACTCCAGATTCACTTATTAATAGATATGTTCATATTAGTTACAAGTTCAACGTGATTTTCATATTCAAAATGTATTAACAAATTAAACATTATCCTTAGACTGTTGTAAGTGAAAAGCAATGTTAATATGCACGTATCTGCTGTTGCCTTAATTTTTAAACTCTGTCACGCCTGTTATTTAAGGGATCAACTTTGCACACTAGTGAAGATCAATGTTATTGTTTCAAATTATGCAGTGCGGCGATACCATGGAGGAAGCAGGAAGGTCCTCAATCTGCTATTTGAATTTCTTGAATACGTTTTCCGCAGGAATTGGAAACCATTGTGTCAAATTTCAATTCTTCGCTGACGGAAATTGGCCGACAGCAAGGAAAACACTACAATAATAATGATTCAGACCTTGTCTAAATACTAGGAAAAGAGTTTTTTTTAATATTTGAACATTTGATCGAGCCTCAACAGTATTGACAGTTCGTGGCCAAAACATCAGCCCACTATACATCATCAATACATAACACTTAGTTTTCGTCCGATGTAACCCAATCGAAACCCAAGAAAAAAGAAATTTTGTTATTTCGCTCGACTGAAAAAAACAGATGACTGAAGTGTTACTTATTTTAAAAAAGGCGTAAACGACAGACAAAATTTTAACATAATTAGCACAATATTGTAATATGGAGATTTCGTCCAAAATTGTTTGTTCATCTCCACTCGAGTAAGCAACAAACGTGAAATGAACGGGGTAAAGTTTTCATTTTTGCCAGTATATTTTGAAATGTCTCATTAGTATTTGCCCGAAGAATAAACCGCTAGATAACAGCATAATGCGTATAAAATGGGGTGGCGAAATTAAGCTTCACTTCAAAACGAATTACATCTCAGGATCTAAATTGAAATTCATAAACATACTTTTAAAAACCTCTAAACGAAGTTCATGAATATTTTAACAGCCAAGCAGCTGGAATTTAAAAAATATTACGCGTTTTGCTTTATAAGTTTTCCAACGCAACGGTTCGTTTCGGTCTTAAAAAAGCGATTCATGAAAAATTGCAACAATGTCTCCTAGCAACAAAAGTAAGCAAAAAAATGATTTAACGGAGGATTGCAACTGCTTCCAGAGAAAGATGGCTACTGTAAGCCACTGTTGTCGTACTAAAATATGCCTGCTACCACTGTTGTCGTACTAAAATATGCCTTGCTAACTTTTCTTTTCGACAGAATGATATAGCAAACGCTAAAATTATCCTTTCTTCTAAAAAAACAAGCATACACTGACTCTTCTTTTTTCCCAAGGCTCTACATATTTTTTTGTGACCTCACCATTGCCATACCCTTGTCGAGAAACCGTTCTTGTTTTTTCTTTTCTTCCTAAATATAGGCGGAGTAAAAATATAGGCTAAACTCCAGGTTAAATTATCCTTTCTTCTAAGCAAGCATACACTGACTCTTCTTTTTTCCCAAGGCTTTATATATTTTGCGTTATAAAAAAATTAGAAACATTTCAAAAGTAAGGCAAATGATACAGAGATTGAACAAAGTTAAGAGGAATTATTTATTTTAATTTTTTTGGGACAAAATGACTTACATTCTTCTTGACATTATAAATTTGTTCCAATTTTATTTTTTCTTGTTTTTCTGTAGGTTTGGCGCTGAAACTTTTACTTTTCCTGGAATATAGCGTGAAAGGTCGTTGTCCTAAAGAAAAAAAGGAACAAAACAAATTCACCTTTTTTTTTCAGTTTCTGAAAGAAAACTCTATAGTTTTTAACACACAGCCTGCAGATAAAGACACCTCTGTTTCATCGCTCCCTGCTACGGACATTTTGCGATTCGTTCCTCTTGACGGTAAGCAAAAAGAGGCGACTGTACTTGCAGATTAATTTATCATCAAAATCAAATTTGGAACGCATTGTCTTTATTTAAGATATGAAAATCAAGTAAGATTGCGCTTTGATTTTGATAGACTGAACCCAGCTGATTGCTTTCCTCTGAGACATTTTAGCTGACAAAATAATATACACAAATTGCACGTGACTGCCAAATCGAAATAGCGTTAAGGTGATGTTATACGGGGCGATTCGCAACCGTACGACGATTTTTAGCGCAAAGCAGCATTACAACATTGTTGCGACATTGTTTCGAATGGTTGTAACACTGTTCCAACATTGCTACGCTGTGATGCGCTCAAAATCGTCGTTGAGAATCGTCGCGTGTAACATCACCTTTAGTCCACTACGTGAGTTTAGAGGATCAAGGGAGATCTAGACGAGCTGAGGGCTGTATAACCTGAAAAAAACCAGCCGACACAAGGTGCAAAGAAAATCATTTTTACTGCTTGTCATTCTGATTGCCCAGATGTCAAACTAGCAAATTTTTGTTCTTCTGTTATTCAACCAATCATCAAGCCCGTCGGGCAAGTTAAAATCAGAATAGTGACCCGATAGCAAAATCCACTAGCACTGGGCTGTCGGACGGTATTTCTTTGGAATTTCTGCGCTCGTTTTGACGTCTGAGGGTCTTTCACTACCGAGATTTGGGTAGGGATTGAAACCAGTGGTAACGTCGCGAAATGTCGTGACGCGGTATTTTTTTTTTTATCACTTGGCGGGTTACACCAGTGGTGGCGTCTCGAAATGTCGGCTGTTTTTTCAGGATAAGGGCTAACTATATCTCTTACCTTCAAACTCTTGATCAAATCTTTTTCAAGCTGGGTTGCTTCTTTTGAAAATAAGAAAGTGCCCAACGCAGTTTTGGCCGCTAAAAATAGCAAGAAGATGTTTAATTAGTTGGTGATATCTAACTGTAATCGATATAACTGAGTATGGTAGGATGACATTATGCACGGAAACTGCCAACTTACCCCTTCCCTAAGCTAACATTAACACTTACTTCTCACTTAAGGCAAAATGATGGCTTAGGGGAGGGGTAGGTGGGCAGTTCCCCAGCGTCCGTAAAGTGTTAACTGTCGAGGGCATAAAACACCCTCTGATTACTGGATAATTCTTCATATCATACGGAAGCCGAATTCAATAATTGATTTATCATTCAGTCAAAATATGCCATCACTGGTTTCCCTGCGAAATGACGTCTGAGAAATAAAAGCAAAAATTCCATACTGATTACGCGTCACTACCCAGATCTCGGTAGTGCTTCTGATTGGTTGAAGGAAATTCCCCACGCGGCACGATCTATCAGAAGCATAACCTAGATCTGGGTAGTGACGCTTCTTCAGAATGGAATTTCTGCGTTCATTTCTCACAAGTAATTTCGCGGGGAAACCAGTGGGGGCGTCGCGGAAAGTTGGCTGTTTTGTCGGGCTAAAATATTCCAAGCTCAAACCATGTTTTCCTCTATACGGAATTTCCGCCTTCACAACATTTGCATGTTATTAGATAGTTTAAGGATATGAACGGACGTTTTATTTTGTATTCACACTTCACAGAGACGTTTCCATCCATCAAGCGGTACTTTGTTCAACTTCACTTTGTTTCTGAGGCAGTTAATAGGCTACTTTGTCTTTGCAAAGCGTACACCATATTCTCGCTAAAACAGCAGAGACACCGCGCGTTGCCTTTTCGTTTACACGTAACATTTCAGTCTACTGTTTTACGATTCGCCACTTTAGTAAGAAGATGGCAACTGGAGCCAAAATGCGTCCCGCAATTGTTTCTGGGATTGTTACTGGGGAAGTGCAGGTTAGCTATTGGCCAATCCCTAGAAACATTCCCATAAGTCTTTGCGAACGTTAACTCGACCTAGTCTCCTTTCTTGTGTCTAGAGTGACATAAGACCAATTTCGATGCATTAAAATCTTACTTGCCTCCGAGGCTTGAAGGAGTAAAACAACAGAATCAATCTTGAGGTTAAACAATGAATAATATATTTCTTTTGTTTCATTCCCCTACGCATCGTAGCCAAGTATGAATTTTAAAATATCGTCGTTGGTCCGGCTTCAACAATAGCTGGTTATTAAGAACTAGCCGAGGATTTAAACCAATCAGGAACGGAGAAATATTTTGTTCGCCTGATGATCTGTTTTTTTTCTTTGTATGTTTGCTTGTTTTCTTTTCTGCTTTGGCCTCTCTTCACCGTAAGGTGCTTAAAACCTCAGTCGGGGAAATTGAAAGGAGAAATTAGTTTCTGGTAACTTTATGAGCCAGACGTCTTACCTTTTCCTCTGCGAGCTGTTCCTGGAGTGAGTTTTACTTTATACCTGTTGGAATCGAGAGAGTGTCATGTAATGAATGTAGTCGTGAAGTATCCTGCAGTGAAGGGGCCAAGAGGTGGCATCCCGTTAATGCACCTATGACTAAGATAATTTTAACCCAAATTAACGCGTTTGAGTGCGTTGAACGGAATTTCTGTGTCTTCTAGAAAGTCATATGAAACGACCAGGAAGTGCGGAAATAATTAGCCTCAACGGTATGTTGAATTCGCCCGTGTAAATAACTAAATTAAAACCACAAACGCCAAACTTAAAAAATAACAGAGGGAAAACAGGCTTCCAGTGCCTAGTTAAGAAAAGACGTCTTTGGGCGATGAACGCCAACCGGATTTGACGCTTGGCAGTGGCTTTACCCGAATGATCGGGCAGATCATCTTAATAAGGGTAAAGACACTTAGGAATACAAATTTGGTAGCACCAAAGCATGTTAACAGGAAAAAAGGCCTCTGCACCTCCGGTTGATGGCGGGAACTCTCCCCTAACCCCGGGTTATTTTTTCCTTGGTTTAGGGTTCCCCGTGCCCCTTCCCCGTCTCCTCGAGAGATTTCTTTGCTTCACTGCTACTTCTACCAGCTACAAGGGAGACCACTTTCCGGAAAGAAGCATAACGGGAAAAAGTGCGCTGCAGATCCAGGGGAAAAAACAAGTGGCTTACTTGAAATTTTGAACAGCCGTGTATGGTGCACAGACAGGAACTGCAAACAATAGAATATCTTCAGAAATGGGACAACCTGTCAAAGAATCAAGGAGAGATACGGATTCCTACAAAAAGAAAAAAAAATGGTATAAATCAACAGCAGATAATCAAGACTTAAACAAGTACTAAACACGAGACGCGTTGTTATTAATCCTACATCCCGAGAGGTGGGTTACAAAAAGAGACGCAGCACAGAATTTTTAGGATACCATCATACCGGTTCCTGTTACAGTGCATTTACCGTTTGTGTCCGGACGAACCAATATGCACGTCCCACGTAACATGGTTGCACAAATCTTGCATGATCTTGATCCTGAGGCAAGTAGTTTGAGAAAGAAAAAGAAGCTCAAACGACGGCACTATCTATCCCATGGGCCAAATCAATGCTGGCACATCGATGGTAAGTTTAGTAATATTTGTACGAAGTCATAAGAGCATGAATGAAATGCATAGAACAAAGTAGTGTTTGTCTCAACTCAATACTTCCTATGTTCGCAAAACACAAGCCAAGCAAATTGATGGCACTTTTTGTTTTATATTGCAATGATGTGTTTCTCAGCCCTTCTTCCATAACTTTGATTTGATATGTTCACAAGAAAGTGTGATTTTTTTTACTGCATCTCTATCATGTAGTGCTACTGACTTTGAGGGTAGAGGGTCTGGGAACTTATTGTCTGTGGATGCTTGTCTTTTGATCAGTTTTTTGTTTTGCTGCTTTTTAAGCATGCATAGACAATATTGTGCCAGCCTGGACCCTCTCCCAAGAGAATCACATTGCATAACAGAATTAGGGCCAGAACTGATTTATTGGCATCTTTTGCTTTGGCATGTAGTAGCTTAACAAAATTTTACACATGTAGTATTGTATTATTTTTAGTAAGGTCCTGTGTGAAGTGGATCCTTATTGTCATGATCATTACCATAATCGTTATTACATATTGAGGGAAAAAGGATAATTTTTTTTTATGTTGATGTGTGAAGTAATTTTGCTGTCTTGGAATAAGGCATTTGTGAACACTTTTTACAGGTTACGACAAGTTGAAACCATTTGGATTTCCAATTCATGCAGGCGTGGATGGGTACAGCAGAAAGGTTCTATGGGTGGAGTTAGAAAGGTCCAACAATCTCCCTGAAATTACTGCAAGGTATTACTTAGAATGTGTTAAGGAGCATGGTTTCTGTCCCTTACAAACCAGAACAGATTGTGGTACTGAAAATGGCATTATAGCTGCCATGCAGTGTTACTTTCGATCAGAAGACAGTGCACCACACTCAGGGAGTCTGCCCATATCTATGGAACATCAACTGGCAATCAAAGAGTAGAGAACTGGTGGTCTCACTATTGGAAGTCCTCTTCCAGTTGGTGGATTCAGTTTTTCAAAGACCTGTTAGATAGTGGGCGGGTTGATATTGCAAACGAAACCCATAAAGAATGTCTGTGGTTTTGTTTTCATGGTATTTTGCAGCAGGAACTAGATAAAATGAAACTATACTGGAATACACATCACATTAGACCATCGAGGCATGACACAGTTGGAGGAGTTCCCGATGTGTTGTTTCAACTACCTGAAGAATCAGTTGCTTTCGACTGCTCTGTACCTGTTTCCAGGGACAAAATCTTAGAAATGGAAAGCAAATGTGCCTACGAAGAAGAAGAAAATGTCTTTCAGGAATATTTTCATTATGTGATGGAAGAAGAGGGCTTCATTATCCATCAAACCATGAAGAAGCACTTCGTTTATTTTTTCAACTCAGAAAATGTTGCATAATCATATTAAAACTATTATGATCAATAAACTTTCAAGAAGAATTTACAATTTTTTCTTATATTACTTGCAGTATTCACAATGATTGTGATACTGAAATGTGAATATTCTGTCTTTATCTTTCATTGTAACAATTAACCATAACATTAACTCCAGAAGTACTGTTGCATTAAAATGTTGCACTTTGTCTGTTGTAACACAATGACCTAAAAGACGAACTTGTAAGTGCTCTTTCGGCCAGAAACATGATGCAGTTATTTTCTCATCTGAAAATCTTTGGTTTAGCTGGTCGGTACATGTTATCTTCTTTTAAGGGCCAACAATTCATCTTTTGAGGGGTGGGGGGGGATTTTTGGTCACACGCGGGCTCTCTTGTTGTGGTTTGATGCCAGCTTTCGCGTTGGCGTTCTCGCGAGTAGCGACAACTTGGAGGGGCGGCGTTGGCTTTCATAGGGAGCCTGTTCTCGTTGTACCGAACTGATTTCTCGGTAGGTACGAAAATAGATCGGATGTCATGGAGTAAACTTAAGCATTTCTTTTGTTAGATTTTTTCTCTATATGAACTATCCATGAGTTTGAGAAGCTCCTATCATACATTACGGAAAGAACAGCATGCATACCTTTGTGGCCAGATCTTCTGCTTCCTCATCCGAACCAACCTAGATTAGATCAAAAACAAGGAAAAGCCATAAACAAAAGCGACTTCACGAGTTCGAAGACGTATCAAATTCAAGGAACCAAGTACGACTGTATACTCACCATATTAGGATCGTTTTCATTAAGGGAAGTAGTGGCGCCTACAAAACGAAGAGATATACTCAATTGCAAACTAAAACAAACGCTCTTGAACAACACGCACAAACTAGAATTCATGTTCTATCGCGAATGGTGATCTCAGTAGATCTATATCACGATATTTATGTTCTCCTTGTCTCATAATACATGAGATAGTAACCACCTTTTAAAACCTTTCTCACAAGATTATAAAAAGAAATTAGTGCCTATTTTTAAAGAAGCAAACATGGACGACGAACCTACCGTCATATACATTATTAATCGTAAAACCCAGTTCAGCAAAACTCCATTCCGTACCTTCAGTCTTCACAACCCCAGCATTGTCTTTTTCCTTCTTTGTATGTTCTGCAGCGCTTGAAAGATTCTTTTCATCGCCATCCTGGCTAGGTTTCCCTAAAGACGCTTCGCCTTCATTTGTTCTTTCATAGTCATTAATTTTACTTTCATTGCTGTTTTCACTCGGTCCACTTTCGCGATTAGCACTGGCAGCATGATCCGGAAAGTGTCGTTCATTTTCACTCGTCTTTCCGAGCACCTCTGTAGCTTGTCCGTTATTTCCTGGATCACCGGCAGCATTATCCGGAAAGTCTAGTTCATTTTCACTCGTCTTGCCGAGCACCTTCGTAGCTTGTCCGTTTTTTTCCGGATCTAAGAGTCCCTTGTTTTGTTCTGACTGAGCACTGGTTGACTGTGTGTTTCTGTTGTTGGGTTTACTGCTGACCGGCCTGTTGGCTCCTCCTGCTCTGTTACCCTTCTTTTCTTTCTTCCTTTTGTCGGCTTTGCTCTCCTTTGCAGGACCAGCAGACTTAAACACAAACGAATATGTCAGGAGAAACGACTGAGAACACCAGCCTATAAGCACTGGACGTATATATCTTCACAAGGGGTTTAGGAGGGCTTATAAACGGAGGAGCTTATATCCGAGGGGGATTATGAATATCGTAAACTGCCGCTTATAAGCTCTGGTCCTATACATCTTCGCAAGGGGTTTTAGGAGGGCTTATAAACGGAGGAGCTTATATCCGAGGGGGATTATAACCGGAATAGAAAAAGGAGCTTCGAAACAAGCTATAGAAAAAAAAAGAAAAGTTTTTACCGCCAATATTTCCATCTTCATCTGTCTTTCTTCTTCATCCTGTTCGCCATATTTTTCCTTAATCTTTTTAAGTTTTGCCTGTTAAAGACCAGAAAAGCAATTTTAGTTCACATTACAAGACACTAAATAACGTACGCTACTTGAAAGCACAACCGAAATTGCTATACAACTGGAGTCTAGTCAGAGTCTAGTTCCGATGCAGTGCGAACTAATAAGCTAGCAGGTGTTGCAAATCACAAAAATATAATTTTTTCATGCAAAAAATGCTAATGAGCGAGAAGCGAGAAACACTTCAAATTGTGGCTGACTGGAAGCACGAGAATTGCAGTTCTGCTCCCTGAGGCAGGCCTAGTTAATATCTACCTTTTTTCCTCTCTTCGCTTGTTGTTGTTGGTGTTGTTGTTGTTGCTGCTGCTGCTGTTGACTTGCTTTACTAGATTTCTGTAGAAAAAGAACATCGTAAACAGTCTATAGTTTGGGTAAGTTCGTAAATGGAATAAATATCAAACTCGGGTGGACAGATGTGAACGAATAATCACCGTAAAGTGAAACGAGAAAGGCTTGCAAATCGTAAAGACGTATTTCCAGTCGTCTTTTCTCGATGAACCAATGTCAGACGTACCTTATTTTCCTGTGCGTCTCCTCGTCTGTCTTCAATGTTCTCGTCTTGATCGTCAACCTCCGCCAGAGAATCCCCTCCGCTTTGTTTGGCATTCTTTCGGTTGTCTCTTTAAGAAAAACAAAAGAAGTCTATAAGAGCCAGGGAATTTAGACGAAATTGAAATATACATGAAGAGTCAAACATTTAACTCAGTGAATAAAATGTAACTTTCAACACAATGCTAACAGGAAAAAAAAAACCTTATCTAGTCAAAACGTAGCACAGAACCTACACCACATAAAACACAACAAAAAGGACCACAAACAAGGACTGATGAATTAATAATTCCCTCTCCCTGTTTCGAAGTTAGTTCGAAACGATCTCTCAATTAGGGCGCGCCAGAAAGGGTAAAGACTCGTGTGAAAACTGGGGCCAGCGAGGCGAGGTAACCCGCTTAAGAGGTGTAAACCACCTGTCCATATAATCTCAAACATCACGTTTACATGATAGGTGGGGTGACCCGCCACATGTTACCTCACCTATCTGGGGTCCACCACCTCCATGAAAACAGGCCCTAAGAGCTTGCAATAGGCTCTGTGACGGCGGGCTCGACTACCAGCCGGCGCTCATTTGGTAGCCAGCAAGAGAGCTCTCTGTTTTAAAATGGCGTTTTCTACAAAAAGCCTCGTTGGTTTTGTTACTGAAAACGATAAAAATAAACAGTGTAGGTGGCAGGGATGATACCTTCTTTGTTTTGCTGACAGGCGCTGTTTACTTGCAATCTGGAGATTTAAAGAAAAGCACTTTATTTGAGTCCATGTATTTAACACGAAGGTACTAATTGCGGACACTATTTTACGTATCCTACTGGAGATGGTAACGCCATTTTACGTGGTCATCCTGACCACGTGAAGGCCTAGCCGCTTACAAGAGAAAAGAGGTACTTTAATTTCTCAGTGAAAGACCCTGAGAATTGGACCGGCCCCGGGAATCAAACCCAAGACCTCCCGCTCCGCAGTCATGCGCACCACCGACTGGAGTAAACCTGCCGCGGTTAAGTTCTGCAGTATTCTATATGTTTTTCAGACATGTACTAAACAATAAAAGCACACGATGTACAATTTTACAAGTAACGATATTCCTTGAATTCATCAGAAAATACATCATATTGCTGACACTAAACATGAAGCTGACTAAGCCCCACACAGAAGTACGGAGAAAGAAACCTCCACCTTTTACATACAACGTCTACCCAGCCGCCACGCAATTAATGGTCAAACATTTTTCGCTCATCTATACCTGTTTATTTTCTTCCAGTGGAGCACCGTCACCGTCTTCACTGTCTCTTCGACTGCTACTTCTACTTGTTCCCGGCTGAAGTTGAATTCTAGGAAAACAGATTCAAGATTCAAAGACTGCGCTTATAACAAGAGGAGGCAGAGGAACTCTCCCGTCCCATGCGTCCCTGAATCGTCAAAAATAGGTGTTTTAAATATGAGCTCGAGCACGGTGGCAGCGCACTGCTTACATGTATATATTTTCCCAGCCTTTCACCGACCTCCCATTCAATCATCAGATACTATTCGATGTACGAAGCTCAGGACAAGATGTGCTTACACGTACTTAACTTGTTCCTGGTCAGAGCTGTTTAGAAAAGAAACCATTCTTTACAGGATTTGACTTCATGCCATTAAAATCCTTAATACTACGTGTCTCGTCTCGACGCACGGGGGTTTTTGTATCCCATGATCGCGGGTCTTGAGGGCTTTGGCCGCTCCCATGCGTCCTACACAGAGCGTGTCAGAATTTATAAACAATTTCGGTTTTATCAACAGAAGCGATAAGGCAACATTAGCCATCAAGAAAAAGGGCAGCGTTTCGAGCGTTAATCTCTAATCTTAACTTCTACACTTTCGGACATCTACTTGACGAGTATCAAACCAGCCAGCGCCGCATTTGTAAAAGCTGGCGGTACATGCCTCGCAGGAAACAGGTCGCCATCAATCTACATCACAGCCAATTCTATACCAACAAAAGCTATCGTAGACAGCGAGAGCCTTGGATTCGCAATGACGAAGGGCCATCGCTCGAAAGTTCAGCTTCTCAGCCCTTTGCGGTGCGCAATCCACCTTCTCAACTCAGTTGATAAAAACGAAAATTTTGCACGTCTTCATTTTAAAGGTCATCTCCTACCCAGATCTCTTGCCGACAATACCGTCGACACCGAAAAGATCTGGATACGAGATTAGTTAGAGGGGACTGTATGTAAACTTACTTTCCTTCTCTAGTGAGCTGCAGATCGATGCTTGTGTCAGGGAAAAGACTTGCCTCCGCATTTTCATCTTCTTCCAGATGTGTTGCTTGTTGTACAGCCGAGCTTGTTTGATCGTTATCCTCACGGTCACTATCCTCGTCCTGCACTGAAATCTCTTCTTCGACTTCTGTGTCCTTTAAAAGGTTAAGGAAGCAAAATTTCAACAGTGAATTTGGACTGTTTACATTCACGTTGTATTTGTCAATCTGTTAAGGGGATTAAGTACTATTTTGTTCCGTCGTTCGCTCGCGATTAGTATAGGTAATAACATGATTAGAAGTGGTATTTGGCATAAATGCCACGAGTGGTGTTTCAAAATTGTTGTACGTAATTTCACAATCCGTTAGGCGAGTGAAATTAGAGACAATTTTGAAATATCACAAGTAGTATTTATGCCAAATATCACGTACAAATTATGCTGTTATTTGTTTATACTACCGCAAAAGGTTTGTAATTTTCGCATGTAGGTATTTTAAATTAAGCTGAAATACCACTACTCTAAGCCAATCAAGTTGCAGAAATTTCTCATGTAGTGGTATAAAAGAAGTAATTTCAACGTTACATGTTACAACGGTTCAGCTGCGTACTGCAAGACTAGACGCACATCAAAAAGTGAGCAAGCGCGGGAAAAACGAGTGTGAATAGTCACGGGTGCTTTTGTATTACTCATGACTGGTTGAGCATTTGGCGCGGGATTTATGCAGCCAGTCAGAAATCACTCTTAGGCAACCGTTAAATTCCTATCAATACCCAACAGAAGACCTAGAACACTTGTGGTACAACATACTTAGTGACCATGGAAACGGAGAAGAAAAGGTAAGTCGGCGCTCAACGGTGCTGATCTCGAGGAGGGGGAAGCGACGAGTTGATATTGGGCGGCTAACAAGGTTCACGAAGATAACGACAAGCAAAGGATAACAATAAACCAAAGGGACGGAAAGTGTTGAATAAAGGTACATGCAAGTAAATAATATTGCAAGTCATCGTGAACTCACCCCGACAGACTCGGTATCTTCCACAGTTCGGACTCGTCTCTCATTCAAGTGATTTTCAATACAAGTTTCGTCCAATTTGAACATGAATCCAAAGCCCATCATCAAGTAACATGGCGGTAAAAAATTCTTTTTGCCCCTTATCATGAAGCTCCCTGTGGTGAGGTACTCTCCCGTGGGTGCTGTTTTAGACACCTGTGATTGATGTACCCACCATGCTGACGTCACTATCTTGGCTTCCCAGGCAGCGCTGTAGGACACTGCCATGCATCCTGCCTCGTTCAAGGTCTTTGGAGGGACGGGCTGGCCTGTAGGGTTCTTTATTACGACACTGGTAGCGCCATGAAGATCTGCGTGAACGTACAGGTCACCTGTGCAGAAACGTAATCAAATCAGAGCTTACAATTTAGGGGCGTGCTTAATGCATTAAATGTTTAGTACTCATGTTTTGAATTTCACACGCGCCCTGTTGGATGGTGAGTATGGAAAACCGGAAAACTTTTAATTCAGTTACGAAATGAAAAAGGTAAATCATTTTGCTCATCATATGACACGACCATGGGACACCAAGACTTTCTCAAAGTCCTTCGCTTCTCATTTCCGGTTCCGGTAGTTGGTCCCAAAGCTCTCGCTCTCTCGCTCGCGCTTCCCGCTCGTGAAAAAAATTGAGCTCGACTTGTAGGCAAGTCTATGGGACACCTAGAATCATTCTCGTTTGCTTACCAAGCCCCCACTTCCTGCCCCCCCGCCCTTCTCATCGTAACATCACGCAGAATGCCTGTCACATACATGTTCAAACAGAGTAAATAGTCTATAGCTGTACCTCGCTGCATTAAAGTATCTCAGTGAAAGGTTTGAACCCAGGAGTCATTTCAAAAGTAGGTTGAGTTTGATCGTCCGGGTGAACGTAGTCCTGAATAGGACGTTCACCCGGACAATCAAACTCAACCTACTTTTAAAGTATCTCAGTTGTTCAGTGGTAACGGCACCCGATCGGTACCGCAAAGTCTTTAAGGGTCGAACACAATCGAAAACTAAGCATGGTCCCACTTACCACGTTCGTAAGAAGACCAACATCTCACCTGTTATTATCATTAACCGTTTAAATCCCATTATCGAAATGTAAATTCTCATTTGTAGTCTCCATACAATTCTTCATTTGCACATCTCCCACACTGCACCTTGTTTGCTCTCAAAAATTTTGCACAAGCTTTGTCTTTTGTTTCTCGGGGGACAACTGTAATACCCAGGAGAAACCAAAAACAAAGGTTACCCAAAGTTTTGGGGGGCAGACAGGTTGTATTATGGGAGATGTGCAAATGGCGGTCTTAAGGTCAATTAAATCAGTTTACTTGGGTGATCACCCGCTTAATTCTCGTAGCCATGCCTTCCGTTTTATAAAGTATTGATACAACCAGGAGAAATTTGATGCTGATTACCCTTCCTTTCCACTGCTAGAAAAACACATTACCTTGTTCCAAGTGTCTTTTCACTACCAGCTCATTTTGTTGCTGATCGCGGCCGCCGATAATTAGGTAATTTTCTGAACTGATAAACCAGAAGAACTTTTCAAACCAGTAGGTCTTCCTTGCTTTCTTTATTCTAGTCGTTGTTTCCACTTCTTTAAGCGTTTCTTTAGTTTTTCGTTCCGCTGATTTCAAGGCCTACAAACAAAGGAAAAAGCATCTCAAAAGACGGAACAAAGATGTCAACGATACATCGAGCGAGGCGTTCACGTCAGTTATTATCAGAATGCAGATATCCTAAGGAAAAAACTAACGAATGAAATACGAAAGGTGACTGGCCGTTTCACCAAAGTTATCTGTCACATATGTATTATATATCATCTCTCCTTCTGAAAGCGTGTCGAAGAGCGAACAAGAAGCAATATAGAACACTAGTTCTTCAAGTGTTTTTACAGTCTGTTAGAAAACTAACCTTTTCTGATGCGTCTATCGTCTTTTGTTCTTTTTTGGAAGAGAACTTTTTCTTGTCATAAAAACTAAGTGAATAAAAATAAGGGAGAGAATAACGAAGATTAAACGAATAAAAATCAGAAAATGCCATCATCAGCCGATCGCTAGGAAGAATAGACAGTGAAAAGAATTAATTCGTGTTAGACTATATGTAAATCCTGTTTCCATTTCACGCCGTGCTGTCTTTTTAATGAACCATCTTACCTTCGTGCGTTAGCGTATGCTGATAAAGCAAGGTTAATATCGACCTTGGTAAACTTGGGGCCCTGAGTGAAAAAGAAAAGGAACACTGTGCTGCGTTACTTTTATAACAAAAACAACGCAGAGATAAAACGAACAGATCCAGCAAACGATGAGATGAGACAAGATTTTCGGTTTTGCTATTTGTCTAGGTCTAAACAAAAAACAACTTAGGTCTTATGAAGTACCTCAATGAATGAAAAACCTTACCGTTGTGATCTTGACGTTGCGGATTTTTCTAAGATCAATATTAAAAAAAAAACGGGGGAAAAAAACGAAAACAACACCCGAAACCATCTCGTCGGCTTACCTTTTTCTTCTTTTTCTTTTTGGTTTTCTTGTCGTCTTCTTCCTCATCAAAGTCGGAATCAGAATCGGAAAAATCATAAGGATTTCTGTTTAGAATGCAGACAGAAGGTATATTAAAAATAAATAAATAAATAAATAATGATTTGGACGTAGCACATCCACAAAGTGTTTCTTCGTCTACCTGATTCCTTGTCGCATTGGAATTTGGAAATGCTGGTCTTTTAGGAGGGGGGAAACCCAGAGTATCCGGAGAAAAACCTTTCGGAAGAATGGGCTCTTTACACGAAACGGTCACACGGTGCAAAACAAACCACCTTGATGGATGGCAAGCAACGCAATGGGAGTTTGAAAGGAAAGGATGTTAGGTTTTTGGATGATGTTCTTGCCCACTGCGTCGTTTGCCATCTAGTAAGGTGTTTTTGTTCCATGTGACCGTTTCTTGCAAAGGGCCCATACTTTAACAAAATGCCAATCTGATAACGCTGTAGGTATGGCGGTGATATGGTTTGTTTCTCCCACATCAAAATCAGAATTGGGAAACTAACAAGGGATTACCAATACCTCACTCAGTCCTCTTCATTCCGAGAATATACGACTTATTGACGAGATCGAGCAAAACTAACTACGAGAGAACGACTGGAGAACTGACAATTTGACTAACAATAGACGACTGTTTAACTGTGACAATAGAGGGATCGAAACGCACCAATTACTGATTATGAGTCTTCATAGCCAATAACATCACGGCTTAACTAACAGATGACCAAAAACATCGCGAAGTAATTGACCAATCAGATCAATAACCAGAGTATAATACCATCAACTGACGTGATACAACTCACTTTGACTTTGAAGATGACTACCGCACAGGTTGTCGAAACGTCAGTCACTGTCAACAACAACAGTCCTATTCAGGACTACGTTCACCAGGACGATCAAACTCAACCTACTTTGAAAAGACTCCTGGGTTCAAACCGTTCACAATTATACTTCATGATAAATAAAGAAGCTACACTTGGCATAAGATGACTAAACTAAAGCCTTGTCCACACGAATCTGGAAATTTTTCAAACTGGGGATATTTTTACTCAGATTCAACTGGATGGAGCCTTAAACCAAACTAGTTTCCTTCAGACAGAGGGCCGAGTTGTGTAAAAAAATATGTGGTGTCATAACTATGCAGATTCGTATGGACGTGGTCTAGAGCTGCATTCAAATAAAACAGATATCAGACCTGAGATTCATGGTGATATGGTTGGTTTCCAGCTTTAGTCCTCCAATTGCACAGGCCACCTGGTCACACTGTGCCTGGGCCTCTTTAACAATACTGTTGATTTCGGACCAGTCAATTTGATTGGCAATGGCGCTATTAACAATCAAGATGGCCTTATCAACCTAGAGATTAAAAAAGTTGAAACCGGTAGGTTACTTTGCAGTTAGGGCATAAATTTCTTAAATACAATAATTATTTTAATTATTATTTGTGTAGTAGCAGTCTAGTCAATTATTATTGTCTATTGAAGACTTAACTTAGCGAAGAAACATACATATATAAACATAAATAACAACATCAAAGTCTCGTGTCCAAAAATTACTAATTGTAAGATTGCAAGCGTTATAATTAAAAGTCAAAACTTAAGATACACTCGCTGGCAATTTGCACAGTTTTTAAGTCTTTCTCAATATTGTGTCGATACATGTACAAGTTCGTACACTCTGAATTTTTGGCCGTGTTATAAAGCCTAATTAACAAAAACAACAATGAGAAAAGCAGCAACGTCAACCGAAAGTTAGCTTCTTCATCAAAAACAACAACGCTGTATGCGACTTTTGGTAGATTTCTTTGCCATCCCCTGCACAGGGTACATTCCTTTACATCACCGAGCCAGCGCGCATCACAGTAACATTAAAAGTTGAATTCCTGTAAAATTATGCGGCAAAGCTCTTTTAACAGCTTACCAGTTCCAAATTCAGCTCCACCAGCTCAGCTTTAAGCATATCAAGATCCTGGAACAAGTTAGTCACAAAGACATCAGTACAGAAAAATTCTCAATGTCTGAACACTAAAATGATCATCTTAGACCCCACCCTTCTTTTTATTTTTTTCTGTTTTTTGGAGCCGAGATGGAAAAAAAATCGTAATGGCTATCTCTAAGTTATGTCTTTCCCACTAGCTCTTTTAGTGCCTGTACAACTGTACAATATAACTGGCAAGGAAATTGGAGTCCCTGACTTTTGTCTCTTTTAGAAGTCATTATTTCACTTCTGGTAAAACAGCAAACCTCTCACTTTGACTTACCCCTCCCCTAACACAATATCAACACTTACTTCTCACTTCCAGCAAATTTTGGATTAGGGAGGGGTCACTGAGCAGTTTTACAGAATCATAGACGCACAAAATTTGGCAATAACATTTTATATCCAGTTTGAGTTGCTAGATATAACAATTATTATAGATAACAAAATCAAGTTTAAAAGCTGAAAACTAACCTGATTCTTTTGTAACTGCTCAATTCTTCTCTGATGATCATTCCCAACATTTTCTACTTTTTTAAGTGCCATTTTTTCTTGGGACAGTGCCTTTAAGTCAATCTTTTGTCCTTCCATCTTTGAGAAAAACTCATCCACAGCCTATACACATAACATACTGACAAACTCATCACAATTTTAAAATGTCTAGTCATAATATTATTATTACTTTCTGAATTTTGCCGTCAAGATATCTTTAAAATACCTCAATCATGATACATGGAAGATGCATTTGCAGTTCCATAATATTATTTATTTGTGGACATTATTTCCACTTGTCTTTCCTAGTGAGTGCTGGGGTTTTATCTTTCCCTCACACCAACTATAGGCCAAATCTGGCCTCACCAAAAACCACAGTACCTACAGTGTAGCATAGTGCATGCATACAGGAATTTTATTTATAAACTACATTGTACCTTGTCAAAGGATGGAAACTCTATGTATGGGCCTTTCTTGTGTTGTTCTAGTAAAAATGGGTAAAATTCTTGATACCTATGTACACAAAAAAAACAAACAACAAAAAATGAAAGACGTTATTCACTTACTGGTAAGTTTCTCAATTTTAGAAACGATTGGGGCCATTTATTAGAGGAAAAAGACATGTTTTCATGTCTGAAAGAAGATGTGACTCAGCAAAGACTATGCTGGACGGTATAAATAGCACAGTTTGTGTCTTATTTAAGACATGTCTTATGTAAGCTGCGTCTTACTTTTCCCTGTAAAAATAGCCATTATGTTACAGAATCTCACGACCTTATTGATTCTCTAAACTTGTACTTCAATAATGTACACAAACGTTTCACCCATGTGTCAAGAAATTGATTAATTAACTAACACTGCACATCAAATAAAAAATAATATCTTGAGAAAAAAAAGATTACCAAAAACTTTAAAGGTTTATAAATACATTTCCCTCATAAGAATATTAGAGTGGCAATTAGGCAAGCTGATATTAGGGTCTAAATGGTTAACCCATCCTAAAGTTTTTCAGCTGCGAAAAAAAAAAAACATACAGTTTGTGATTGAAAGTCTGTCAGCTCTTGGCTGCAATATAATCTATGCTCACATTATCTATATGATTGACAGCTAACACTACTTATACAGTCAGGTGATGATTCAAGGGAACATACGTTAACAGCTCATCTTGTGTGCCTTTGTCAGTCGCCATGCTGGAAGGCTTCTTTTCTCTTTTTTGAACTATAACACCCTACATTAAAAGTGAAACAATCAACAAAAAAGCAAAATTTTGATACAGATTCTATTTTCATTTTTGTAAAACAGAGGCAGACAAACTTCGGGAAGAGTGGTTTGAAACCTAACTAACAATGATCCTGGGTTACCTACATGTACAGAGGATGTGTTATCATGATGGCAACTTACAATCTGTTTGTGCCAATTGTTATTCCAACAATTCTACTCAGGGAAAGACGACTTACACTGAATGTGCTAATTATTAGCTAATTATTATTAAGATCTTCACTAGTAACCTCCAAGTGGATTATTTTGTATTAAAAAATTAACCATTTTTGTGAGCACTCAAACTCATAGACCTGTTGTACCTTGCATTTTTCTGTAAGGGCAATGTCCAGAAAACCGTCTGCTCTCTTCAGTGCTGCCATGACCCTGGGAAGGTCTACATAGCCACAACAAAAAAAATTCTCTAATGTGTTATTATTTCAATTTATTATGCATGCACGTATGGCTACAACAGTGTGCGCAATCTGATTGGCTGTTTTCTTGTAATGACCAAGCATTATTTTCTTGTAATGACCTGGCATAACTTGTGCTAGATGTCCAAGGCATATACCATCTATGTTTAACTTGATCGTGGACATCGTTATCGACATCCATGTTATGGTCAATTGCCAGCTGTCAAAAAGGGCAGCCACTGACTAGTGTCAACTGACTGTATCACCACAGGCGGCCCAGACATAGTATGTGTCACTGAATGGATATATTAATATTTACATGGACAAATTAATGCGATGAGTCGTCGAAACTCCAATGAACTAAAATAGTCCAAAAATCAAAATATAACAAAATAAAGCTAAGATACCTTTAACTGAACGTATCCTTGTCTTTCCTGGCCGGTTAAAGTGGCATTTTGTCGAGTTTTGCAATTGTAGGAACTATCCACTAAAGAAGAATTAAAGGCTGGCTACAAAACAAACAAACCATCTCCACGCGCTTTCACACGAAGCGCTATAAATTCGAGAATAAATAATCGACGAATCCGCTCCAAATTGCCATCGGCTAATCTGCAGGTAACGTGTGCCCCTGCTTCTTGCTCGCTGGCTCCACGAAACCCATCGCAACTGCGTAATAATTGCTCGCTCATCAACAACCAATGTTGACCTTTACGCTTCGATATGACAGCAAACTACCAGGTATAATACGCGACGTGAATATTCAAGCTTAGTGACCGCGTTCGCGCAATAATGCAGCAATTGCTATGGGAGGGATGGTACTATTGCTTCTAAGTCAATCAATCGGGAAAATAATATTGAAGCGCTTGTAATTTTTAAAAAGATCCAATTTGCCATAGGATCACCGAACAGATCACCGAAGGATTTGCCGTAGGATCACCGAACAGATATAGTGGAGCTAAAAAAAATGAGCGGCAGCGGAAATAGTGAACAAGAACATATACCACATTTCCTCCACAAAAAGTGAAAACTAGGAAGTTTTCTGGACGTTTCACGTTGCAGTCATGCAAATCAACGGCAAGGAAATGTACAAGAAAGTGTGCTGCAATTAGACCTTTTCACAGATCTGGTCAAGAGCATCCAGCGTTTAATTTTTCACATTTCACTCACCGGGTTAGGATATTTTTTGTAGAGAGTAAAAAGGAATCCTAAAATTTTCGGATTCAAAAATGTGATGAAAGAAGGAATCTGAAAAATCATCTCCTTTGTAATACGTTAAATTACATCTAAAATTTTCGGGAAAATAATTCTGAATTCCTCGTAATTTCGAAAAGACTCAAGTTTCTCTAGAATGGCGGAACACTGAGATACAAATTTTACAGTGCCACTTAGAATGCATTTCTATAGAGCTAAAAGTGCTTTATGAATAGCTACAAAAGTGTTTTCAAAGTATTTGAGGAAACAGTCGTCGGGTGCCGCTGTCTCGTTGCCTTCTCCGCTTAGCATTACACGAGATATTTTATATTTAGTATGAGCAAACTATAAATCATTAGCTTCGCTTTTAGCCCTCCTGACTAAATTTATGTAAGCGCTGTTTAGAATGCATCTTTAGATCGAAAGTACTCTGGACAGCCTTAAAATGTGTTTTCAATGCATTTAGGGGGAAATCATCGTTGGGTGCCCCTGAGTTTTGAGAATAATAATAATAAAAAAAGATATCGCGCACATAAATTTTACTTTACGATATTTTCAGCTGTATATTCTATTCAGCTGCATAGCCGAGGCCAGATTTTGCCTTTTTCCTGGGCGGAAAATTCTCGTCCTCTTTCACCAGTTTGGACAACATATTGTGGAGTAAGACATTGTTCTGGAAAGAACTGTTTATTTAATTAATCGAAGCAAATAGGTCTAGAAGAGTCAAGAACCTATGTAAGCGGCTGGACGAACAATGTGACAGCGGCTGTGACAGCGAACGTTAGAAGAATTCGAACTTGAAAACCAGGGCCGCCCTGTTGAAAACTTACGGATGGTCGCGCGATCGCCTTTGTTTTCTGGTCAAAACTAACGCAGCGAACCTTCGGTCAGTGTCGATTGACCTAGAAGCAATAGTACCATCCCTCCCATAGCAAGTGCTGCATTGTTGCGCGAACGCGGTCGCTAAGCTTGAATACTCACGTCGCGTATTATACCTGGTAGTTTGTGGTCATATCGAAGCGTAAAGGTCAACAGTGGTTGTTGATGAGCGAGCAATTATTGTGCAGTTGCAATGGGTTTTGTGGAGCAAGCGAGCAAGGAACCGGAGCACACGATACCTGCAGACTAGCCGCTGGCAATTTGGAGCGGATTCGTCGATTATTCTCGAATTTATAGCGCTTCGCGTGAAGGCACGTGGAGATGGTCCATTTGTTTTGTAGCCAGCCTTTAATTCTTCTTTAGTGGATAGTACCTACAATTGCAAAACTCAACAAAATGCCACTTTAACCGGCCAGGAAAGACAAGGATACATTCAGTTAAAGGTATCTTAGCTTTATTTTGTTATATTTTGATTTTTGGACTATTTTAGTTCATTGGAGTTTCGACGACTCATCGCATTAATTTGTCCATGTGAATATTAATATATTCATTCAGCGACACATACTACGTCTGGGCCGCCTGTGGTATCACAGGTCAAAAGTAAAACTCATTGAGGCGATGTGTTTTTTTTAAAGTTATCTGCTGGCCAGTTGTTTGTTTTAATTGATTGCAGGCTCAGGTCCATAATAAAAAGGCCATTTAATAAATAACTTATTAACCTTGTCCATTTGGTCATATATCACTTAAGATTGTTCCTTTTGACCTTAACCAGGTTTCCTTTCTTCCAAAAGCGTTTTGGGTGTAATTTCAAAGGAATTAAACCGACTACAACTCGTTTTATCGCATGCTCGTGTATTCGGCCGCCATTACTCGTTACCAGTCTCCCTCAAAACATCAACACGTGCAACACATCACGTTGCGTCAGTCGATCGAATAGTAGAGTTGCAATTTTGCCTCACGAAGCACAAGCTATACATTGTAACCATTTTAGAAAGTAGAGTTTTTATTCTTCTTTTCGTTTTCCCTTAATTTTGTGGTTGAAGGTGTGGCATGTTTATGATCGGATCCTCGCTGAAATGCTGTCGATTTCACAAAACATTTATACGGCCATCGCGCATCATGTCGCATCAGTCGATCGAAAAACAGTAAATTGAACTTGGTTTCCCTTCAAGATGCAGGAGGTATTCATTGTTATCATTTCAGAGTTCAGAGTTTTTATTCTTCTCTTTGTTTTGCATTAATTTTGTGGTCGTAAGTTTGACTTGTTCTGCATTCCCGCACGAAATGGCGTTAATTTTATCAACATTACGCCCATGAAGACGAATAACAAATCGTAAGCTTGCCCTGATTAAGGTAAATTGACAAATGTAACCGACTTATTAACTTTCTCTGTTTCATTTAAAGTAAGAGATGAGCAAAAATTGTGGATCAGATTACTTTGTGGTGGTGTAGTGTGTTTTAATGTTGCGAGATCACTCAAATAAATGGAAACAGAAGTATACTAGCCTCTGATGGAAACCGTTGCGTACTAACCATAAATTGCCTCATTCTTCTACTTTAATAGTCTTTCTTCGTGAAAATGAACTTTTCCAGAGGGGTTGGGGGGTCTTTGTCACACTTGTGGAAATTCCGAGGGGGTGGGGGGTCATCAGTTCCCCTGCAAAAATGGAAAATCCAGGGAGGTGGGGGGGTCCTTAGTGAAATTCCCTCCGTGGTGGGGGTCTGGATATTTTCTGGAACTACACATTACAGGGAAATCTCAGACTGAGGCCTTGATGTATTGACCAAGCGAGGTCAATACATCAATACTCACTCTCAGTTAATAAGTAATACATGTATGTACACGTAAACTCCGTGACAGGATCCATTTTCTGCACTTTCTATGCATAAAGGAAAATCCACATAGTTGTAATTGTACAGAATTTTTTCATCGTATTTAAGAAAAAACCTGTGTCTCAACTTCGTTAAAATGGAAACGTTTCAACTGTTTTTGAAGTAAAAGTGACAAGAACTTTCAAAATCATGTAATGACATGAAACAAGTTAGTTAATATAATGTATAATGGAATTTTTGCAAGACTAAGGTCACAATCATAAAAATGTTACAAATAGAATAATAATTATTATAATAACCAGTAAATATCACAAATAGTGAAATAATTATATATTAATGGTGAAGTTGCAGTACCATGGTCAATGTCAAATCCAGCTCCGGTCTTGACATTTCCTGGGAATCCTTCTTCTATGAGACAATGCTCTATGAGAGCAGCACCATAAACTGTGAATTCAAGAAGAGACAAACTATTGAATTATTATTAGTATTATTACTATTTTAATGGAATGTTGTTTCAATATGTGTCAAGCTTGAACAAAGATCTCCACATAAGCTCAAAACTGAATTCACTTTAATCAACTCTAGAACTGTTAATGAACAAACATGATACATTGTACATGCGATAAGCTTAATTGAAGTTTGATTGACACATTGTAACAACTATCACATGAAGAGATGTTACAGGTAGAATTAAATTCAGGTTAAAATTTTTTAACCTACTGTAGGTTGATTCTCAATTTCTTTTGTCCTCTAGCACTAATTCATGAATAATTAGGTCTTAACAAAGCAAATTGAGAATCAACCTATGACCTGCAACAGAGATACTTCCTGAGTAGCAAGAAATTTTTACTATAGAACAGTACATGAGATACAGTACGTACAGCTCAGAGATACGCGACCAACACACAGACAATTACACTTGGTTTAATGTTTGTCTATTAGAAAAAAATCCAGAATATTTGCAATCAATTTTTTTCTTATTTACATTTTGATATTTTACTTACCAAAATGTGGATTTAAAATCTTCTTTAACTCAGTGCCTTCCTTACTTTCTGCTAATATTTCAGCAAGTCTAAAATCATAACGAAATTATTGATAAAACTAATAATTATAATAATTATTGATTGCATTGAATGAGATACAATCAAGGAACCACATGAAAATGAAATAACATAAATCATAATCTTGTAGCCAATAAAAACATTTAACTGTTACACATACGGTGTATATCCACTTATTAGCTAACCTGTGATCAGAGGTTCTTAGAATAAGTGAAGAAGTGTAATGACTGATCCCAGGTTACTTATTGGCAAGGACAGAAAAATTTGAGAACCGACGTCAAGCTGGTAACCTTCATATAAAGTTGTTTTATAAATGAACTCAGGGTCTCAATGAAGATCAAGGAAGACAATGCAAAAGAAACGTTTGTTGAATTATATACTGAAATACAGGACGGTCTTGACTGACATGGTGCTAAAATTTAGCTGCCAATCTTATTGTACTGTACCTTTCTTGACTCATCATTGGTTCTCTTTGTCTAGCAGAATGAATTGGATATTTTTCACGCACTGCAAATCGTACATCCTCTGTATCTGTTCTTGTTCGTAGGAGGCTCAGAATGGTGTATTCAAAATCAGTAAGCACGACATTTCCCTGGAATGCACATATGTGCACAGAAAAGGTGATTAGAAGCGTGAGAGTTTCTTTATTTCAAAGACATTTATGTACTGAATACTTACCGGCCGTTTTCAAGTTAATTCAATCAAGGTGTAAATAATTTTTTGTAGTTGGTTTATAGACTGAGGAACGTTCATGCCATGTGTTTTTTCTTGTTCACGCACTTCTATATAAGTGACTTATACTTCAGTGATCGAAATTGTCATGCAGTTTCACTGCTTATTATAATTATTAGTTTTTATTGAAACAACTTGCATGTATCAAGATGACTTCACATAGAATAAAATAATACAATACCACAGGCTTTAAGGCAAATTCTTACCCTGTCATAAAGTTCAACAATCAAATGATAGGCAGCTTCATCTGAACCAAACTGTAAATCCACAATCCGATCAATACCCAGCTGAGTAATGTTCACAAGGCGACGAGAACGGATATGCTTGCGGCACTGAAAAAAAATCATAGAATAATAAAGTTGTGCAGACAGGAAGATATTCAGGAAGTTAAGCCTTGGAGACTGGCTTTGAAAGTTTTGTTGTCTAATGACTGATACTTGATGTATTCATGTGTATGGTAGGTTTATTTATTGTTTTCAACTTGTTTGCATCAGAATTTTTCAAATTCCTACTGCTAGTATTCATCAAGTGACAGCATTGATCTGCAAAGCTAATAAGCCCAGCTTAGTAAATCAATCTCATCACTTGATGAAGTTTGGAAATGAGTTTGAATTCCATATTTCATTACAAACATATAATATTATTCTTACATGTTTCATTATGTAGTTTGTAGTATCAGTCGAACTAAAGTGAACACACTTTACTGTGTGGGTGTCAACTGTACAAGAGATATTCTGCCACATTTTACCTTCATTGAAAATCCAGATGGCATCATATTTTTTGGCCACTCAAAGTCCGTTGTATTAATCCTGTTACCAGACTCAATCAACAACATGACTTTTGTGTCAGTCCTACAAGGGTTGAAAGCATTTTTATAGTCAGTTATCTTCTACAGCACCTAATTGGTTCAAACAGTAAGGATGCTAGAAATAGACCTCTTTAGCTTGCATGTTTTGTTTTGCCAATAGAGGCATGGGGGGGGGGGTACTGCAAAAGAGAGAGTTTATGTTTTTAGATTTCCTGTTGTTGGCATCTCTGTTCACATGAATCATAGTTAGTAGAGGGTTCCTCGACTAACTGTGCCTTAATAGTTATGTAAGTACAGTTGTTCTCAAAGACTTAGTTTAAAGTTAAAATTGACTCCTGCATAAACTACATATTAATAACAGAGAACTTACTTTCCTAATCTGATGAGGTAGGTCTTGTTATCTATGTCATACACATTGGCCACTCTCATTCCAAGGAGGCTACAGAAACATCAGTTAAGTAAGACAAAATTAAGCTTACACCCACTTTATAGGCTTAAATAGATCGGGAGAAAGACATGTTTTTCCTGCTCGGCTCACCTTTCTCTTAGCTCTGTTATTATCGCACAAATATCGACGGTCGTGAATCTCGATTTCATTATGTCGACTCAACTACCCAAAAGTCAAAAGAAAACTTAAATGAAATCGATTTTTCATGCTATTTCGTCCGCCATGTTGGATCTCACACGCGTTTTTAGTAGTGAAACCGCTGGTCTGTTAGCCCCAAAGCAAACCTCGTCCCCAAAAATTAATATTCCCCAGGGTCCTGTTTCTGTTGTTTTCCTTCAAAACGATGGTGACGAGGTTGGACAGCTTCTTTCAATCTTGATGTTCTTGTTTCAAAAACAGAAATGTTTCAATGGCTATGAATCTGAATGCCAAATGGAAAGAAAAGGAGGCTGCAAGAAAGTCAAAAGTAGTATTTATGGAAAAATATCAAGGGTTTGTGAGAGCATTTGACCAAAAGGGGTTTTCCCGCCTTGTTTTACTTTCAAATTACTGGAATGTTGTTATTTGCTTGCTTTTCATGTCGCATGAATGCAATTGGCGAAAAACCATGATGAACGTGATGCTTTTTAAAATGCTTAACTGAGTGTTATATTTTAGCATGGTCAAATTCAGTTTTTCCGTGATTCAAACTCTATTCTAATCCCAACAGGGCGGATACATAAATGTATCCGCCCTGTTACCTGAGATCAGGCGTTTTTTGTTTTTTTGCTTGTTTGTTTCTTTGGCTCGAGAGGGGAAAAAAAATAACGCCTGATACATTCATTTAACAAGCCGTTAACTATGGGGCGCCGTTTGTAAAAAAAATGATTTAGCTTAATTTTGTGATTTTTTTCGTTATTTATTAAATAAAGTTTTCTGATATGATATCATACGTCAATGATTTGATATAATAAATGTTGATTTCAAATCATGCGTTTATGATTTGATATAATAAATTATTATTTAAAATCATGCGTTTATGATTTGATATAATAAATTCTGATTTCAAATCATACCTTTATGATTTGATATAATATTTATTGATTTCAAATCATAAGTTTATGATTTGATATAATAAATCCTGATTTCAAATCATAAGTTTATGATTTGATATAATAAATCCTGATTTCAAATCATTCCTTTAATATTTGATATAGTAAATCCTGATTTCAAATCATAAGTTTATGATTTCATATAATAAGTTCTGATTTTAAATCATAAGTTTATGATTTGATATAATAAATCCTGATTTCAAATCATAAGTATATGATTTCATATAATAAAAATCATTATTAGATATCAGTAAAACCATGATTTAATTTAATAAGTAATAAGTAACCGCGTGACTTGGCACGTGGGTTACTAGCGCGGGAATAATCGCAAAGATGGCGACACAACCAGATCAGGTATCGAGGTCAATCGCTTCTGCGGTCCCTAGAGCCGTAGAAAGGGCGGTTGACCAAGCTTTGGCATCTCTTCCGAGCCTTCCTGGCAATTCAGGGTTTGCTCCTGCGACACAAGAGGTATGTAACATTGATGTATCACTGCTAAAGCATCCCAGTCGCTGCCGGGGTGATGACCTGTGTGTCGATGTGATTAACAAAAACATCATTAGTGATGTCTTGCAAGCGCCTCATCTATTTCTTACATGTTGCACTGCATCATTAGTTAAGTTGCATGTTAAGCGGAAAGCTATGACTTTATTTACGAGGTTTTTCATCACCCCGGCAGCGACTGGGATGTTTTAGCAGTGATACATCAATGTTACATACCTCTTGTGTCGCAGGAGCAAAACCTGAATTGCCAGGAAGGCTCGGAAGGGATGCCAAAGCTTGTTCAACCGACCTTTCTACGGCTCTAGAGACCGCAGAAGCGATTAACCTCGATAGCTTATCTGGTTGTGTCGCCATCTTTGCGATTATTCCCGCGCTAGTAACCCACTAGCCTGCGTTTAATTTTGTCTGCGCGCAGGCTAGTAACCCACGTGCCAAGTCACGCGGTTACTTATTACTTATTAAATTAAATCATGGTTTTACTGATATCAAATAATGATTTTTATTATATGAAATCATATACTTATGATTTGAAATCAGGATTTATTATATCAAATCACAAACTTATGATTTAAAATCAGAACTTATTATATGAAATCATAAACTTATGATTTGAAATCAGGATTTACTATATCAAATCATAAAGGAATGATTTGAAATCAGGATTTATTATATCAAATCATAAACTTATGATTTGAAATCAATATTTATTATATCAAATCATAAAGGTATGATTTGAAAAAATAATTTATTATATCAAATCATGAATGTCTGATTTGAAATCAGAATTTATTATATCAAATCATTGACGTATGATATCATATCAGAAAACTTTGTTTAATAAATAACGAAAAAAATCACAAAATTAAGCTAAATCATTTTTTTTACAAACGGCGCCCCATAGTTAACCGCCCCCTCATTTACATAATCTAACGTCTCCTAGACCTGTCATGTTATTAGCCAATAAACGTTTACCATACGGGAATCAAATTTTGCCGCGAATAATGTCTCTTTTGTATGGCGTACATTTGCGGACAAAAATAATTGAAAATAAAAGACAATTTGAAAAACTTGGAAGGGAAAACTTGATATCGCGGATGTTAAAGTTCAAATCACCATTCCAACTAAAATGCAAATTACATGATTTGAACTTCAATTCACCTTCTCCACTTTAATAAGCCACTTAATCGTCAACAATGCAACCATAATCTTCCACTTAATTCCAAATGAAACCCTTAATTTGAACTTAAAGTCACGTCACATATTCGAATTCGAAAAACCAAAATTTCAATTCGAAAGGAAGCGGAAGTAAAAATACACAGCAACCGGAAATGATAAGAGCTTCGCTACATTGTACATACGGGATGTTTGCATAACTGCATTTTGGCGCGAAAAGATTTCCCTTCACTCGAACTCTCTGGTCAATATGGCGGACAATGTGAATGATAAGGGTGACTCTAGGACAATCCAACAGATTCTGAGGGCTGCAGTGGCAAACTTAAACTTTATAAAAGGAGAAGCGTTAAGGTTTCTGAGAACAAATTACTCTCAATTAACTTTTGAGGAAAACATGAGCAATTTCAAAACACGCCTGCAGAATAGAGATTACTCAGCTAGAATTGTAGAAAAACACCTTTCAGAGATTAAATTCTCTGATAAAGAAATGTCGCTAGCGCGCGCAGAAAATACTGCCCTTTTTAACACAATACCATCTGACATTGCTTAACCTAAAGGACACACTCATGGGGAAATGGCACCTTATAGAAAATCAACCGCAACTGAGAGAAATCTTTAAGGAGCCCCCATCATCTCATATCGCGAGGGAAAATCCCTAAAGGACATCCTAGTTAAAGCTAAGCTATGAAGGCTTTATTAGAATTTATTCATCCGCGAACTGCAGGAGTCGTGTAGGCTTGTCAACACTGTTAGCAGAGTTGACAAAGTTCTCTGGTGCATGGTGAGCATCAAGTCGACGAAATAAAAATTCAGAATTATCGTATGATGCTGAGTTTAGATTAGTTTCTGATGCCTCAAAAAGTCTAATCAGTCCAACGAAAAACTCTTCGTTGTTCGGTAGCCATCGAGCAGCCATGACGATGATCACATCAGAGATGAGGAAAGCTCAGGTTCCAAGCCTCCCATCCGTAGACTCGAACCTAGTCGTCACTCGGTTTCTGTGTATTTTTACTTCCGCTTCCTTTCGAATTGAAATTTTGGTTTTTCGAATTCGAATATGTGACGTGACTTTAAGTTCAAATTAAAGGTTTCATTTGGAATTAAGTGGAAGATTATGGTTGCATTGTTGACGATTAAGTGTCTTTTTAGAGTGGAGAAGGTGAATTGAAGTTCAAATGATGTAATCTGCATTTTAGTTGGAATGGTGATTTGAACTTCAACATCCGCGATATCAAGTTTTCCCTTTATAGTTTCAACTTGTTCAAAGTAACTTCAAGTTCGAATGATGCCATTTCGACTGCGTTCATTGCGATTTCAAATTCATATGACGAGATTTCGGCATGGATAGTCTAATTTTTGAACTTCAAATTGTCTTTTATTTTCAATTATTTTTGTCCGCAAATGTACGCCATACTTTTGAAATCAATTTAGGGAAAACAAAATTTTTAAGTACGTCCACGTTCAGATGGCGCTTCCTAAAAAGAATTTTAAATGTGTTCAAATAGTGCTAGCTGGAGCTGCCGTACCTTTATTTAACAACTACAAATAATAAAGAATTTAGTGGTTAAAAGCTCGTCGACTTCGTTCTGTGCCGCAAGCAGTGAAAAAAAAAAAAAATAGGCTGAAGCACTATATTTTACGAACTGAAAGGTGTTGTGAAAGCGAAGATCAGAATAATTCGCAGGTTTCTGAAGGAGGAATTACAGTCAAACCAGGTCAAGATTCCATTCATGAATTGATTATTTGAAAAGTGAACCCGTTTGTCGCTTCTGTAACTTCTGTAGCCGGTCTCAAATTGCATTCAAATGATCGGTGAATTTTTGACTGCAACTTTTTAGTATACGATGAGATGGAAAATATTTCAATGGGTGAAATTTCTATTTAGGCATTCTTCAAATTCAACAAAACTTAGCCGACAAAAATTTTATAACGAACTCGGGTGTGTATTCACTGCTGATGACGCAAGCAAAAATGCAGACTGAAATAACAACAACTAACGGATGGCGGCATTCTGGCCAATTGGAACAGCGCAAATCATCCGTATTGTTTCTCATCCAATCAGAAAAAAGTCCAGATTCTGGCTTTTTTACATGTGATCCGACAAAGGTGTCGCGTTTAATACAAGCAACCGTTGAGACTTATAATGAGAAATGAGAAATGAGAAATATAATACTGAGGTCTACGAACGCTAAATATCATTATTCTTATTTATTTTTCCATAAAATAAATAAAGGAGACTTACCTTTGATGTATTCCTATGTTTTTTGTGTGAATTCAACGATTTAGTCGGTTTTTTTGGTTGTTATTGTTTGACTCCTAGCCCGTTACTCTCTTCATAATACGAAAGTGTTATGAAGGGAGTGACAGTGATGTAACGTGAGCTTGGGATGCTTGTGCTTAAAAGAAATGCTAATTACATGTTTTCTAGTTTTTGTGAAACCAATCACAACCAACAGTTTCTCATAACTTTAATAGTGGTCACTCAACTTCTAGAAATTCTATAAGGGGTTTTACACTTATTAATTAACAAGCAATGCTGAGTCACAATGAATTCAATACGGATTTTTCCTTGTGCCTAGTCTTCAAACAGTGGACACTAGTATTCAAGAACTTCAGAAGCCCATGAGAACTTACAAATTAAGTTAATAAGCTGGGGCACCCAACGAGAATATAGTTCAAAACCACTCAACATAGCATTGTTAAACGTATTTTAGTATTTAAACGGTAGATTTAGGCATAATTTTATCCCCTAAACATTTTTTGTCTGTTCGGATTTCCTAGCTGAAAGTCTAGTGATCCGAAAATTATAGGGATCAAAACTTACCTTTTCGAAAATTTCAGCCAGAGAAATGGCTCCCGAAAATTCTAGGTGACCTTTTTAGGGTAAAAATCCGTAAAAATGGGCAATTATACCATTTTTTAGCTGTTCGAAAATCCTAGGAGAGGCAGGCAAGCAAGAAATTTTACGACAAATGTTCCGAAAATTCTAGATCTCAAATCGTCTTCCGAACAGATATTTCCCGAAAATTGACGTTGGGTGCCCCTTAGTAAGGCCCGGTTTATCCTACTTTAAACAACAAATCGTGCCTCTTGATTCCCCTTCCTGCTCGATCACCATTATAGCCTTTCTCTTTTGTCTGGTATTCAAATTTAATTACCAGTGTTCTAGAAATTCAATTCTGAAAGTAAATAAGGGGTTTAACCCTTTTTTAAACAACCAATCATAATCCTCGCCTCAGTTACACATATTGATCAGGAGTTTTTCCCGTGTCGGCTACTATTCTTCTAAGTTAAATCGGGGGTTTACCCGGTTTCACTTTCACGCACGACCCGTGGTACACAACAGAGATTGACTTCTTTTCGATGAAATTACTTTGCTTGCTGGCGGTGGTGCGCGCATGCAGTGAACAGAGATCGAAGGTGCTTGAGCTTCTAAATTTCTGTGTAAGTTCGCTTGTTTTCATGCATTCTATTTTTATCATTATATTGAAAGATATAGGCATACAGTTCATGAGTTGTTACGTTCTTGCACGGGTATTTGGTAGTCCCACAGTAATTCTGGTGCGGTGCTTCTTAAGGTGGCTCGAACCTATTTATATGCGAGTTGGTCATGTTTTTGAATAGCGGTTTTCGGTAAACACGATTCACCGACTTCTATGATTTTTGGCATCCTCAATAAAGAATGGAGCAACTTAAAACAATGTTATTTATTTTCTTGTAGTTATAAAATGTTTGAGATATATGGGCATATGTTTAAAACCGCATTTTTACAAAAATTGTCCATAACCATGAAACTCTACGACAGATTTTTTTCTAATTTTAGCAAATAAGCCTCAGACCTCTCTAGTTTTATATCTTCAAGTTTAAAGTGAATCGTGACCGTAGAACACGCTGCACAAAATGCTGGTCAAACTCAATCTTAAAATGCAACTCTAACACATTTGTGAACTGAGTTGACGCACAAATAGAGGAAGAGTGCTGACGGACTATCTTACACCTATCTGCAAGGGTATTCTTTCCCAAAGCTTTACTGCAAGAAACTGAGTAATCAGAAACCCACGGCGAATACAGTTCGCGATACAAGAAGAACGACTTTATGCTGAATGCGGGGCAAGATTAAAAACCTTCCATTCATCAAACTTACTTTGTATTTGCCCCTTTCTTTTCGAAACCAATTAAAATCTTAACAAAGCAAAATATGGCATCTACGAAAACTCTCAACAGTTTTTAGGGTTGCAGTTTCTGTTTTGACTAGAGAAATAAAGCCACCAACTCCAGTACTTCAGCTAAACATCCATTTTTCAGCTGCACTGAAAGCCCTAATGTACTTGGCAGGCTTTTAAGACTTGTCAACACATTCGTATGGGAAGTTTGCAACTTGGGGATAAATTAAGATGAAGAAAAATATGACAATCGTCTTTTTCCTTCTCATTATCCCCAATCAGTAAACTGCCCGTGCGAATGTGATGGCAAATCTAAAAAGCTTGAATAAATTTCCAATTTCAAGGTTTTCGTTGCAGATGAAAATGGATGGGTTGAAGTACTGGAGTTGGTGGCTTTATTTCTCCTCAAGACAGGAACCTTCGGTGTCAAAAACTGGTCGGCGATTTCTGTAGATGCTATATTTGCTTTGTTGAAATTTTCTTTCGAAAAGAGAAGGGCAAAAACACAGTAACTTTAAGGGATGGAAGTTCTTTAATCTCGCCCAGCATTCAGCATAAAGTAGTTCTTCTTGTATTGCGAACTGTATTCGCCGTAGGTTTCTGATTACTCAGTTTCTTGCTACTAAAGCTTTGGGTAAGACAGGATAAGAACACCCTTGCAGATAGGAGATAATCCGTCGGCACTCTTCCCCTATTTGTGCGAGTCAACTTTCACAAATGTGTTAGCGTTGCATGTTAAGATTGAGTTTCACCAGTATTTTGTGTAGCGAGTTCAAACTTGCGGATATAAAACTAGAGAGCTCTGAGGCTTATAGTAAATATGCTGAGGTTAGAGAAAAATCTGTCGTAGGGTTTGTAAGTTATTGACATTTTTGAAAAAAGTTATTGACATTTTTGAAAAAATTAAAAATTAAAAATTGAAAATTTAATTACCAGTGTTCTAGAAATTCAATTCTGAAAGTAAATAAGGGGTTTAACCCTTTTTTAAACAACCAATCATAATCCTCGCCTCAGTTACACATATTGATCAGGGGTTTTTCCCGTGTCGGCTACTATTCTTCTAAGTTAAATCGGGGGTTTACCCGGTTTCACTTTCACGCACGACCCGTGGTACACAACAGAGATTGACTTCTTTTCGATGAAATTACTTTGCTTGCTGGCGGTGGTGTGCGCGTGCAGTGAACAGAGATCGAAGGTACTTGAGCTTCTAAATTTCTGTGTAAGTTCGCTTATCTTCATGCATTCTATTTTTATCATTATATTGAAAGATATAGGCATACAGTTCATGAGTTGTCACGTTCTTACACGGGTGTTCGGTAATTAACTGTTTGTTCCAAGGTCTGTTAAGATCGAGGTACCATGTCTGTTGTCTACAGAAGTGAGCCTTAGGTTTTGAGAATTATTGTTGTCTCTAAATTAGCCTAAATTGCGCTCACCGATTCTTTCTATGCGAGTTCTTTTCAGAAATAGACGATCATAAGATGTACACATTTTCTACTTCTGTTGATATATAATGTCTTCGCCTGCTCTCAATTTATTCTCATAGCTCAGTAGGTTAAGATCAATGAAGCACTAGAGCGTGAGGCAATGGGTTCGAATCGATCCCTTTGAAGCCCTTGAAATTATTTCCGGGTTTACTTGCAATTGCTTTATCAATAAATTGCTATAACTACGCTATTGACAACTAGCCTATTTATTTTATCAGGAAGATCTACCAGTTTCCACCCTAAGCGGGAACCCTTCCCCGTTTAAGGGGAAGGGTTCATCCTTCATCATCAGATATGGTTGTTAAGTCGTTTACAGATGAGCAGTTGAACTTCTTCAAGTTTTCAAAACTTGTCGTCGATGAATTCTCTAAAGCTCTACGCCAGACATTCAAACACATGTGGGAAAATTTTGGACCGGGATCGGTATGGGATGACTCAGAAGGTGTGAGAGATTCATTTCTGACCAAAGAGGGAGGTAAAACCAAAGTTCCCACAGACAAGTCCTACGAGGAATGGGATTGCACCGCGCTGTTCCGAGCTACTATCTACGCTCGGACGTTCGCTTTACCTGACAGCAAAGGTAACCTTAAAACACTCAGTAAGTTGTACGTAGAACCCCGAGGGTCCATGCCAGATGGAAGTTTCCATGCCTCTGTGTTGAGTCCGAGTGGAGACCAAGCGGAAACATTTGCTCTGGCGATTGATCAGCTACGACTTTTGCGAAATTCGTTGTCTCATTTGTCCAGTTCAGAAAAAAATAACAAAACAACATTTGACCAGTACACTGAACTCGCAAAAGATGCGTTCAAAGTTCTTGGAGTGGCAACGGACTCGATTGAAGACGTTAAAAGTTTACCCAAGTCTCACTTTCCTACAGAAAAGGACGCCAGGTTGGAGCGCGAAAACAAACTTTTGAAGAGCATCGTTTTATTTGATTAGGCCGACTTTTATGGTACGATTGCTTAGAACAAAGTGAGATTTACAAGTCATAAGATAGCTGGAGAGTGACAAGGATGGAAAGTAGAATTTTGAAAATGTTATGACACACTGCCTTCTTGGACCTTCTTCTCGCTATCCGAGAAATGTGAAATAATGCACCCTGGGGTACTATGCAACTATACATCTTGCATACCTCTGACAAAGCTAAATTGTCGAGTTGATTCTCACAGTCTTCTTTCTTGTTCTTTGAGCTTTTTAATACCAACGTCTGTTCCTATATGGTCAAGCCATATTGCAAAATCAGTATTGAAATAGCCTAGTTATGGCTGGATGGATTGTTTTGGGAATAGGTTCAGCCAGGAGCCCACCAAATTTGATGGGCTCCTGGTCCAGCTTAGTTTATTCAAATGGAGGCTTATTTTTCACCCATTTTGATTATGAAAATTCCACCAGGCCGCACCCCTCCTTGGCTAAAATCTTCAAAGCCCAACTTTTCATCAAGTAGGGGGAGGTGGTGGGATTTGAGGGGGAGTCATGGGAGAGGGAGGGAGGTCAAAAGAAACAATATTGGGGTTATTGTAGTGTTAGTACTTCAAATTTCGTAGTGACGGCATTTGTAATAATTCAAACAGCCTACCAGAATGCCAAAAAAAAGCTAGCGTTCCTGACATTCAGAAAGTTGACAGATTTTCTCGGGGAAGCATGCCCCCGGACCCCCTACTACTTTATAATGCACCAAAAGGCCATTCTGCCACACTAACATGCAAAAAAGCATAATTAAAAGCATACCAAATCGGACGTTTCATTAACAAAAAGTAACCAACTCCTCAGTCAGTCAGTCATTTTTTTATTTTGTCTTTGTCCTCTCTCTCTTTTCCTTTTCTTTTCATTTTTTTTTTTTTGAGGGGGGAAGGGGGTCATCTAAATTAATTTGGGACACAAAGGAGGGGCGGGACAACCAAAAAATTTCTTATGAAGAGGGAGGGGGGTCATCACATACTACAGAAGCTACCCATCGAATCCCACCAGCCCCCCCTTTCCCCCGCCCCCTCCCACATTAAAGTGAAGGGTCCTCAATTTCGGGGTACTCTGAATGTGTCAGTATCTTTTTATTAATAAAGCATTCATGTCAATTCTTGTCCGGGTGCAGTAACATGAAGGACATTCGTGGCAAGGGATTTATCAGGCTCTAGTATAATCTCAATCAGTTCGATTACACGTTCAGTGACAGCGCATGTTATCTTTCACAATATCTTTCTTTTTCCATCCTTGGTACGTTTCAGTGACACTTGCGATTTGCAAAGTCATTTTGCTCATTTGCTGAGGTTAGTTTTATATAAATAATCAGAAAAATAATTAGTTAAGGGTGAATATGTGTCCGGGTCGAGGTGTTATTGCTCAACCGATCTTGCAGAGGAAATTGCATAGGATCAAAGGAATCTATCTAACTCGCCACTTCAGGCCAGTGTCAGTACGTCGTTGACCTTACTGACAAGCGAGTAATTACTGAAGAATTTATATTCTCTCTCGATTTAGATACCGGATCATGCATATGGTTGCCATTTAGGCATGTACTAACATGTTCAAGGGTTGCAACTTAGGGATGGTGTAAGGCATGTACAAGGTTGCCATTTAGCCATGTACAAGAGTTGCCATTTATAGGCATGTACAAGGGTTGCCACTGTTTGTGTACCAGGGTTGCCACAGTTGAGGCATGCACAAGGGTTGCCATTTAGGCGTGTACAAGAGTTGCCATTTGTAGGCATGTACAAGGGTTGCCATTTGTAGGCATGAACAAGGGTTGCCATTTGTAGGCATGAACAAGGGTTGCCATTTGTAGGCATGTTCAAGAGTTGCCAATTGTAGGCATGTACAAGGGTTGCCATTTGTAGGCATGTACAAGGGTTGCCATTTGTAGGCATGTACAAGAGTTGCCATTTGTAGGCATGTACAAGGGTTGCCATTTGTAGGCATGTACAAGGGTTGCCATTTGTAGGCATGTACAAGAGTTGCCATTTGTAGGCATGTACAAGGGTTGCCATTTCGGCCTGGTGTAAGGCATGTATAGGGTTGCCATTTAGCCATGTACAAGAGTTGCCATTTATAGGCATGTACAAGGGTTGCCACAGTTTAGGCATGTACAAGGGTTGCCATTTAGGCATGGTGTAAGGCATGTACAAGGTTGCCATTTAGGCGTGTACAAGAGTTGCCATTTAAAGGCATGTACAAGGGTTGCCATTAGGCATGTACTAAGGCAATTTTACAAGGGACGGGATGCCATTTACGCATGTACTAAGAGCGGTTGTTTCGTACGGCATGAAGCGTGCTGCCTAGTTAAGGGTGTGTGTTGTGTTCAGTGATTATAGTGATGATTAGCACTTGTACCATCTAAGTCAATGGCCCTAATCATTATTTTTGTATGGTAAATTAAGTATAGTATAGTATAGTATAGTATAGTATAGTATAGTATAGTATAGTATAGTATAGTATAGTATAGTATAGTATAGTATAGTATAGTATAGTATAGCATAGTATAGTGTAGTGTAGTGTAGTATAGTATAGTATAGTATCTCTTCATTGCGCCTTACTCTCCAAAAGGAGGTATTGGTCAATCTAAGTGGCCATGATGCACGCTAGGCATGCATGGGAGAGTAGTAAACTAGAAGTAATATACTCGAAACTATATTATATTATTATGTTGGTCAACTGATCTTGCAGAGGAAATTGCATAGGATCATAGCAATCTATCTAACTCGCCACTTCAGGCCAGTGTCAGTACGTCGTTAACCTTATGCTGACAAGAGAGTAATTACTGAAGAATTTATATTCTCTCACAATTTAGACACCGGATCATACATATGGTTGCCATTTAGCCATGTACTTAGACATGTACAAGGGTTGCCACAGTTTAGGCATGTACAAGGGTTGCCATTTAGGCGTGTACAAGAATTGCCATTTATAGGCATGTACAAGGGTTGCCACAATTTAGGCATGTACAAGGGTTGCCACTTAGGCATGGTGTAAGGCATGTACAAGGTTGCAATTAAGGCATGTACAAGAGTTGCCATTTATAGGCGTGTACAAGGGTTGCCACTTAGGCATGGTGTAAGGCATGTACAAGGTTGCAATTTAGGCATGTACAAGAGTTGCCATTTATAGGCATGTACAAGGCGCTTCCATTAGGCCTGTACTAAGGCAATTGTGTAAGGGACGGGTTGCCATTTAGGCATGTACTAAGGTACATACAAGGAAACATACAAGGGTTCTATTTACACTGGGTTCGCACGCAAGTTGAAAATCCTTGAAAGTCCTTGAATTTTTAAAAGTCTTTGAAAATTGCAGTCGGTACTGGAAAGTTCTTGAATTTCAATGCTAACTAAATAGTTTAGGGAGAACTGCAAAGGAAAAGAAGCAGACACATGTACAAAGACCTTCGGGATAAAATGCTCCTGATGTGGAAGAACTAAAAAAAGACAGACTCAAGGCTCTTTTTTTGCTCTGAATGTAGTCCTTGAAAAATGCGAAATGTGTCCTTGAAAGTCCTCGAATTTTTGGTTCAAAAAAGGGTACAAACCCTGTATTTAGGCATGCACAAGGGTTGATGTACAAGGGTTGCCATTTAGGCATGTACTAAGAGCGTCTGTTTTGCACACGATGCGTCGAGTTGAGGGTGTGTTGCAGGGCTGTCAGCCCCCCACATCTTCAAATATTGAGAATTGACAGGGAACGAGTAATAGGTGACATTATAATGCACGAAACATGAATTCATTTGTGCACAAAAACACGCGAAGAAGATGTTGTTGGAACTGTAACATTTGACCTGATTGGTTTACTTTCCACTAATAACATTATTGCTTTGCAAAGGCATACCGAAGTTTCTGAGGAAACATTCGATGTTAAAAGTTATATAGCTCAAACAACGAAAAATATTTGAAACTTCATTGTCATAAAGTCAAATCTACAAGAAATTGCAAAGTTTGGCAATTATCCGGGAGAGTTGACAGCACTGGTGTTGTGATCAGTGGTAGTAATAAGCACTTAAATGTGCCGTCTAAATGAAGTCACGGTGGCCCTAATCATTATTTTTGTATATATTATAGCACAGTATAGTATCATGATTGGTATAGTACAGAAATAGACCTTAGTTCTACCTAATATTAATTACGCATTATCTGTCTACGCAGCGTCCGAGTCCGATCTTACACCTGTATACAATGTTTCTCAGACCGCTGTTTCAAAAGGAAACACACGTCTAAGCCTGTAAGTGTTTATGATTTCTTAGAGAGGCAAGACCGTAAATTTTCAGAAAAGTTTCTAATGCTAAAGGACATCCACTTTTATCTATTATGCCTCGTGTTAAACCGTCCAGTTACAATCTTAGGAAAGAAAGTTGTTTTAAACCTAAGATTGACACTACGAGTTTTAAAAACTCTTTTATTTTATAATCGTTTAGTTTTTAAATATGAATTAGCGATCAGACGTAGTGTAACTTTACACCGCCAACGTGTGCCACATTTCTTGATTACACCATTTTAGTGTTTTCATACACTGAATTGGTGTATCTTTTAAGAAACACTCGGCAAGTGTTATGATAACACTAATTCAGTGTTAATGTATATCACCCTTGGTGTTAATTTACAAACTCGAATTTGCTGTGTATTATTATTCTAGATTTGTTAATTCTTACTTTTTACCTTTTTAAAATGTCTTACACTTACTTGTAAAATTAAAAGATATCATAAGATATATTAAAGATATTATCTTTTGATGGATAAAGACTATTATTATTATTATTATTATTATTATTATTATTATTATTATGCCCTTTTCTTCGCACCGATTTATCTGAAATTATACGCACAGCTTGGTCAACTGGATCTGTCCCAAGTGAATGGAAGCGAGCCTGCACAATCCTCATCCATAAAAAGGAAAACTCTAATGACCTTGCTAACTTCCGTCCTATTACTTTACAATATGTGCCTTTAAAGGTTATTACCTCGTGTCTTTCGTAATGCCATTTTCAACTTCCTCGCCGCTTGGTATACGTTCTTCCATTCAAGCTCAAAAAAAACATAAAGCTTTCTATGTTTCAGTTTAAAATAAACCATCACATCCTGTACACTCGCGACAAACTTTTCAAGGCCAAAATTACCGACAGCGACTCCTGTTATGTGTGTAAAGTGAAGCAGACCGTACAGCATCTGTTTGTAGAATGCCAGCATTTCCACTACTTCTAGAACCTACCTCTTGGTTGAACGATAATCACTCGCCCTCAGTGTCCTTGACCAATAACGATAAGTTTACGGGATATCTCCCTGAGAATCGATCCTTCCATATATACGTTTAATCTTTGCCTGATTGGCGCTCGTTTTTAGATCTATACCGCAGCCAAAGAAAGCGAACCATATAGTTTCTTAGCCTTTAAAGCTTTTTTGAAATACAAATTATCTATAGAGCCTTCAAGTGTCCGTGAATTAACTAAAATGTGTGAAAAGCGTGCGAGAATGGGGTGGAATGTATTAGAAGTATAAACATATAAACTTGAATAAAATACAAAGATCTAATGAGCGAGTGTCACAGGACAAGCAGTCTCTTGAAAGGCATAATGATAGTCTGAAAAACAAAAGGTCCGCAAATTCGTTGCATTCATCACGGGAGTTTTGGGCTGTCTCAATGTAAATCGAGTCGCAAAAAACATGCTGGTTGACAAAATCTCTTGAAAAACATAAATAAATTTTTTAAAAAAAGGTTCGCAAATACGTTGCATTCCTCACGGGAGGTGAGGACTGGCTCAATGTAAATCGACCTGCTAAGAACACGCTGGTAATCTGATATAAGTTTTGAGAATATAACCCTATACCTTTATTGATCAACTACCGCTTAAAATTCAGTTCACAAAAGAAAAGAGAGGACTGAAAACCCTGGTTGTGAGTCGAGAAGCGAACACGCTACCTCAATATAAATCGAGCTGCAAAGAACAAGCTAGTTCTGACAAAATTTGAGCGTAAAACCCTATTCCTTGATCAGCTGCTGCTTTAAACACAATTTATAAAGCAAACCAGAGCACTAATTGCCCTTTCAAACTAGAAATCGTATTAAAGCTTGCTCACCAGTTAGGTCCTCCTGAACAGACAAGGAACGAGTTGGAAATACAAGACCATGACGTCACTGTCCAAATATGGGGTCTTACTTAAACCTAAATATGGTCAAAAATGCAAATTTTAGAGGGTTACGCAGAATTTGAGAGTTTTTGCCTACGGCGTTATAATTCTGCCGCCGAGTCAACCTCGCTTCTTAGCTCGGTTGCCTCGTTGGCAATTAACAGTTGGTTTCGAGTCTAACCTTAATAACAATGCTGTGCGTAAAAAAGAAAAATACCTGAACTTGATCAAAGAAATGAATAGAAATTACAGACGTGTAAAATTTTTAAATCTCTCCATTAGCCTGCGTACGTAGCAGGCGCTTGGAGGTAGTGGGCGCAAACCCATATCTCTCCATGGGCTCTCTTGACGTTTTCTCCGATTAATGCTCCACGTTCTTAGACATAACAAGACGCCTAAAGTCGTTTCCGTGGGATGCGTTAATCTATGGAAGCATAATGGCGTTCTATCTGAATTTGAAAAAAATAGGGAAACAGGAAAGATGTGTCATGTTATGAGCATCGATGAGTAGGTTACCTGTATGGGTTGGTTTAATGTGCTTTTGACTGAATTTATGGTAGCCTGCGTGACAGGCTACTATTTCTCCCCAATCCACATCCCCTTTTTGCTTCCTCCCTATCCCCTACCCGTTTCGACACCTGCTACGCAAACTAAATTTATAGTTGTCAGTGGTCGCAAGGATGGAGTTGACCTTGTTTTGATCTATCGCTATGTAGTTATTTTCATAGCACGATTTGGAAAAAAAAAAGAAGTTATTTTGCATCAAAACAAGGTTTACCCGTGTAACTCAAAATTGGAATGTTAACGGAAACAAGTAATGGAGAACATGCGCATAATGCTCTCTGATTAACCTGAACAGGAACTATATGTATAAAGATACGTCATATCTTGGTAGTAAGTAGCCACAGGTAACTTTTTCAAAGAGAAATAAACATTGTAGTTTTAGGTTAATGGAACAAAACAAAACAAAACATCCGCTTGCTTTATCCAGGGTCGAACCCAGGATTACAAAGTTCGATAAAGTTCCAATGTTTTAATCCAAGATGAAAGTTTAATATTCCAAGATGCTCTTGATACGGTTAAAAATTAATTGCAATGTGTTTCCAAGGTCTCAAAGTTAACATAGTTCCAATGATTATCCCTGATTCCAAGGTATAATAGGTTTACTAAGGTCCTGATACGTGTCCCATCCAGAAGTCCAATCCATGCCAAAAGCGAGTCGTCGATCGACAAGGACAATATTTTCGCGAGTTCACCACCAATCGTCAAGGGCACGAGTTGAAATTTACGCGATTTAACCTCCCATCGTCAAGGTGTTTTGATAAGAAAAGAAAAAAACTGAACTCTAGCTGTGCTCGGCAAAAACTGGCGAACTCCGAATAGAAAAATCTATCGGAAATCACGGCCCGCAACCAGACGCTACTAAAACCTTATGAAAAAGCTAGACCTAGACAGAAAAGAATCATGAAGGAAAGAAATAATTTGGCTTAGGTCGCCTTTCGTGAGTTGCCAGTATCCCGACGGATTTCGCTGGTTAACAAGCCATCCTAAACCACGAGTGGGAAAACTCAAGCGCTACAAATTTGGCAATGAACGTTCTTCAGAGGAAGCAAATCGATTAAAAATCGATACAGATTTTGTACAATCGGATTGGTCGGCTTGGAAGAAGAGATAATCGATAAAGATTTTAGGCAATCCTATTGGCTGGCTTTGCAATTTTGGGTACCACCGAACCGGATTTTTACAGTGGGAGTGCCACAGGCACCCACGGAATGAATGACATTGGCATTGACAAAAAGCAGCAACTTTATATTATCAAGAAAATGATAAATATAGCTATTAGAGTAACATATTACACCTTTTGCTCCAGGCGTAGTCAATCGATAGAAATCTATATCGGCAATCAATCGATATCAATCGCTGATTGTTATCGATTGATATTGGTAATCGAGAACAATCGAACTCACAGAAAAAAAATTATCGATTTTCATCGATTACCAAAAATCGATAACAGTCGATAACAGAGTAACAAGGTAACAAGGTAACAAGGTAACAGAGTAACAAGGTAACAGAGTAACAAGGTAACAAGGTAACAGAGTAACAGGGTAACAATGTGACAAGGTAACAGAGTAACAAGGTAACAAGGTAACAGAGTAACAAGGTAACAAGGTAACAAGGTAACAGAGTAACAGAGTAACAAGGTAACAAGGTAACAGAGTAACAAGGTAACAAGGTAACAGAGTAACAAGGTAACAAGGTAACAGAGTAACTAGGAAACAAGGAAACAGGGCAACAAGTTAACAGAGAACAAAGCTTTAAGGCAACAAGGAACCAAGCAGACAGGGTGAAGTTATAAGTTAATTAGGTAAAAGCGGTACAATATATGTCCCCATACATGAAGTACCTACCCTTTTTAGTAGTGAAACCGCTGGTCTGTTAACCTCGTCCCCAAACTCCCCAGGGTCCTGTCGTTTTCTCTCAAAAGTTCGAGAGCTTCAGTGAAAAGGACGCTGTAAGAAAGTCAAAGTAGTATTTATGGAAATCATAAAATTTCAAGGTTTTATGATCAAAACAGTTCAGAGAGCATTTGACCAAAAGACGTTTTCCCGCCTGGTTTTTTAACTTTCAAATTCTTGGAATGTTTTACAGCTAAAATAAAATCACGGTGGCCGTGATGCTTTTTTTAAAATTCTTAACTGAGTCAAATTCAGTTTTTCCGTGATCCACAACTCTATTCAGTCTAGTCCCATAGTACTTTGCTGCGGTGCTTCTAAAAGAAATGTTAATTTGGTGTTTTCTAGCTTTTCTTCTCCAAGACTTCTGTTAGGGGTCACTCCCCCTATTGAAATGCTATAGATCGTTTTCACTGTCACGAAACAAAAAAGTAAACTGGAACCCGTCCAGTGGAACAAGCCAAGAAAATGAAATGTTATTAAAGACTAATTTTTAAACAATTTGTCCAAGTCTCAGGTCTTTGTGGTCCACAGTTTCTGAGTTATTTGCCAAAACGTTTCACGCACCTTTGTTGAGCTTTGTATAGAGACGCCATATTGGTGCACGGTTTTGGTGCACCATTATGGCCGCCGGAAATCAACAAAAATATCTGGAGTTCACTTTTTCTATAAAAGCTCTTCGGCTTTTCACTCGAGAACTAGCATGCGTGCGCATAAACATATCTTCTAATACTTGAAATGGTTATACTGCTCAAAATCAAGAGAAGAGACCTTTTTTCAAGGAGACAGCATTCCTATTTTTGTGTAGCACACTGTGAAAACTCGGAAGTTCAAACTGCTGTATTTTTGAAATGAAACATCCTACGGAAATGGAAATTTATGGAAAGATTTACTTTTTGTTTATCTTCAACCCAGTATAAATAAGAATTCGTAAAACTTCGCTATTTTGACTTTACAATTTGATGACGTCACTGTGAAAACCATCTATAAGAGGTTTCACCCTTATTATTAAATAATCAATGTTGAGTAACAGTGGATTCAATACGGATTTTTCCTTGTGCCCTTTCTTCAAACAGTGGACACCACTATTCAAGAACTTAAAAAAGTTCAGGGGTTTATCCTGCTTTACTGACAACAATTAAATCGTGCCTCTTGATTCCCGTTCCTGCTTGTTGTCAACAAGTAAATATTTAATTACCAGTGTTCTAGAAACTGTGAAATTAAATAACTGGGGTTTTACCCTTTTTTAAACGACCAATCATAATTCTCGCGTTAGTTAGTATACTGATTAGGGGTTTTTCCCATGTCGGCTGCGATTCTTCTTGTGAAGTGGGTGGTTTACCCGGTTTCACTTTCACTCAGACGACAGACGCGCGCTACACAAAAGATTGACTTGTTTTCGATGAAATCGCTTTACTTTGCTAGCGGTGGTGTACAGTGAACAGAGATTGAAGGTGCTTGAGCCTCATAATTTATGTGTAAGTTCGCTTAATTTTATTGTATTTTTATCATTTTATTGAAAGAATAAGGCATGCAGTTCATGAGTTGTTGCGTTCTTGCCTTCTACAGGGTAATTTTAATAGACCTTGTCACTGTTGTCGACGCGATCTGGACGAGTAGGCAAACGAATAATTTCCGTAGAACGTCTGTTCTGAAAAAAAAAATGAATTGTAAACCAAAGCTTCACTACTGAAAAAAAAATTAGGGCGTTTCATGCGCTAGAGGACCTAGAACCACTTTTTTAAATTTTCTATACATTTGTCTGTAAGAAAGTCCTGGGAAAAATTAGAGACAAATATATGGAAAATCTAAAGCAAACCTCTGGAGAAATTTAAGCACAGATACGCCCCCAAAATTTTTTAGTACAATCCTTTGCTTTGTAGCTTTAGTTTACAATTTAGAAAAGCCGTTTTGTGGAAATTATTCATGATTATTCGACATTAGATTCTCATACAAACACTGTAATTTCTCATACGTTTGCCCACTCGTCAAGATGGCGTCGAAAACCGTGACAAGGTCTATTTCCCATACAAAATCAAAATAAACTGTTTGTTCCAAGGTCTGTTAACAAGCTGTGTTTAGATCGAGGTTCGCATGAGGATCGAGGTCCCATGTCTGTTGTCTACTGATGGAGTTAGTTTAGGGTTTGGGAATTATTGTTGTCTCTAAATTGCGGCCACCGATTCTTTCTGTTCTAGGCGGGAAATATGTATAGTAAGTCAACTATTATTTATAACCTTTAAAGTTAACTCACCTACGCTGCTGACAACTAACCTGTTTATTTTATCAGGAAGATCTACCAAGTTCCATCTTAAGCGCGATCAACTTCCCAGTTTAAAGAGAAGCTAGGGTGCATCGATAATTCAGCCTCATGCAGACATGGTTTATACAGACGAGCAGCTAAACTTCTTCAAGTTTTCAACCCTTATCGTCGATGAATTCCCTAAAGCTCTACGCCAGACATTCAAACACATGTGGGAAAATGTCGGACCGGGATCGACCTGGGATGACTCAGAAGGTGTGAGAAATTCATTTCTGACCAAAGAGGGAAGCAAAACCAAAGTACCCACAGACAAATCCTACGAGGAGTGGGATTGCACCGCGCTGATCCATGCTACTATCTACGCTCGGACGTTCGCTTTACCTGACAGCAAAGGTAACCTTAAAACACTCAGTAAGTTGTACGTAGAGCCCCGAGGGTCCATGCCAGATGGAAGTTTCCACGCGTCTGTGCTAAGTCCCGTTGGAAACCAAGCGGAAACATTTTCTCTGGCGATTGATCAATTGCGACTTTTGCGAAACTCTTTATCTCATTTGACCAGTTCAAAAAAAATTAACAAAACAACATTTGACCAGTACACTGAACTCGCAAAAGATGCGTTCAAAGCTCTTGGAGTGGCAACAGACTCGATTGAAGGCGTTAAAAGTCTACCCGAGTCTCACTTTCCCACAGAAGAGGTCGCCAGGTTGAAGAACGAAAACCTTCTTATGAGATTCGTAACCGCGCTTTCCATTCTATTTTTAGCTTTTCTCCAGCGTTTGGAAGGCTTCATTTCAGTTGTTACCCCACTTGTGGAAGACCTCAATTCATTTTTTGTGCGACTTAACCAGGGCATCGTGTCATTTTTTCTCCGACTTTTGCAGGGCTTCTGCAAAAGAAAACCAGAAAGCAACGAAATTTGTCGTATTTCTGATAGTCCTCTGGAAAGGTCACTTCTTGTTACACTAAATTCAGAGCTGCAGATTAATTCCTCAGTTTTAATGTGCTTAAACCTACACAGCGTTCAAGAATTGGCTGGTCCGAAATTCGGTGCTGTACAGCTCAAAATCAGTTAAATAGTTCTCTTGTAGCGATTTATTGTTCACTACTGTTCAAAATTGTAACATTGAGCCAAGGGTCCGATTTTCGGACCCTATGTTTGATCCGTTTGAAACCAGGGGTCCGAAATTCAGACCCTATCGGTTTAAATGTGTTTATTTTGCTGTCAAGTCTTACAGCGCAAATATATCTTGAAATCAAGGATCCGGAAATTAATGGACCCAGGGAGCAGGATTTCAGTTTAGTTGGCCTGTAAAATTGAGTCTTAACTGTATCTGAAAACATCTTGTCCACTTTTTAGTTTGCACTCCTTTTTCATCTAGCCCTTCTACACTGCTGGAAGTCTCCACAGATATTTAGTTATTCGCACAGTAGAAAGGTTATAAGAGTATCCTTGAACGTTAACCGCTACAAACACGGGATTTTCATAGGGACCAGCACACATCTACAGAAGATCGATATTAAGCAGAAAGAAAAGAGTACCATTATTAGTACAATGCCTATGGGAATTTCTTTGGCTTTTGCGTATTAATAGACGATCTATTTCTCGAAAGCATAAAACTTTGTTGCGTAGCCGTAGCCCATTGTACAGAGATCGAAGTTAGTTGTCGGTCCTTGACATCCCGACATCTTAACAAAAAGTTTCCACCGAGGTCAAGTTGTAAAGTTCTTTTTTTCCTAGAGACCAGTTTTATTAGTTGGTTTACTCTGTTTGTTTTTTCATGCTGGTCAACGTATTTGGTACCTAACACCCGCATCCTTTAACCCTTTAAGTCCCAATAGTGACCAAGATCAATTTTCTCTTAACGATATCCATACAGTGTCAAGAGATTTGGTTATGAGAATTTATAAAATGAACACCTACTGCTTTGCTTTGATCTTTTATCAAATTATCTCAACTCATTCTTTAAGGAAATATATAAAGATCAGTTTGGAGAATTTGTATGTGGATATAATGGGACTTAAAGGGTTAAAAGACATTTTAAATGTGCCAAAGGTCAACACAACACACTTTGGACTCAATTCCTGATGGTATCCGTCAGGAGCCCAAGATCTGGAACAACTTGCCTGATGTTGAATATAAGAGCGTCATCCGATTTTAACACGTTCAGAAAACTGTTAGAAAATGAGTCATTATTTTGTACATTGTATCGACGAATCGTCTTTTTAATCAATTTTGTAACTAATTTTTAACAGCATTTTACGTGTGATAACTTCTTTTTAATTGTAAACAGCTTTTATATTATATTGTCTTCATAATTTTTATCTCTACATGTATATTATTTTATTCACAGTGGCATACCACTGTGTAGTTATAACCTACGAAATTCAGACTTCGTTATTCCTAGGGTCAATACCGTGAAATAGGGCAGACACTCACCTTAGACCATTTTTGTGGTCCAAATTGTCTAAAAAGGAAAGGGAACCTAGCCACAGTTATCGGCTTTCAAAACAAGTATTCGGAAGAAAGACCTTTCAAGTCTCATATAGCTGCGAACAGATGAGCAAATTGTAACTTGTGTAATACTTGAGACCCTACTTGTTAATTTACTTTTAGATTGTAGACTATTTTATTGGTATTATTTATTCATTTATTCATTTTTATGTGTGAATATTTATTGTAAACAATGGTTAGTAAATATTATCAAATGTAATCTTAAGCTTATTTAAAACGGAAGTTTTATTAACAAGGTGTCCCCGATTAGTAGGCTACTTGTGGCCAGCTTGAAGATTTTGACCCGTTAATAAAGTTGTTCATTCAATTACCACTGGTAGTTTTTTTCGTAACTAATTGCCCCCGCAGAGATTTCGCCCACATGGCGAAATCCCGTGGAGGCACTCTAGTAACTCGCGCGTATATTAAGGAAAGTACTTAACAGTTGAAAAATACAGTCAGTATGCCAGAAAAAATCTCGATTTGCTTGAACAGGGGCCGCGAGGAATCGGTAGGTAATAAGACGTTTCTATTGTTTGTGCCCGCAAGTACTAAATGGTTAGGATGACAGAAAATCCCGAAGGGACCGCTTAGATAGATTTTGTGACATTTATAGGCATACTTCGATACTCTTTTGTGTTAAGTGTTATCAGTGACATCACTCTGTGGAGCAGTTGTTTTGAAAGTTACGGACCAAAAGACTCTTGTTTTTAAAGCGCAGATGAAGTTATAAGGTGCGTATAACTGTGTATATATAAACACTTAGAGAGTTTGCCAGACACGAGTTCACAAATCTATGATTGGAAACCTTGCCAGACACTCTCTTTGACCGGAATAAGACTCAGCCCCAAACAAGCAAGACGAGTGAACAACGGTCACCTTATTTTTTCCCACAGTGGCGAAAGCGCAACGCGAGGGACTGGTGACGAAGCGCCGGGAACCATGGGAAGGAAAGAGAAGAGAGGTCAAGCCCGTTTTCCCCTTCCCACCTTCCTTTGCGCGCAGATTTTCCTCGAGACAAGAACGCCCGGATACGAGGCAGGTTTCGCAGGTATTCGTGTGAAAATGATGGTGATGATAAGCAATTGTGTCATCTAAGTCAACGGCCCTAATCATTATGTAGGTTGTTATTGTAGGTGTTGGTTCGCCAGTTGGTGTTGGTATAGATGTTATTATAGCGTTGGTTTTAAACTGTGATCGGATATAGGGTTTCTTTCAGTTTTTCTTTCTCTCAACAAGTTGGAAACTCCTCTTTTTTCTTTATTTCCTTATTTCACTCGTCAGCTGACTCGTCACCATTTGATTACACATACTTATATTCTCTGGTCTGGTTAGATATGATCGCACGCTGACGTTTTTATTGGAGCATTTAGAGCATCGCGCAGTTAATGTTTCGCATCTACCTCCTCCTCAGGCGCTTCATTTTTCGCGCAGTGGCGAAAGCGCAACGCGAGTGACTGGTGACGAAGCGCCGGGGACCATGAGAAGGAAAGAGAAGAGAGGTCAAGCCCGTTTCCCCCTTCCCACCTTCCTTTGCGCGCAGATTTTCATCGAGACAGGAACGCCCGGGTACGAGGCAGGTTTCGCACTCTAGAGAAATCCGAGACCATAGTGACATTAGGTATTCGTGTGAAAATGATGGTGATGATAAGCAATTGTGTCATCTAAGTCGACGGCCCTAATCATGTAGGTTGTTATTGTAGGTGTTGGTTGGCCAGTTGGTGTTGGTATAGGTGTTATTATAGCGTTGGGTAAGATACTACCCTATTTATTTGTGGGTCCTTGAAATGATGTAACAAAGCAGGTTTGTACAGTTGTAAAGGGCATGTCACATTGCAAGGCCAAATTTTACGTCATTAATATTTGCTCGAATCGATTCAAGCTTCTCCTAATCCACAATAAATGAATCCATGAGTTAGAGATTGTCGGAGTAATTGTTTTAAACTGTGATCGGATATGGCGTTTCTTTCAGTATTTCTTTCTCTCAACAAGTTGGAAACTCCTCTTTTAACTTGATTATAATTTGCAGACATTTTCGAGGGTTCAATATAAACTTAAACATCAGAATACAAGAAATAAAATGTTACCACATAAAAAGGACAAAGTGAGAAATCAAAATCAAATGGAACCAATTTTGCGAAATCACAAAATCTCAGCCTGAGGGCTAGTTTAAATCAATATAGCCAAACCACCGAGAGTTTCTAGGTGCACATCGTCCTGTACACATTGTAGTTAACCAAGTAAAGGGTTCAGCCATTTATCAAACCCTACACAGCTAAAATGGTAAAAATACTTCCGTCCTTTTCATGTCCCTCTTCACATCCAACAAAACTCAGATCAGAAGTGCTGCGTGACGGTTTGCAAAATTGGTCAGGAATGCGCATGCACATTGGCAATCAGCATACAGCCACGCGCGAGAGGACACAGAGGCTTTTTACTGGAAGTACCATCCCACGCAGGGATGTTTTCTCCAAGGGCAGCTAATCCGACTTAATCCCATTTAATATGTCGCGCTCCTCGAAAGTGCGAAAATTTTCTTGTCGTGTATTAGATTTCAGATACATTTTCTTAATCTTCATTTTGCGCCAGAATAAATTAGTTTGTGCGCAAGGGGCGCCGAAAAAAATCACAAGGTTTGTCCTACTTCGAGTCCACCTGTGATTCTTTAGGTAGAGCTAACAAACATAGGCTGCACTTTAGGTGGCACACCCATGGGTGCAGTGTAACCAAGTGATTCTTTAGGTAGAGCTAACAAACATAGGCTGCACTTTAGGTGGCACACCCATGAGTGCAGTGTAACCCAGTGATTCTTTAGGCAGAGCTTACAAACATAGACTATACAGGTGTACATCAGATAGTAACAAGTTTTCCAGTTAAAACTTTGTCATAAAGTGCTACACCATGGCACTTAGACTATTTCATTATCGCGCTTGTTTTGACGCACAATTGATAGTCAGGAGAAGTCGTATTGTCTAAAACCATAGCAAAAGACAAATTTACACACATCACAGCGTTGAGGTAAGGTAATACACGGTATTTCCTTCAGGTACATTTACATTTTCTGTTAGGTTATAAGCGATTAAATCGCATGCAGCGACAAACAAAACGCGAAGCCGTCAGATATTCTAGAACCGTGTTATTTACAGTGCTGTGCATTATTATTGCTTAACTAGCTAACTACGCGCTGATGGAAATAAGTTTCCGCCGCTTTAAATTTTGAAACAATTCACTGGTATACTACTGTATAGTCATAACTGGAGCGGAAAGTTAGCAAGCGAGCAGGGCGATTCTGCTGTGGTTTCTGTAATGTAGAAGATATTACGGCAATGAAGCTCCCGAGGTCCGTTCTGGAAATTACAACTACATGTAGTATGAAATGTATTCTGCGTGCAGACGTCTCCTTTTCCAGGTTAGGTTAAATAAACCGTACCAAAGGTTTGTTTGACAAAGCTCCCGCGAGACGGTTTCTTGGTGATTTTATTAATTTTTCTGATCCATTTTTTTTCAGCTCTATTTTCCCGGTTTTTGCGATACAAACTGAATTCATTTTTAGTTGTGATGGCATTACACTGCTTAATCATGAAGGCATTGGAAGAAACTGAATATATTGCGCTTCGCGATTTCGCAAAATCGCTGCGGGAATTAAAAAATATTTTCTTCCAAAAAAGCGTTTTCATGCTTCTTTCTCTAGTCAATTATCTCGTTTGTCTCGTTTTCTAAAGGTCCTTGAGAACAGAATAAGACAATATTTTATTACCTACAACCTAAAAACCTGATTTTTGACCAGATCGAAACAAAACTGACCTCTGAAATGGAAGAAGAAAAGCCTTTTTAAATATTTTTGCCGGCTTCGGCCCGCCGATGCGATCGTGTCTGGTTTGCTTTCATATGATGACATTTTCCTGACAGAAGGGTGTCGGGAAAAACACCTCGCGCTGATCATACGTGACCAAATCCGCCGCGCCTAAGCTAATTAAGAAAAGTCTCCTCGAAAGCTCCATACAATTCCTTATAACAAAATTATAAGGAATTGTATGGAGCTCTCCAAGATACTTACAGTGCAAGCCCTGTGTGTCTTCTCATGTCAAAATGGGTTTGCCCCATTACGCTTAAGGTAACAATTTAAAATTGAAAGATATTGCTGCTTCCAATTTCAGTTCATCTCAACTGAAATTGTGACGAAAAAACACGACCATAATACTTTAATTCTTTTTATCAATAAGTTGTGCTTCATATCAAGTGAATGGGTGAATTGAGCCAAATTTCCCCTTTTCCCAACGATCTGCAAGTCCACTGAGGTACAAATTACGGTTAATGCTCTTAACCCATAACCCCTTAGATAAAAGCAAGTCAGTAAACTAGACCAGAATTATTGTGGGGAAAAGGGGTAAGGGATGAAGTACTCCAAATATGGACAGCAGGTCACTTTTCTCTACATATTGGTGTAACAGTCCGAAATCTACAAAGGGAGAGGTGATAATCCTCTCTAGGGGGTGATAATCCCCCAGGATTGTGAGAGAGGATAATCCTCTGTAGGGGGTGATAATCCCCCAGGTTAGTGAGAGGTGATAATCCTCTCTAGGGGGTGATAATCCCCCAGGATAGTGAGAGGTGATAATCCTCTCTAGGGGTTGATAATCCCCCAAGGTTGTGAGTGGAGGCGATAATCCCCCTTGGGTACTGGAGAGGTGGAAAGACCTCTCTAGATGTCTAATTCCCCGGTTTAAGGAGTAACAAGAGTCTATGGGGCAAAGTGTGACCTGTATGGGAGCACTTCATCCCGAACCCATGTTTATTAATTGCCAACAACTCTCAATACAGATATCATCACTAATTTAAGTTAGAAATGTGTGTCTGCTGCCCGTCAGGAAAAACCCTCAATTATTTTTGAGGGAAACCTGAACCCTCCCGAAAGCAGAGCCAGACACTTAACATGAACCTCGAGGGAGAGAGGTTAGACGAAAATATAATAATACAAGTTGTAAGTAAATGACAATTAAACTTTTATCAACTTAATAATCAAAATAAGGCCAAAAGTAACTAAGTGCACAAGCATGTTGGGATGCCTGGTAGAATGATTCCCCTCAGCAGAAACCTCACCTCTTTTCTGTCATATCTTCTTGATAATTGCCAATTGATTCAAAGTATAAAACAACAAAGATCAGTAGTTCTTATGACTGCCAAAAGTATAAGGTGCTGCTTAACTTTTAAGCAAGAGAAAGGACCTCATTTATAAAACCTTAGGAAAACCAGCAGACAGAATCAAACAGTGATAAGGGAGGGTGGGATGAGATTTTGTTCGAAGAAGAGAAGAATATGAAGTGCTATTTTGCTGAGCTAGGCGCGAAAATATAGGCATCAACTGTTCATGTGATAGCTGGCATCTAATTGGCTGAGCGAAACAATTAGTGTGACAGGGGTCACATGCAGGAAGTAACCCCTGAAAGGAAGTGAGCTGGTTCCATTACTGGTAAAGGCGGGTTTATGGTTATCACATTAACTTTAATTTATCCTGTTGCATAAATTTGCTGTTTGTTAACCAACCAATGCAATATCGACCGTCATGACTTCTCTTGGGGGTTGTCCCTCTAAATCACTTGCCGTTATTCAACTGTTCCATCAGTCTAGAAATTCAACAATAAGAAGGTCACCCCAGGCCAGGGGCTGTCTTACCCATCAAAACAATCAATTTTTCATCTTGGCTCCTAAGTCATAGTGGATTCAGTACAATTTTTGCTAGCATCTGTTTTTTTTTTAAGCAATGGTCTAGAAACTCAGCAGAAGTTACTAAGGAGGAGTTTTGGCCCTGATTCAAATGAGTTGTAAACAACACTGATTAGGTATTTTTCCGCTTTCTGCCTTCATGTTCTAAGTTAATTAGAATATTCTAGAAATTCTAAGTTAAAGTAAATAGGGTTCAAAAGAGCAATGATAAATTGTATCTCGGTTCGGGGTTTTTCCCGTGTCCATCGGCCGTCTGTTCTTCTGGTCGAGTAAATTGAGGTTAACCCATTTTCACTTTGATTTGAGTTTGTAAACAACATTCGGCTTTTTTCCGCGTTAATTCTTCTAAGTTAATTAGAATACATCGTTCTATAAGATATTCTAAATTGTAAAAGTAAATGAGGTGCTTAGCGACCAATCATGAGTTGTCATCTTCATTAGGGGTTTATCCCATGTTGGCTTCTATTCTTCTAAGTAAATTGAGGGTATACCCGCTAGGGTATAAAAAAGATTGACGTATTTCAATGAAATCGTTTTAGTCTGCTAGCGGTGATGAACACACTGAACAGAGATTGAAGATACTCAGTTGAGCCTATTTTCTTCGCGAATTTAAGGTATACTAAGATACATGTATTTTGTTTTTAATCACTTCAGTTAATGATAGGCAGAGCTGTTCGTGGACGGGGTTGATAAATTTGTGTATTTGACTAAGGAAGAGTTAGTTAGACTTGGCCCTCGAACTGGTTCAGAAACAGACCATCTATACCAGCAGCTTTAATTGGCCCAATGTTTTTGAAGGTAAAACCCCTTCAGTTGACATAATGTCGATGTTCACAGCATTATAGTACACCAGACAGGATAATCGAGGACGACAATTTGAGACTATTTTGACATCAATCGAGGTATGCAGAGAACAGTTTTTGATTACGTAATGTACAATGAGCGCGCAACTTTGCCTCGAGACTTTGGAGTGTTTTGATGGACATAGTCCGCGGAATGTAAACGGCTTGGTGAAGTTTGTAGAGATGTTTAGTTTGACGATGCTAGGCATGCTAGTGTTGTATTAACGGGATTTGACTGTATACGTAACAAATACTGTATACCAGCTGGAAAAACAAAGGGCAAATATTGCGATAACTTTCCACAATTGGCACCACGATGATTTCATTTTAGTACTATAGCTAGTTCTTAGGCCAGATTCCAGTTCGTTTTTCAAGTCTTTTTCAGTTCTAACTTGGTGATCCCAGTGAGCAGCCCATTCCTGATATATATATGGGCTCATGCATCTTGCAAATGAACTATTGTGGGTTTTTACCATAAACATCATACAAATTAGAATGGACGGAAGTTTTGTTCCGAGAAAGTTCAAAGAGCTAGGTTCGTTAACTTATCAGGGGCACCCAACGTCAATTTTTGGAAAATATCTGTTCGGAAGACGATTTGAGATCTAGAATTTTCGGAACATCTTTGTTGTAAAATTTCTTGCTTGCATGCCTCTCCTAGGATTTTCGAACATCTAAAAAATGGTATAATTGCCCATTTTTAACGGATTTTTACCCTAAAAAGGTCACCTAGAATTTTTCGGAGCCTTTTTTCTGGCTGAAATTTTCGAAAAGGTAAGTTTTGATCCCTGTCAGGAGCCCATCAAATGGAGCCTCCATCTCCCATACAAGCCCTTGGAGTCAACCCTTTCCCGAGTAGATTTATAATTAGAACGGTTCCCAGGGGAGACTTCGCGCGCCGACGGTGGGAAGAGCCAATCACAACCACGAAATGACACTGCTATTGTACTTAATCAAACAGCAGGAAATCCGGTGCTGACAGGCCAAACACAATCATGAGCTACTGAAACGTGACTTAAGCGTTTTCATCCCTCAGAGATTTTCCTTTTTTTCTTTCTAGCGGGTAGATTATACTGTAGAAAGTTTTACACTCTGACTATGTTAATCTTAATTTTGGTCAAATTTCTAGGTTTTTTTTTCCGAACTGCGTTTATCTGAATAAATACTTGTAGTCCTTGTGGTTGTTTTGTCCGTCAGCTAGTGTGATGATTCCCTGCTATGTTTTGTGACGCCGGGCCCAGCCATTGTTTTCTCGCAAAAAAGTGATCTACAGATGCGAATTCGAAGGAAGGAATTGAGCCTAAACTTCTACATTAACTGCTGAAAATTGTCCTGTTATTCAGTCATAATTCTTTTGGCGCAGATACAATCCATTTTGTTTTTCTTGAGATAAGTGGGTCTTTGGACTGGAGCGCGATGTCACAAATTCCTCCGTTAGCAAATTACGGTTGAGTTAACTTCACGGTCGAGCAACTGTTGTCTTCTGTTCAAATTTTCAAGCGCTTGTTTTATCAGACAACTCTCATGGTGATACAAGTCAGTTGTAAAGGAAGACTGCAATTTCTGAAATTTCGGAACTGAAGCATTCCTCGTTACTTGCTACTTAGGTCATCGCTTTTGCACGCGGTGCTTAACTGGCGAAATCCACTCCTCGGTGATGACAAAAATCATATGATCCTGGCACTTTTTCGTCGCTGGTCATCGAAAAGTTTCAAGTCGTCCACAGAACGTTTAATCGTCGACTCTTTTCAAGGTGCATGCTTAAATGTGGGATGTATGACGGCAAAAAAAAAAACACTCCCAAAGATAACCTTTCCGTGATCCTCAGTTCGCTGCCTTTGTCCCATCGCTTCATGCTCAGTCTCAGTCGGGTAATTCATTAACTTTTATTTCATGATACCCAGATCCCAGCGGCTGTAAAATTGTAAAAACGGACGTAAAGGAATAAAGGAAAACGGTCGAAAGACGGGCTTCTGAGTTCGACTTCATCCAATTTTATTTTTTCACGTTGACATACGAGACTCACGGAAATATGACACTTTTCGCGGGAAACTAGCCGTTCTATTTATAAATCTACTCGGGAAAGGGTTGACTCAAGAAATTAATGGAGATGGAGGCTCCATTTGATGGGCTCCTGGGATCCCTGTAATTTTCGGATCACTAGACTTTCAGCTAGGAAACTCGAACAGATGAAAAATCTTTAGGGGATAAAAATATGCCTATATCTACCGTTTAAATACTAAAACAGAAAACTCTGATGAAAAATATCCGCGCACTGGGGGTCGCACTTAAGCGATTTGTTTTCGGTCGGTCCGATTAGGGGGTGTTTACATGAGAAAACTCGCACCGGCGCGAGTTTCATAAGGGGATGTTTTTTTTATTTCGTATCGTGTTTACATTATGACTGGGTCATTTCATATCTCTTTATTTGAGGCTCCGTCTCACAAGCCCTTGCACATGTAATAAATCTAAATCTAAATCTAAATATCGTTATGTCGGCAAAATCGTTTGGGACATCACGCCAACTCTAAGATAATAATAAATAAAACTATACTAGAATATACAAAACTATTAAAAACTATTAAAAAACTATTAAAAACTATTAAAAAACTACTGATAAAAAGAAAACTAAATTAGTTTGCTTTCAAAAATACAGAGGGATTGGCTGGAAACAGTTTCTTCTGGAAGTTTGTTTCATTCAGTTATTGTCCTGGGAAAAAAAGAAAATCTAAAAATATCTTATTTGCCCTAGATGTGATTGTTTCAATGTGTGGTGACCACCTCATTTTGTTATCGAGCACTACCCCCAGATAAGGGTGAGATTCCACTTCTTCTAGGATTTGTCCACAAAATACGTATTCCCGCTTTGGTGGATCTCTCCTGGTTGTAAAACACATGATCTTGCACTTTGAAGGATTAAATTCTATCTTCCACTTTTGTTGCCAATCTTCTAATCTATACAAGTCCTCTTGGAGATCGGCTGTGTCCTCATCACAACAAATTGTCCCATATAACAATGCATCATCAGCAAAAAGTCTAACAGTAGAGTTAAGACTATCAGGTAAATCATTTATATACATTAAGAACAGTAGCGGTCCTAAGACTGTTCCTTGGGGAACACCAGATGTCGTAACTACAGGGGCAGATGATGGCCCCTCAATTACCACTGATTGGGTACGCTGTGATAGAAACGATTCAAACCAGTTATGTGAACGTTAAAGAACCCACACACTCTTCGTAAAGAGTAGGGCACGTAATGCCCGGTGTAGTGGTCTATCTCACTTTCACACTCCTGTATGGGGGCATCATCACTCATTCCTTCAGTACTTGTAAACTGCACCTTAAGCAGTCTGGCAAAGTCCCGCAACCAGTGTTGTAAATTATCCCTGAAAAGCCCTGTGGGGAGTGGATAATAAGATATTTACAATTTACAATTTACTCACGCCGAGGTGACTCGCGCCGGCATGAAATTTTGTGGTGGCATGATGTAAACAAATGTAGAGCCACGAGAGGGAACCGGTGTGAACTCACTCCGGGGCGAAAGTCGTCCTGGTGTCATGTAAACACCCCCTTAGACCCCCCCAAAATTGGCACTGACCAATATTTTTTGGGTTGTGTTCTGGTCGCACATGAAGCTACATGACAAGGTTAAATTCTTGTGTAAACATTGATAAAACGCACATGTAAGCTTAAGCAATGATGAAAATGTTTTGATTTCGTTTCGCACGACCTCAGTTTCAACTTGTAAATCATTTTGACGAAAAGAATTAGTTTAAGGATTAGAGCAGGTAGAATGTAAAGAAATGTAAGAAAACCATTTTTTTGAAAGGTTTTAAAATTTTGCTAGAAATTGTGAAAGTAGATAACTGAGGTTTTACCCATTTTTAAACGACCAATCATAATTCTCGCCTTGGGTAGTATACTGATTACGGGTTTTTCCCGTGTCGGCCGCTATTCTTCTTGTGAGTTTACTGGGTTTCACTTTCACTCAGACGACCGGCGCGCGGTACACAAAAGATTGACTTGTTTTCGATGAAATCAATTTACTGCTAGCGGTGGTGTGCACAGTGAACTGAGATTGAAGGTGCTTGAGCGTCTTTGTGTAAGTTAGCTTAATTTCAATGTATTTTTATCACTTTATTGAAAGAATAAGGCATGCAGTTCGTGAGTTGTTATGTTATGCCTTCTACCGAGTAAATCGTCTGTTAACAGGCTGTGTTAAGATCGAGGTTCGAGGATCGAGGTCCCATGTCTGTTGTCTACGGATGGAGTTATTTTAGGGTTTGGGAATTATTGTTGTCTCTAAATTGTGCTCGCCGATTCCGCTTTCTATTCTAGGCGGGAAATAAGTATAGTAAGTCAACTATTATTTATAACCTTACAACTGAACTCACCTACGCTGCTGACAACTCACCTGTTTATTTTATCAGGAAGATCTACCAAGATCCACCTTAAGGGCGAGCTTCCCAGTTTAAAGGGAAGCTAGAGTGCATCGATCATTCAGCCTCAGACATGGTTTATACAGAAGAGCAGTTGAACTTCTTCAAGTTTTCAACCCTTATCGTCGATGAATTCCCTAAAGCTCTACGCCAGACATTCAAACACATGTGGGAAAATTTTGGACCAGGATCGAACTGGGATGACTCAGAAGGTGTGAGAGATTCACTTCTGACCAAAGAGGGAGGCAAAACCAAAGTACCTACAGGCAAATCCTACAAGGAGTGGGATTGCACCGCGCTGTTCCATGCTACTATCTACGCTCGGACGTTCGCTTTATCAGACAGCAAAGGTAACCTTAAAACACTCAGTAAGTTGTACGTAGAGCCCCGAGGGTCCATGCCAGATGGAACTTTCCACGGTTCTGTGCTAAGTCCGACTGGAAACCAAGCGGAAACATTTGCTCTGGCGATTGATCAGCTGCGACTTTTGCGAAACTCTTTGTCTCATTTGACCAGTTCAAAAAAAATTAACGAAACAACATTTGACCAGTACACTGAACTCGCAAAAGATGCGTTCGAAGCTCTTGGAGTGGCAACAGACTCGATTGAAGACGTTAAAAGTTTACCCCCGGATCACTTTCCCACAGAGGAGGTCGCCAGGCTGAAGAACGAAAACCTTCTTATGAGAGTCGTAGCCATGCTTTCCATTCTATTTTCAGTTTTTCTCCAACGTTTGGATGACTTCATTTCAGGTGTTATCCGGAAACTTGTGAATGACTTCAATTCATTTTTTCGGCGAGTTAATGAGGAAATCGAGTCAGGTTTTCCTCGCCGACTTTTGGAGGGTAGCTTCTACAAAAAAATACCAGAAAGCAACAAAATCCGTCGTATTTCTAATAGTAGGGACCTTACGATCCGACAACGGCGACGTCGGTGAAAACGTCGCTGAAAACTAGAATTCACATCCTTTTAAACTATTTTCATGTTTATCCCAATTCGCCCTATACTTAAAAGAAGGGAATTTTGGTTGGAGCTGAAGAGAGGGAACCGCACCCGAGTTACTAAGACAGAGATGGTAGAATTTATCGCCTTGCCGTTCCTGTTTTCAAGTAAACTTAAAATTTGGTCATTTCATGTCGTAGTGGTGCAGGGACAGAAAAGAAATGTACAAAAAAGCGTGATGCACGTGCAGAGTTGTTGTTTTGCTCATTAAACCTATTGTTTTTTTGACGTTCTCCTTGCCGTCGCTGTCGTAGTTTCGTAAGGTCCTTACTCCTCGGGAAAGGCCACTTCTTGATACACTAAATTCAACGGAGATGTATTCCTGAGTTTTATCTTGCTTAAAACTACACAGCGTTCAAAAATTGGCGGGTCCGAAATTCGGTGCTGTACAGCTCAAAATTAAATAGGTCTCTTCGGTAGCGCTTTATTGTTCACTACAGTTCAAAATTGTAACATTGAGCCAAGGGTCCGATTTTCGGACCCTATGTTTGATCCTTTGAAACCAGGGGTCCGAAATTCAGACCCTATCGATTGAAATGTGTTTATTTTGCTGTCAAGTCTTATACAGCGCAAAAAAAAGTATATCTTGAAATCAAGGATCCGGAAATTAATGAGGGAGCAGGATTTCAGTTTAGTTGGCTTGTAAAATTGATTCTTAACTGTATTTGAAAACATCTTGTCCACTTTTTAGTTTGCACTCCTTTTTCATCTTGGCCTTCTACACTACTCTGGAAGTCTCCACATATTTATATTTAATTATTCGCTCGAGAGAAAGATTATCAGAGTATCCTTGAACGTTAACCGCTACAAACACGGGATTTTCATAGGGACCAGCACACACCTACAGAAGATCGATATTAAGCAGAAAGAAAAGAGTACCATTATTAGTACAATGCCTATGGGAATTTCTTTGGCTTTTGCGTATTAATAGACGATTTATTTCTCGAAAGCATAAAACTTTGTTGCGTAACCCACCGGTACAGAGATCAAACTTAGTTGTCGGTCCTTGATATCCCGACATCTCAACAAAATGTTTCCAGCGAGGTCAGGTTGTAAAGTTCTTTTTTTTTCCTATAGACCAGTGTTATTAGTTGGTTTACTATGTTTGTTTTTTTCACGCTGGTCAACGTATTTGGTACCTAACATCTACATCCTTTAAAAGACATTTTAAAAGTGCCAAAGGTCAACACAATACGCTTTGGACTCAATTCCTGACGGTATCTGTCAGGCGCCCAAGATCTGGGACAACAACTTGCCTGATGTTGTATATAAGAGCATTGATCCGATTTTAACACGTTCAGAAAACTGTTAGAAAATGAGTCATTATTTTGTACATTGTATCGACGAATCGTCTTTTTAATCAATTTTGTGACCAATTTTTAACAGCATTTTATGTGTGATAACTTCTTTTTAATTGTAAATAGCTTTTATATTATATTGTCTTCATAATTTCTACCTCTATATTATTTTATTTACGGTGGCATCCCACTGTGTAGTTATAACCTACGAAATTCAGACTTCTTTATTCCTAGATTCAATACCGTGAAATATGGCAGACACTCGCCTTGAACCATTTTTATGGTCCAAATTGTCTAAAAAGGAAAGGGGACCTAGCCACAGCTGTCGGCTTTCAAAACAAGTATTCGGAAGAAAGACCTTTCAAGCCTCATAGCTGCGAAAAGATGTTCAAATTGTAACTTGTGTAATACTTGAGACCCTACTTGTTAATTTACTTTCAGGTTGTAGACTATCATTTTATTGTTATTAATTTATTAATTTATTCATTTTTATGTATAATATTTTAACGTTATCAATGTAATTTTATAGTGAATATTTATTGTAAACAATGGTTAGTAAATATTATCAAATGTAGGTGTCCCCGATTAGTAGGCTACTTTTGACCCGTTAATAAAGTTGTTCATTCAATTACCACTGGTAAAGTATTTTTTTAACTAATTGCCCCTGCAGAGATTTCGCCCAGAAGGCGAAATGCCGTGGAGACACTCTAGTAACTCGCGCGTATATTAAGGAAAATACTTAAAAGTTGAAATATACAGTCAGCATGCCAGAAAAAATTTCGATTTGCTTGAACAGGGGCCGCGAGGAATCGGTAGGTAATGATGACGTTTCTATTGTTTGCGCCTCCAAGTACGAAATGGTTAGGATGATGTAAAGAGAGAAAATCCCGAAGGGACCGCTTAGTTAGATTTTGTGACATTTATAGGCATACTTCGATACTCTTTTGCGTTACGTGTTACCAGTGACATCACTCTGTGGAGCAGTTGTTTTTGAAAGTTATGGACCAAAAGACACTCGTTTTTAAAGCGCAGATGAAGTTATAAGGTGCGTATAACTGTGTATATATAAACACTTGGAGAGTTTGCCAGACACGAGTTCACAAATCTTTGATTGGAAACCTTGCGAGACACTCTCTTTGACCGGAATAAGACTCATCCCCAAACAAGCAAGATGAGTGAACCAGGCTTCTCGCTAGCAGAACGATGGACGATTACAGAAATTCGCCGACAATCAAATTCTGTGCTGACGTATTCCCTGCTCATAGATGTCCCTCCGCTAGAAAGTTTAAAATAACACTAGAATGCCCGAGCGTCAATTGATCAAACGTCCTTTTAATTTCTAAGGCTTACTTTCCGGCAAATAAAATGAACTGAATGTAAAAAGTGAAAGAGAAATAGCGAAAAATGCAACTTCTAATTAAATCTTTTCTTATGGTTTAGAATAAACTGTTCTCGAAACTGAGAATGTTTTGAACAAAGCTGTGTAAATCGAACTGAAACCGGTGCATGATTACCTTGCGTTTCTTAGCCGTATTTATCTCACCCATTGTATGGAATATGTGTAAAAATCGTCATTATGAATCTCAATCGGTATATTTCAAAGATCTACAGAACGAGCCAGAATACTATTGACCGACAATATACGGAGCGGGGGCAGCTGTAGTGAACTGCACCGCCATGAACTGATGAAGATTTTTGGGGGTGAAGGATTTATTAGGCTCTTGCATAATCTCAATTGGTTGGATTATCAAAACCGTTTAGACGTTTTGTGCATGTACGAATTAAAAATGCAAAAAAAATGACATTTGAAAATATCTTCCTTCTTTCCGTCCTTGACTTGTTTCGGTGACAGTTATGACTTGAATAGTCATTTTGCTCATTTTGAGGTTAGTTTCCAGCGTCACGAAGGTTAATTTTGTTTTTGTATAATGATTGATTGTTAACGATTTAATGGCCACAATGTCAAACATTCATTATTTGTTAACTTAACTAATTAAGAATAATATCATTGATCATTTTCACATAGACCATAATGCACCTTGTTTACTCCCCAAAACTTTACATAATCATTGTCTTTGATTTCTCTTGGGATGACTGTAATACCCTAGAGAAATTGGAAACACTGGTTATGCAAAATTTTGGGTGGTAAACAAGGTGCATTATGGTCTATGTGAAAGTTGTGAATAGGTGACAAATTACTCCTTAATTTTGGCGGGAAATTTCAGCCATAATTCATAATTTCGCAAGTCCGAATTACAACATTAATAGTTATGGCAACGTTCCGTCATCTCAGTGCCAAGATCTGTGGCGTGAAGGTTTTAAAATGTTATTAATGAAGATGTAAGGGCTTTAAAAGAAGCGTTAATAGGTAATCAATATTAATAGGTAATCAAATGGTTTTCTCATGAAATTAAGGAATAATTTCACTTGCGTTTTGTCTAAATTTGGACAGAACAAGCGAGAAAATTATTTGCTAATTTCACTCGTCAGCTGACTCGTCACCATTTGATTACACATACTTATATTCTCTGGTCTGGTTAGATATGATCGCACGCTGACGTTTTTATTGGAGCATTTAGAGCATCGCGCAGTTAATGTTTCGCATCTACCTCCTCCTCAGGCGCTTCATTTTTCGCACAGTGACAAAAGCGCAACGCGAATGACTGGTGACGAAGCGCCGGGGACCATGAGAAGGAAAGAGAAGAGAGGGCAAGCCCGTTTTCCCCTTCCCACTTTCCTTTGCGCGCAGATTTTCATCGAGACAGGAACGCCCGGGTACGAGGCAGGTTTCGCACTCTAGAGAAATCCGAGACCATAGTGACATTAGGTATTCGTGTGAAAATGATGGTGATGATAAGCAATTGTGTCATCTAAGTCGACGGCCCTAATCATGTAGGTTGTTATTGTAGGTGTTGGTTGGCCAGTTGGTGTTGGTATAGGTGTTATTATAGCGTTGGGTAAGATACTACCCTATTTATTTGTGGGTCCTTGAAATGATGTAACAAAGCAGGTTTGTACAGTTGTAAAGGGCATGTCACATTGCAAGGCCAAATTTTACGTCATTAATATTTGCTCGAATCGATTCAAGCTTCTCCTAATCCACAATAAATGAATCCATGAGTTAGAGATTGTCGGAGTAATTGTTTTAAACTGTGATCGGATATGGCGTTTCTTTCAGTATTTCTTTCTCTCAACAAGTTGGAAACTCCTCTTTTAACTTGATTATAATTTGCAGACATTTTCGAGGGTTCAATATAAACTTAAACATCAGAATACAAGAAATAAAATGTTACCACATAAAAAGGACAAAGTGAGAAATCAAAATCAAGTGGAACCAATATTTGCGAAATCACAAAATCTCAGCCTGAGGGCTTGTTTAAATCAATATAGCCACCGAGAGTTTCTAGGTGCAAATCGTCCTGTACACATTGTAGTAGTTAACCAAGTAAAGGGTTCAGCCATTTATCAAACCCTACACAGCTGAAATGGTAAAAATACTTGCGTCCTTTTCATGTCCCTATTCACATCCAACAAAAATCAGATCAGAAGTGCTGCGTGACGGTTTCCAAATTTGGTCAGGAATGCACATGCACATTGGCAATCAGCATTCAGCCATGCGATCAAAATGGGTTTGCCCAGTTACACTTAAGGTAACAATTTCAACTTCAAAGATATTGCTGCTTCCAATCTCTTCATCTTATCAACTGAAATTGTGACGAAAAAACACAATCATAATACTTTAATTCTTTTGATCAATAAGTTGTGCTTCATGTCAAGTGAATGGGTGAATTGAGCCAGATTTCCCCTTTTCCCAAGGATCTGCAAGTCCACTGAGGTACAAATTACGGGTTTGTTAACCAACCAATGCAATATCGACCGTCATGACTTCTCTTGGGGGTTGTCCCTCTGAATCACTTAGCATTATTCAACTGTTCCATCAGTCTAGAAATTCAACAATAAGAAGGTCACCCCAGGCCAGGGGCTGCCCGCTTACCCATCCAAACAATCAATTTTTCATCTTGGCTCCTAAGTCATAGTGGATTCAGTACAATTTTTGCTAGCATCTGTTTTTTTTTTTTTTTAAAGCAATGGTCTAGAAACTCAAGAGAAGTTACTAAGGAGGAGTTTTGGCCCTGATTTGACTTGATAAATTTCTTCATGATTCAAATGAGTTGTAGACAACACTGATTAGGCATTTTTCCGCTTTCTGCATTCATGTTCTAAGTTAATTAGAATGTTCTAGAAATTCTAAGTTAAAGTAAATAAGGGTTCAAAAGAGCAATGATAAATTGTATCTCGATTCGGGGTTTTTCCCGTGTCCATCGGCCGTCTGTTCTTTTGGTCGAGTAAATTGAGGTTAACCCATTTTCACTTTGATTCGAGTTTATAAACAACTTTCGGCTTTTTTCCGCGTTAATTCTTCTAAGTTAATTAGAATACATTGTTCTATAAGATATTCTAAATTGTAAAAGTAAATGAGGTGCTTAGCGACCGAATCATGAGTTGTCATATTCATTAGGGGTTTATCCCATGTTGGCTTCTATTCTTCTAAGTAAATTGAGGGTATACCCGCTAGGGTATAAAAAGGATTGACGTATTTCAATGAAATCGTTTTAGTCTGCTAGCGGTGATGAACACACTGAACAGAGATTGAAGATACTCAGTTGAGCCTATTTTCTTCGCGAATTTAAGGTATACTTAGATGCATGTATTTTATTTTTATCACTTCAGTTAATGATAGGCAGAGCTGTTCGTGCACGTGGTTGATAAATTTGTGTGTTTGACTAAGGAAGAGTTTGTTAGACTTGGGCCTCGAACTGGTTCAGAAACAGACCATCTATACCAGCAGCTTTGGCCAATGTTTTTGAAGGTAAAAACCCTTCTGTTGACATAATGTCGATGTTCACAGTATTATGGTACACCAGATAGGATGAATCGAGGACGACAATTTGAGACTATTTTGATATCAATTGAGGTATGCAGAGAACAGTTTTTGATTACGTAATGTACAATGAGCGCGCAACTTTGCCTCGAGACTTTGGAGTGTTTTCACGGACATAGTCCGCGGAATATAAACGGCTTGGTGAAGTTTGTAGAGATGTTTAGTTTGACGATGCTAGGCATGCTAGTGTCGTATTAACGGGTTTTGACTGTATACGTAACAAATACTGTATACCAGCTGGAAAAACAAAGGGCAAATATTGCGATAACTTTCCACAATTGGCACCACGATGATTTCATTTTAGTACTATCGCTAGTTCTTAGGCCAGATTCCAGTTCGTTTTTCAAGTCTTTTTCAGTTCTAACTTGGTGATCCCAGTGAGCAGCCCATTCCTGATATATATATGGGCTCATGCATCTTGCAAATGAACTATTGTGGGTTTTTACCATAAGCATCATACAAATTAGAATGGACGGAAGTTTTGTTCCGAGAAAGTTCAAAGAGCTAGGTTCGTTAACTTATCAGGGGCACCCAACGTCAATTTTTGGAAAATATCTGTTCGGAAGACGATTTGAGATCTAGAATTTTCGGAACATCTTTGTTGTAAAATTTCTTGCTTGCATGCCTCTCCTAGGATTTTCGAACATCTAAAAAATGGTATAATTGCCCATTTTTAACGGATTTTTACCCTAAAAAGGTCACCTAGAATTTTTCGGAGCCTTTTTTCTGGCTGAAATTTTCGAAAAGGTAAGTTTTGATCCCTGTAATTTTCGGATCACTAGACTTTCACCTAGGAAACTCGAACAGATGAAAAATCTTTAGGGGATAAAAATATGCCTATATCTACCGTTTAAATACTAAAATACGTTTAACAATGCTATGTTATAAATAAGTTCAATTTTCAGCTCTTTGTAAGCAGTATCTTAGACAGAAGCAACCATCATTTACATCATATTTCGGTATATCGAGCAAAGATTTTTGAGATATTACTCAGCCTAGTCCTTGGGCGTTCTCCGCTAGGTCAATCTTGGAATCTACCTTGAGCTTACCAGACTTAGCGAGGACAGCGGGGCAAGAGAGAACGCCCTTGACAGACCACGCTGGATATTGCTAATAGCCAGGAAGTAATCGGCTCCTGTAATAACTTGTAATAGCATATGAAAGCTACCTAGGCAACCAAAGTAAATAAAGATTTTTCCTATTATTTTAGCAGGTACTTCCAAACACCACCCCTCCCTGTGCAAGGGGGGTGAGCCATCAGCATCGAAGATGGTTGTTGCCAAGTCATTTACATTCAATAATGAGCAATTAAACAACTTCAAATTTACAACTATTGTCATAGATGAATTCCCTAAAGCTCTACGCCAGACATTCAAACGGATGTGGGATCTTAAATTTGGACCTGGATCGATCTGGGATGACTCCACTGGAGTGAGAAACTTGTTTCTGGCAAAAGAGGGAGGCAAAACCAAAGTTCCAACAAACAAGTCCTACGAGGAGTGGCATTGCACCGCGCTGTTCCAAGCCACTATCTACGCGCAGTCGTTTGCTGAACCAGACAAAAAGGGTAACCTCAAAACCCTTGGTGAGTTGTACGTTAAGCCCCGTGGATTCATTCGTCATGGAAGTTTCCACGCTTCTGTGTTGAGCCCGGTTGGAAACAAAGCGGAAACGTTTGCCCTGGCGATTGATCAGCTGCGACTCTTACGAAATAAAATATCTCATTTAATCAGTTCAGAAATAGATAAAGTAACATTTGATAATTACATCAAGCTTGCTAGAGATGCATTCAAAGCTCTTGGGGTGGCGACAGATCGCATTGACACCGTTGGAAAGCTAACAGAGTCTCATTTCCCCACAGCAGAGGTTAGGAAGCTAAAGCAAAAACTGATGATCGAGAGATTTGTTTTATTTAATTAGGCTGACTTTGTCCCATATGCTAAAAGGAACCTGGCAAAGTTCAAAGCCTCAATGAGTTTTAAGGTTCACGGATATAGAATTCACATTAAGTTTTTTAAATACTTTGAAGTTTTGAATATATGAAAATCATATACTGTATGTGTACTGAGGAGTGAAGAGGTCGCAGAGGTCAAGGGTTAGAATCCTGTAAAATTCACGCTTTCTTTTCGCAACTGCAAAAGTTGCGTTTATAACTGCGGTGATCATCCTTCATTTGATAACAGTTATAATATTAAAGGTTTATTAAGAGCATTTCTATAAAAAAATGGTTGCCATCTGGTAATAAAATATATAGTATATATTCGGTTAGAAAAATTACACTGAACGAGACTCCCGTATCGGATGAATAAATGAGTTAATGAATCGGTCAATGAACTAATGAATCAATGGAATCAATGGGATTACTATGAACCAATGGATTAAAGAATCAATGAATAAATGAATCAATGCAGTCAATAACCGGTAACAAATATTTGTCTAATGGGTTTGTTTTATAATATAAAGCAAGCAACATTTGTACTTTGTTTGTAATGCTTCACGAATTTTCACGAACTTATTCCAGAAGCCTTCCGCCAGTTTTGTATCAAGAATAAACGCTGTTGAAAACAAAAAAGTTCAGTTTGTTTTATAAAACCTGTAATTGGTTTAGTCGGATCCCGAACCCACAGAGAAGAGACGCCTCTTCTAAACGCCACCAAGTTGCATTTGAGTTTTCCTGTTCTTTAATCAAGATTTGCCGAATTCCGAAGTCTTCCGCGCGTTTAAAAGTGGTAAATCGTCCGTCACATGCATATAAAGAGGAGCCCAAATAAGCAAGTTTCATGAAAGACGAGCAAAGTTCATGATAAATTTGCACCATCAGGGGCGGATCCAGGATTTTTTCAGGAGGGGGTGCACTCGTCTCTTCCAGTAAACCACATAGTTTTTTTTTTGCAGAATACCAGTTGTATTAGAAAACCGCAGGTCATCTCAGGGGGGGGTGCGCACCCCCTGCACCCTCCCCCTAGATCCGCCCCTGACCATGGAACCATGGAAGTTTGACTAGGGGATAGCCCAACCCTTGTAAGGTGTCCTGCGAAGCTCTGACAATTTTGTTTTGGAGCACGGGCACGAACAAGCGGCGGGAATGGGCAAGAGTTTAACGGGTCCTAGCTGTTTACACAAAACTAGCCTGCGCAGCAAACGTTTGCGTTCGAGCTGTTTACGCCAAAGTTGGAGCGAGAGCAAATAATAGTAATAGAGGAAAAAGAAATGGAAGAGGGGAGAGGGGGAGGGAAAGAGTTTGGGTTAACCCGTTCCTCTCTCCCTTTCCCCCTTTATTTCGCTTTCGTCCCAACTTTTTTAATGAACTGGCCCGAAATAAAACGCGCTCGATCCTACTTCTCATCAATCAGCTTCGAGTGTGGGCCTCCAGGAGCATTCCTGGGTATTTTCCATCTTTAAGCCCGCCAAACGAATGTTGCTAATATACGCTTACGAATTTACGCTGGTCCATGACCTGATTTTACAGGTCGTAGAGTGGCTGGTATGAACCGAAACATTGTTATCCCATCCCCCCTCCATCCCCGCCCCCCTCCACCCCCGCCCCCCTCCACCCCCGCGGGCTTCATCGTTTCTAATTCTCGGTTTTCACTCACGTGAGAAAGCAGAGATGAAAATGGAAACCTTATAATACAGAAAGTCTAGAATCTGAGAAATGAATGAAGATAAATATACAAAACGCCTTGCCAAGAATCAGGTCTATGCAATGGCTCATATGCGAGATATTCGGAAAAACGTTGGTTTTACCCAAATTTATAAAGCTTTGTAGGGAGACGTAGTTTGTGTCCCTTCCAGGGGCACAAATATGGCCGCCGGAAACCAACATCTGTTTTTGAGTTTTCCTGCTTATGCGTGAATTCTTCGCTTAAGGAACTCATAAAGATTAAAGCAATATTTATTCTAAGACAAGAAATGTTTAGATAGTAAAATCTCCAAAAATCCGTAATGTTTTTAATCCTGACTTTTTAATAAGCGCTTTCCCGGCCGCCAGCCAAATGCCGCCTCACGCAAAAGCCTGGAAATTCAAGCGTCCTGTTTGCAAAGAACCCTCTTGAACCAAAAATTTGTTGTACAAACGTTTTAAGGTGCTCTAATATCACATGAAAGTAGAAACTCAGAAGAAGCGATCTGCAATATTTGGTAGCCAACAAACCACTACTTTCAGTACTTTGGATCGAAGCCTCGTATCGGTGAAGTGAAGACATCGATTGACAACACAACTGGTCAGCGTTCTCTCTTTCTCGACTCCAGTATTTTTTTTTTCAACTCGACTCGCATTTTTTTTTCGACTCAAATTTCAAAATTTCGACTCGTTTTTTTTCGTTCCTGAGCATATATTTTGCAAATCTCGAGTCATATTTTTTATTGCATTCGATGTATTTTACAAGTTTCCACTTAAGTACTATGTTTTCAAAATGTTTTTACAATCGGTATAATTTTGTCCGCAACGGAACGCCGTACACATGAGAAAGCAAATTATTTTAAAATTAAAAGCGTTAATAAGCTAAAAGTGATCTTTGCGTTAAGCAGAAATGCTGCGCTGATGATAAGTTTCTAGAATATTCAGGTGCACATGCAATCGGATACTTCGACTATGTTGGGTTTCAATTCCTAAGGTCAGAACACCTACAGCTTCGGGCAAGGATCTAGCTCCCTTTAAAGCGTGAGTGCTATAGAGATGCTAAAAAGTTACCATAGAAATGCTGACGAAATGCTTTTTAAAGAACCGACACTGTATGCCAAAAAGCAGATGCCAAAAAATCAAATGCTAAAGAAATGTAAACATGATCTGTCAAGTAACCAATACACAGAGAAAGTCATAAAATATAAAAAAAACTAAGGAGAAAAGTGAATATGTTACAGTGCCCAAGCAGTTTAACTGAAATTAAAACGAATGAATTTCAAAACGGAATGTTTCTCAAGCCTTATAGTTACTACGAATACAGAGGTGATAATCTTCAACATTCGGTTGTCAGTAATAACGAAACTCAATCACGAAATTCAAGAGCAGTGGAACTTAGCACCCATGCACGTTTACGATTCAATTCATCCATGAGCTCGCTCCTCGCAGCCTTTGATTTGAAACCAGTCACAACCAAGACCTTAATAGGGGTCACTCACCCTCTTGAAATTCTATAAGGGGTTTTACCCTTATTAACAAGCAATGCTGAGTCACTGCACAGTGGATTCAATACGGATATTTCCTTGTGCCCTTTCTTCAAACACTGGACTAGTATTCAAGAACTTAAAAAAGTTAATATAGGGGTTTATCCTGCCTCTTGATTCCCGTTCCTGCTCGTTCACCATTAGCTTTAATTCTGTTTTATCCAGTATTCAAATTTAATTACCAGCGTTCTAGAAACTCTGAGAGTAAATAAGAGGTTTCACCCTTTTTTAAACGTCGACCAATCATAATTCTCGCCTCAGTTGTATATTGGTTAGGGGTTTTTCCCTTGTCTGCTGCTATTTTTCTTGTGAAGTGGGGGGTTTACCCGGTTTCACTTTCATGCACGACTCGCGGTATACAAAAGACTGACTCGTTTTTGATGAAATTACTTTGCTCAGCTGCCGGTGGTGTACACAGTGAACAGAGATTGAAGGTGCTTGAGCTTCTTAATTTCTGTGTAAGTTCGCTTATTTTCATTCTATTTTTATCATCATATTCTGGGAAAGATAGGCAGGCAGTTACGGTTGTTGTTGTCTCTAAATTGTGCTCACCGATTCTTTTGATTCTGGGAGAGTTTTGTTCAGAAATAGACGATCATAAGATCTACACATTTTCTACCTTTGCAGGCCCGTAACCAGGATTTTATATGGGGGGTGCTAACGAGGCCAAAGTGGACCAAACTACCGAAATGTATTTTTTATTGTCTGATCCGTTTATTTAGGAAAGTAGCAATACATGAGAAATTGTAAGTTATAAAGGAGTAATTTATACGATGTAAAATGATACACCAAAATACTGCGGAACTAATCCCTCAGAATAACCCCGAGCTCCCAGCCTCCGTGTGGGTGTTTCCAAACAGATTTACCACCTCATCCAAAACAATTTTAACTTGATAATGTATGTGCATTAGTGCGAGGGACGACAGCCTTTCCTGGCCCACGCATGCCCTGTTATATGTATGCAGCCGCCTTAAATTATCACTGTTAAGTTTGAAACTTCAGTTTAACTGACTGCACTCCTTAACTTGGATATTGAGTATCAAAATGCGGACCTTTGGGGCCTGTAGGGGGGTGCGAACGTACCCCGTGCACCCCCCTGGTTACGGGCCTGACTTTGTTTATAATGTCTTGGCTTCCTCTCAATTTATATTCATAGTTGAGTAGATGGGTTCGAATTGAATCCTTTTGAAGCCCGGAAATTAATTATTTCCGGGTTTATTTGCAATTGCTTGATAAATTGCTATAACAACTGCGTTGATCGTTTGGTTTAATTGTCCTATAGTTTCTTCATTTAAAAATTTGTTATCGGCAGTTCAAGTCATCTTCTGATTTCAGGCGGGAAAATAAGTATAGTAAGTATACTATTACTATGTATAACCTTCCAACTTAATTTCCCATGCAACAACGCAACCGACAACTAACCTGTTTATTTTATCAGGAAGATCTACCAGCTTCCACCCTAAGCGGGAACCCTTCCCCGTTTAAGGGGAAGGGTGCACCATTCAGCATCAGATATGGTCGGTAAATCCTTTTATACAGACGAGCAGTTGAACCTCTTCAAGCTTTCAACCCTTGTCTTCGATGAAATCCCTAAAGCTCTACGCCAGACATTCAAACACATGTGGGAAAATTTTGGACCGGGATCGATATGGGATGACTCAGAAGGTGTGAGAGATTCATTTCTGACCAAAGAGGGAGGCAAAACCAAAGTTCCCACAGACAAGTCCTACGAGGAGTGGGATTGTACCGCGCTGTTCCAAGCCACTATCCACGCGCAAACGTTCGCTTTACCCGACAGCAAAGGTAACCTGAAAACTCTCTGGGAGTTGTACGTAAGGCCCCGAGGGCCCATGCCAGATGGAAGTTTCCATGCCTCTGTGTTGAGTCCGAGTGGAAACCAAGCGGAAACGTTTGCTCTGGCGATTGATCAGCTGCGACTTTTGCGAAACTCTTTGTCTCATTTGTCCAGTTCAAAAAAAATTAACAAAACATTATTTGACCAGTACACTGAACTCGCAAAAGATGCCTTCAAAGCTCTTGGAGTGGCAACGGACTCGATTGATGAAGCTAAAAGTTTACCAGAATCTCATTTTCCAACAGAAGAGGTCGCCAGGTTGGAACGCGAAATCAAACTTTGGAAGAGAATTGTTTTTTTGTATTAGTTTAAGTTTGGTACGATTGCTTAGAGCAAAATGAGATTTACAGGTCATAAGATAGCTGGAGAGTAACAAGGATGGAAAGTAGAATTTTTAAAATGTTATGACATACTGCCTTCTTGGACCTCTTCTTGTGCCAAATGGAGCAATGCGGATGTTCGTTTGGAAATGAAAATTAACACTTAATGGCCATACGGGAACCCTAGCTGCAAGTACTTTTACACTGCGTAAGCGAGACAACAAGCACCCACGTTCTTTTTTTTTCATACGGGTGTACTCCCCCACCCCGATAACAAGAACCTTAGGTAAGTTTTGGCCAAGCAGGCCAAATCATAACAGGCCAGAGCACCGATTTTAAGTACTAGGCGACTTTGAAAGACGCGTGCTTCACATATTTGTGGAGGATTAGAATGCCGGCTTGGTCAGAGGCCCTTTGTTTAAAACATGGCGGGATACTCACAGCTTAAGGCAAGCATGTGCCTTGTAGCTGTCAACATAGTAAGAAATAAGCGTTGACAGGCCAAACACGACTCATAAGCTCGTGATAATGTGAAACGTGACCTTGAGAGTCTGCTTGAACAGTGGTTCTCGTTCTTTTTTCTCTCGGGCGAAGGTTACTAGCACTACACAGTGCAAGACGTGTTGCATTCTAAACTTTGACTGAGTAAATCTTGTTTTTGCCGCACTAAGTCTTATATTTAGAGGTCATGAAGCAGGTTTGTTACTTGCATACTGAGTAATCATTTCCTGTGGTTTATGCTTCTGTACTAGGTGTCCCTGACAGGATTTGATTTCAGATGCAGTTGTTAAGTGTTTTATATCCTTTGACCTCTGTTTATTACGGCTGAATAAAGATTTTAGTTTTTTTGCTTTTCTCCGAAATGGCTGTATCTGAATAACTACATGCATGCATGCAAGTTTCTTTGTCCGTGAATGTGATTATTTCCTGCCATGTCAGTATGACTCTGGGCCCAGCTCTATAGTGTGGTTTGCAGGATTTTGAATTTCCACGGATAGTGCGATCTTCAGATATGAGTTGTACACTGTAGCTTAAAAACTAAAGCTAAACCAAGTTTGGAGAAATATGCCGTGCGTCAGTCAAGATAATTCTCTTAGCGCTCACACAGTCCATTAAGTTTTTCTTAACATAAGTGAGTCTTTGAACTAGAGCGCGATGTCTTGTTGTTCCTTCGTAGGTATTTTCTTAAGTTTTTGCTTAACAGTCGTCTGTGCGACTGCAATGGATTCTTAAGCAAGACTGCAGTTTCGGAAATATAGCGTTCCTCGTCAGTTGCTACTATGGTAAAGTCTTAGGTACAGAGAGCGAAGCAGACTGTTTAAATACTGGTGGCTAGGATCGAAAATACTAACTTGCCATTGGCTGCAAAAGTGACCAATAGCGTAGGTGTTTCTTTGATCCGCGTTCTGTTGTGTTTCCTTCAAGGTCAAAAATGCTTTTTGGGCTGAACCGGTATGATAGTATCTGACTAGGTTGCAGTGATGGCAGGTCACTGACATGTCGTAGTGCGTGTAAGTGTCTTTCTCAGGAGATTCGAGATATTTTCTCGTAACTTTCTCCGGCAAAATCAGTAGCCCGAGTGAGATTTCTTCCCACGAGTTATGACGGAGCCCCAGGGGGTACTTTAGGAATTTCTGGGTGGGGATGTGCCGCTGGGACCCTGAACCCTTAACCTATACCAGAGCTAGTTCAGCTGAATTTTGCTACCCTATAATAGAGTAAACTCCCAAATCCCCCCTATCCTAGAGTAGCTATTTCCCTAGTCGAGATAAAATCTTCAACCAACTGATTAGTTTCCTGAAAAATAATACCCTATTCTAGACCCAAACGTTCTGATTTATATACCCTATCCTAGAGTAAACTGCTTGAAAACCATACCCTTCACAGCGGAACATACCTATATAGCCCGTATATGGCAGTGCCCCGGGGACGGAGCACTGTCTAAAAATATCACAGTAAGAAATAAGCGTTGACAGGCCAAACACGACTCATAAGCTCGTGATAATGTGAAACGTGACCTTGAGAGTCTGCTTGAACAGTGGTTCTCGTTCTTTTTTCTCTCGCGCGAAGGTTACTAGCACTACACAGTGCAAGACGTGTAGCATTCTAAACTTTGACTGAGTAAATCTTGTTTTTGCCGCACTAAGTCTTATATTTAGAGGTCATGAAGCAGGTTTGTTACTTGCATACTGAGTAATCATTTCCTGTGGTTTATGCTTCTGTACTAGGTGTCCCTGACAGGATTTGATTTCAGATGCAGTTGTTAAGTGTTTTATATCCTTTGACCTTTCATGTACCTTTCATGTACCCATTCGAGAGCAGGCGAGGAAGTAAGGGCGAGTTTACCCTTCGCTGTCCAGGAAATCTGTAATGTCCTCTGGGTACTATGCAACTACACATATGTATACCTTTGAGAATGCTAAATAGTGTCGGGTTAATTCTCACCTCCTCTTTCTTTTCTTTGAGCTTTTTAATACTAACATCTGTTTCTATGTGGTCCAGGTATATTATTACAAAATCATTGTTGAAATAGTCTAGTTATGGCTGGATGGATTGTTTTGGGAATAAGTCCAGATGAATTTTGTCAAGTTGAGGCTTCTTTTTCACCCATTTTGGTTATGAAAATTCTACCAGGCCCCATCCCTCCATATCCCGACTAAAATTAAAAACTTCAAAAAGCCCATCCAATTTCAGGGTACTCTGAATGTGTCACTATCTTTTCGTAAATAATGCATTCATGTCATGTTCTTAGTTGTACAAGTAAAGCCGGCCACCCACCGCTTGGTCCCGGTGCACTAGCATAAAGGTCATTCGTAGCAAGGGATTTAGCAGGCTCTAGTATAATCTCAATTAATTCGATTATCAAAACTGATTAACGTTCAGTGTGCATGTATGAGTTAAAAGTGATATTTCAAAATATTTTTCTTCTTTCCATCCTTGGTAGTGTTTCAGTGACATTTTTGACTCGCAAAGTCATTTTGCTCATGAGACTGTGGTTAGATTCCACCGTCACCAAGTTTTTGTATTGCACAATAGTTTAATGGACCACCCGCAAATAGCTTATGACTAATCGAGTCGTGGGGAGCTGAAGACATATTACAAAACAAGATTTATATATAGATGGACTAAATAACAGTGAAGACACTAATATACAGTAAATAGAATTTAAACTAACATAAAACAAGGCAGGTACATAACGATTAAGAAGAGATATAATAAGAGAGAGATAATAAGATATAAGACGAAAGTATTAAAATACGTAATAACATATCGATTTTAATTAAAATGTATATAAAATTCCCTGAAGAGTGAGCGATCACGAAACAGGCTTGTCGGGACACGGTGGTCGGTTGCTAGGGCTTTTTCTCCCAAATACCTCACAAAACTGAGAGTTTTAGGCCATAGACAGAAGTAGAATGCATCGAATGATAAATTGATGATAAATTTCTTGTTTATTGGTTTTTCTTTCATCCCACGTGACTTCTGTTGTGACGTCATAGATGATGTCCAAATTTGGCATCAGAACAAAAATTCAGGAAAGAAATGGTGAAAAGTTTACATTAGTTTTCTGTATAGAATTCTATGATTTCTAGTAAAAGCCCCATCTCAATCGAATAAAAAGGACTAAAGTTACAGCTAATTAAATAAATTCAAATTTCCCCCAAATGACCATATATGGTCAAAATTAGGGGTATTTTAAACGCGAGAACATTGAATGTATTGGAACAGGAGCAAGGACAAATTAAAGTTACATAAAATCAAAATTGTAGTTTTTTCTACTTAGGGTATGTGGTGCTATGACACAGTTTTCGTCACGAAATACGTCATTTTGACGTTACAATGACGTATTTCGTGACGAAAACGCGTCATAGCACCACATAAGTAAAAAAAAGTAAGTAGAAAAAACTACAATTTTGATTTTATGCAACTTTTTCCTTGCTCCTGCGACAATACATTCATTGTTCTCGCGTTTAAAATCTCCCTAATTTTGACCATATATGGTCATGTGGGGGAAAGTTTGATTTCTTTTATTAGCTGTAACTTTACGCCATTTTATCCTATTGAGATGGGGTTTTCACTATACATATTATTTTTGTGTAACAAAAATGTTTGTAATGTTTTGAACACTGCTTTGCAAGTTTTTAATGTTGTTACTAAAAATAGGCGTCACTTATGACTTCATACTTTCAAGAAACGTCAAAAGTACCTTTACAATGGTACAAATCTGAAGAAAATTTTTGTCTAATTAAGATGTTTAATGTCTTGCTTCATTTGGAATATAAAATACTGCTCTGTGAGCCAAAAATTGAATTTACGAAGTTGCGGGAGGAAAAGCCCTAGCAACCGACCATCGTGGGATGAAAGTGTACTTTTTTTCCTACTTCTGAACATTATATTTAAGTTGATATACACACTGTATAAATTTGAGTTGGATATTTACAAGCACGAAATTCACACTGATGGTGATGATAAGTAATTATTCCACCTAAGTCGACGGCCCTAATCATTAATTAGGTTAATTGTAGAGGACCACCCAATTTACATGTGAGTCCTTGAAACAGTGAAATAAACCATGTAAGTCCGCAGCTGTGGTTAAGGCTGCGTAATTTTGAGTTTGTTCTGACCTCCGATACCCTGTCACACTGCAAGGCTTATTTAATGTGTGGCTTTCCCTTCATTTTGTTTGAAAAATTTGGTCAGTCCTTCCACGTACAATTTTAATTAACCTGTCATTTTCCATTCATGGCGCAGCCGATTACAGCGTGGATCATTGGCTTATATAGTTCATCACTTTTACCTCAAGCCAACCAGCAGTTTCTAGGTGCACACATTGACACACACTGTTTGGTTAACTGCTTGGTAACTAAGTGAAACTGAGGACTCCGTCATTATTTTATCAAACCCTACCCAGCTCTAAAGATAGAAAAATACTCTATAACTTTTCTTGTCCCTCTAAATCTTGCCATTCAACACTTCATTCTAGAAATTCAAGAGGGTTTTTTTTTTTAAAATTATACTTATTAACCAAGAGAGAATGAATCATTCTCTCTTGTTTTAACTGAAAAACATTAACCCAATCGCGTGCTTCTCGATCGGATCTACTACATACCGTAACAATGTTTTTTTTAGTACTATTCTATTTCCGCCATCTATTTCTGGTGTTCTTGAGAATCCGAGATATTAATTTCCCTGTTTGTAATCCTGGTTGTACATACAAATACCATTTATCACTGAGCTTTTTGCGTGCCTACGGGTGGAGAATTAAATGTAAACCAGTCAGTAAGTCAATTTGAGTCAAGTAAAAAAAGGTCGAATCTCTCGGATTTACTGCCCTGCCATATAACTGCGTCGATAAATACATACGATGCCCCTATAGAAATACGGCAGACTGCCGACTGAAAATGATTGGAATCCGGAGTCCACAAACCAGGGTAATCGGCTTCTTCTCAAGAAAATTCAAAATTAAGGCATGGGTCTTTTATTTAATTCACCTTAAAAAACAGGGTGTTATTACTGAAAAAATTAACCGCAAAGTACTGCAAAGGACCGCAAACGAATATACCGAACGTAGGATCTATAAAGACCTGATCAGCAAAAATAACAAGTAGACATAAATTCTGCAAGCAGAATACTTCAAAGCTGATCGTACTACGTGAAAATTAACTTTGCAAGACATCAACACGACACCGAAAGAACTCAAAACAGAGCGGGA